GGGGCAAGTTGCGATTCTGGACCCAGAATAAATTGGTCGCGCCGGAGACGCGATGGCTAGGATGACGATGTCATTGTGAAGAACCCGATTTAAGAAAAGCCCCGCCCAAGGACACCCTACTGTACCTAATACAGGGATATTTATGCTATGTACCAGGTCACACCTTCTGTTTTGGTCCGGCTTGCACGTGATTCCGCGTCCCTCTCACGCGTTCGTTACCTGGGTGTCTTTAATGAAAGGGTTGATTGATTATGATTAAGCTTCAACGCGCATTCACAACTGCCTTTTCAACGACCTCTGATCACGACCAAGCCCAACATCCCAGAGTTTGAACATAGAATGGACGAACATAAAAAATTCCTAGCAGATCGTCTGCTTAGCGAAGAGCGACCGGTTTGTACCATCTATCAATTCTCGCTTTAAGTACAGGTGAACTGAAATAGTGTAGATCACATATCGGCTCCTGAGTAGAGCTCTAGATGTACATGTCAACACCGCGAAGGAGTGAGTCTGCTGCAGAAAATTACATAACCAGACCTGACAAGTCTTAGGATGCTCTATGACTTTCACAATTGCCAGAACACTCAAAAAGCCAACTCTGTTCATGCAACCTATCTGGTATATGGCACCAAGAGTCCGGCCAATGATCAATCCGACGATGATGTGGAAATGACAAGTTCAATGCCAGAGCCAGAAGAAGCTCCAGTTTCCACTTTGACCCTGGTGCGTGAAGAAGAACTTAATGGTACGCAATCTAGAGATGGGCTTGCTAAACTGCTCTTCAACTCACTTCTTCGACAGATATCTTGGCTGCATACCAGGAAGTGACTTCGATTCACGTCTACAGCCTTGCGCCACATCCCCAAAAAGACTTTTCTCTGCTGTCAGACCTCACGACACAACTTTCGGAGTATGCGACAGATGGAGACATCACTGCTGGATCCAAGAAGTACGGAGTCATTAGTAACCCGAGTGCTCGACGAAGGGAAAGAAAGGGCCGTCCTCAAGCACCTGCCTCAGTCCCATCCAAATCTGACAAGAAAGAAGCAATTGTTGCAAACCAAGCGCCAACCGCAAAACCTAAGCAGGAAGCTTCGGCCGCTTGGCCGGAGGCAAAGCACACCAAGACCGCAAAGCAGGAATCATCAGCACCCCCGTCTAAAGAGGGGACTACTGCCACTAGCAGTGGAAAGAAACCAACAGCGGCTCTTAAGCGAGGCGCATCGGGTGGCATCATGCAGTCGTTTGCAAAAGCGGCCGCTAAGCCAGCTAAACCTAAGCCAGCTCCCAAAAAGGAGGAGGACTCAGTCATGGCTCTGTCTGATGACGGGGAGGCCGATGATGATGATATTGTTGCGACCAAGTCAAGCTCGAAGCCTGCAGCAGACTCATCGGAAATCAAGAGAAGGCGCCAGGAGCGAGAGGATGCATTGCGAAAAATGATGGAGGATGACGACGAAGAGGAAAAAGAGTCCGACAAGGAGTCTGAACAGGTCGACGAAGAGATGGAGGAGGCGCCGGAGCCAGAGCCGGAACCTCAGGCGAAGACTGAAGAGAAGGAACCCGCCGAAGTTGTTTCTAGCACTAGTAATGGGCGTAGGAGGGGCAGGAGACGAGTGATGAAGAAGAAGCGAATTCTCGACGATCAGGGGTACATGGGTAAGTTGTCATTGGACCCCTTGAAATTAAACATGCTAACTGGCGTAAGTCACGATTCAAGAGCCAGGCTGGGAATCATTCTCAGAGGATGAGGCTCCCCCGCCTGCGAAGAAAACCGCCCCAGCACTCACCCCGTCATCGTCCACTGGATCCAAAGCGAAGAAGCCGGCACCTAAGGGCCAGGGAAATATCATGTCCTTCTTCACAAAGAAGTAGAGTATTTGCGTGAGGACTTGTGGAAGAGCCATTGGAAACTGGGAAATTGGAGTTCCCAAAAAGCATGGTACATCTGTGTATATTTCAACATCAAAACTGCCATGAGCTGAATTTGGTGTATCTCAAGTATAAAGATCCATCGTGGTACCATTATCTGGTGCCTTCTATTTGGTGTATCGATCACTGAGATATGATGGGATGCTGTGATTATGAGCTAGCGTACTGAACCTCCTGCCCATAACCTTTGTATAGAAAAATAGCTTGCTAAGCATTATTGAAGAGTGGTGCAGCGGTTATTACCCTTCATCATAAGTTCAGGAACATTGATAATGCCAGTATCACTGCAGGTGGGTCGAAGACAAGGCGAGACTAACTTAGTCAAGGGTATCATAACGAGTAGAATGGTCTACCCTAAGCTTTAAGTATGTCTAAGTTATTTTATCAGTGGACTTCCACGTCCTGCGGATCTTTAACGATCAAGTATGCTTCCAAACTATTTGTTGGCATTTATGATGTCGCTATCAACGGTCGTGCTGGCGAACGTTTTGTACTTGGTGGGATTCTCTTTTATCCTTCGCAATACACTTGCTAACCTCTCGACGCCTTCAGTCAAGTCTTCCTTGGAGACATATGCAAATGTTAGTCGGACTGCGTTATCCAGGTCGACAGTCTTCTCATCCCCTGGCACTTGGAACATAGTACCGTTACCAACCACCAAGTTCTCTTCGGCTATCGCAGCTCCGGAAACAGTCTTGGCTGAAATGCCCTGTTCCAATGTGAGCCAAACAAAGTAGCCACCGTAAACAGTACCATCAGGTAGACCGGCGTCCCGAATGCCGACGCCTATGGGTCCTAGATGCTTGTGGATTGCTTCCATCATGATACGATGGCGTTGTTGAAGCTGGGGTCGTAGCGTCGTGGCAAGTCGCTCTTGTAAAGCCCCAGACTGTACCAAGTCCGCCATAATAGATGCACAAAACTGACTTGGTGAACCACCAGATTTGGTCGCACCCGTCTGTGAGAGGCCATAGGCAAATGCAGCTGAGCCTTCAAGCCAGCCGGTTCGCATTCCCGGCCCGGCAAGCTTACTAAATGATCCATTACTAACGGCGTGGCCAAAACCTTGGGGGTCATTCTCAGCTTGACCCATGGCGAGGTCAATATCGCACAGTCGAGGGAGCAGCATCTCAGTGTGCTCATTAGCGTTCAAACGAGCAGATAGCTGATTGGGATCGCTATCAATGCGCCACTGAAGAAAGTCATAAACGTCATCGCAGATGATGAGAGCGTCATATTTGCGAGCAAGGCGGACAAGTGCTTCCCGTCGGCGTAGAGACATGGTTTTGCCAGAAGGGTTTGAGCACGTCGGAACAGCGTAGATAATGTGCCGATAGTGTTTGCAGTATTTCCCAGCATCGCTTAGGGGTGGCTAGTGTACATGTTAGCATGAATGTCGTCGTGCAATGGTGATAAACTGACCTTGGACTCTGACGCATTCTTCTCGAAGTCGGCAAGTTTAGCCTCCAATGCTTCAATATCAACACCTTCATCATCTTCAGGAGTAGCTCTCAGCCTTCCATTGAATCCATTATCCTGGAAGACTTGGAAAACTAGGTGATATGATGGCGAGATGCACCAGACGGCTTGAGTTACATGAGGATCAGTGAAGCTCTGCAGGATGCATGCTAAATTCTGACTTGCGCCACCTGAAATACAGATGCGATTGGGATCGCGCTCGACACGGTAGTGCTCAGATAACCAGCTCGCTAATGCTTCACGAAGTGGTTGGTAACCTGGGTCAGGACCGTACTGTAGCGCGGGTACATAGATATCGGGGTCAGAGAGATTACGCTGTGCAGCTGCTGAGAGTAGATCGACTGGAAGAAGACCTGGGTTCGGCCAACCGCGGATAAGATTAATCTGATGCTTTTCTGAGTGAGGATTGGGGGGAATCTCAGAAGCGTGAGTTGTCTTTGTTGTCATCTTTGCTGTGTGCAAGTACGATGGCGATGACGATGACGATGACGATGACGATGACGATGATGGTGGTGTTGAGGGGTAGATGTTATGAATGTGACCAAGGGGATTTGATGTATGGCGAAACAAGAGGAGGGACCCGAGGTTAGGGGCTTTATAACATCGTTTCTGTCCTTTTTTGTCGAACCAAATATTCTTGTACTTCGGAACACGGCCAAAAAGACCAAGGGAGCGATATCGGATTGACTGTGAGATATACATGGAGTAGTCGTCTTGTCATTTACGCGGTAGGTTAGTCGGGCGGGTATAAATGGATAACTGTGGACCTACTCATATCGATCCCGTAAGTCGATTGCGGAACGAACTTAACTAGTAGTTACTGTAGGTATTTAAAGCTGTAATTCTCTTGACCAATGGTGGCTCAGAGGCGCCGCTGTATGAGCAACCGATGAGACATTTTATATGGAATCCGGGATATCACAAAGGCGAGCTCGAGTTCATTCTTTATTACTAGATCAGTTAGTTTCCCGGCTTTTGTCATTTCGTGTCCTGTATATGCCAAATCCATCTGTTACTATTTCAATGCTTCTCTCGTAAATCAAATCTCATACGCCGTGGCACCGTCACCGAATATCAAATGCGGTTTTCTTTTTGCCAGATCAAGAATTGTCGAGGCAAAGACGCCATTAGCCCACGCAAACCAGCTTCTCGTATACTGTGTAATGTGCTCAACATCAATACTCTCATGGACCAATCCCATCTTGGCAGAGTTCAGGACAAAGTCAATGCATTCTTTAATCTCTTCATCGTCGTTTGAAGTTCGTGCTTGAACAAGAAGACTCATTGGCCAAGCGTTGCGAAGCCCAATATGAGGCCCTGTAATAAGTCTGTCAGCTGGAACAATTATGTAAAAGACAGCCGTCTTACCTCCAATGCCTTTGAAGGCCTTTCCTTCGAGATAGTAAGGGTTCCCACCCTTCTCTAACAGCATCTTCCTGGTGTTTTGGTAAATGGGATCGCTGGTCTCGCAGAATCCCATCAAAGGGAGCGCCAGCAGCGAAGGATAGTTTGCATCGTCCATCAAGATCGACGAACCGTAGCCGTCAACTTCGTATGCGAAGACATCTCCATACTTTTTGTGCTTAACTACACCATGTTCCATGACACCGTCACGGAGTTTTGTGCTCCATGTCTCCAACTTTTGAGAAAGGGTTGTTTTACCAGCTGTCGCAAGAATTTTGGATGCTCGTTTCAATTCGACAGACATTTGTGCATTGGCAGGAATAAAGAAACCCAGAATTGTTGCATCATCGCTAGGTCGGAACGCCGAGCGAACCAAACCTGTGCCCCAGTTCAAAGGGTTACCAACGCCTCTCAAGTTGAGTGTTTCTGTTCCAGTGTCGGTGCGACGCGAGAAAGTGTATTCATTGCGCTGAAACTCGCCTGTTTTAGGGTCGAAAGTCGACTTGGACTGCTCAGTGAGAACGTTCAAAACAGTCTCGACGGCTCGCAACCATCTCCTATTCAAGAACTCTGTCGATCCTGTGTGGTCGTAGAAATCGTTACCAAGAGCGAGAAAATGAGCCAAAGAGTCAAGCTCGTATTTGCACTCGAAAACAGCCTGCGGCTCGTACGCTGGGTGAACGTTGTCATCTTGCCCGTTAGACGAGATGGGAAGATCGCTAATAGGTGGTGGCTGGAAGGCGTTGCAGTATGGGGATTCAATCACGTACTCAGCCTGGGTGTTAATGGCACCGAGCAACAACGTCTGAATTGCAGGATCCTTCTTAGCAAGGGGCTGGTAGGGCCGCAGTTGATTTGTCGAATCGCGCAACCATTCGGCGATAATGTCACCAGTGATGATAAACGACTGTGGTCCTTCCCATGCTCCTTCGTCGTGGAAGCCTCCAAAGCTACCCATGCGAAAGAATCCAGTATCTGCCTTTCCCTTGGTATGAAATTTGACGGTTGTATCCGTTGTTGAAGGGAATGCATTCTCAAACAATCGCGCCAGGTCAGGGTCTTTCATGCGAGACGTCACATCTTCAATAACCTTCTCGATCGCATCTGACTGAAATGTCCGGCATTGTTTACTTGGGCGTTGGTAGGGAAGCTCTTTAGGACCGGTACTGAAGGGTCGACTGAGACAATGACAAAGACATTAGCTCGACTCACTACGACTTGCGCAGGGATTTCGACCTACTGGGGGTATCCAGCGTATTTTGTGTAGTCAGGACATACGCGGTGGTAATCGGCGAGGGGTCTCTGTTCGTCCTCTGGGCTTGCGCTGGCGAGCGTTGCGCTCAAGCCTAGTAAGCTTGACGCCAGCAGACGGAGCGTCATGATGGGTCCTTGATGGTGCCGACAGGTAGAGAGAAGAACCGTAGTGAAGAGACAAAGAGATTATCAGATTTCAGTCGCAGATATGAGTTTGCGTTGAGGATGAAGGATCTGAGTTGCCAATAGCTGTCGCATTGCCGTTTCGCACTGATTACGTAGGGCTCCTCCGCTGGAGCTCGAGTTACAAAACGTGGGGCTTGTGAAAGCTGGGGTATCGCTAGGATCATAATTCCAGCAGTCCACACTCCACAACCATGCCATAGTCTACATACGAAGCTACTATGATTTGCGTGAATAGGGGTATCATTTAAAACTATCTTGACGTCTAAAGCCTGCTCTGTAAAGTACAATCACCATCCCCATGTTCGGCTTGAAGCTGTAAACACCGGAGGTTTCCATTGAATTTTGGTTGGGTCCACGGTTCGCTTCCTCTTCAATTTGGTCTTTTCGCGTTGCTGAATCAACTTCTCCGGTATCACAATCTTATGGTCGCTCTTATGATAGACCTGCATCCGCAATGCTTGGAGAGTATGCTCCACATCCTGCGTTGTCATGGCCAGCGCTGTAGAAACTGCTTCGATTGTGACCTTTTCGTCACGTTCGTTGTATCCCATGAGCAGCTCCAAAATATTCTCCGACCAATATTGTCGATAACTCAGCAGACCCAGATCCGATAGTGGCTTTTCTGGAGAGCCAAGCTTCCCTTCAATTCGAGAGAGCTCGTATGAGAACTGGATCAGAAGTCGGCCATAACCCTTGCGCTGGTATTGAGGCATGGTCAAAATACAAGCAACATTGTACCCATCTGCGCTTTCCTTCTCCTTGGAGAAATATCCCACCAAATGACATCCCTTTTCGGTTCGCGTCGTCATGACATAAAACAGGAAAGGGTCCACGTCATAGTACAGTGTCTTATGGTCAAGAAACATCTTGGACAGGAGACAAAGATTGCGGCACCACGTTCGTTGTCGTCGGCCATCGATTTCGAAAAAGGATATATCTTCATTCCGATAGATTTCGTTTCCTGGTGGGTGTTGTAGCGTACACTTCTTTCGGTGTCGTGTAAAAGCCTTTATGTCTCCGTAGTAGCTTAGACAAAACTCGCAGATGAAGATCACGTCTTCCTGGCTAAAAATCTCAGGGTATGGCGAGAAATACCACGGATACAGATCGAAACGGCCGAATTGTACTTTGGAGATATTTCGAATTCGAGAAACCTCGGTTGGGTTTTGGGTCATCGAGCCTGATGTTCGAAGCTTCTCGATCTCGACCTCGCGACTGAACTCCGCAGGCTCCTTCTTCACATCTGTTTCCCTCTCATCCACTTCCATTTCGTCCCCCCCAACAGGCGTTGCGCCTCCGTCAACGCTAGCGCGCGCCTGGCTATCGCCATCGGGGCCGATCGAGGCAGACTTTTGTCGATTTTGGTTCTCTACGAAATCTATACAATTGTCAGCTAGATTTATCTGTAGGAGGAACTGAGTTCCATACCAGTCCAGGGATGTGGGGTGTTAGCCTCTGAAGCAACTGATTGTTCTCGCTTGCTGGGTCGCTTTTGAGATTTTTTTGAAGGCTGTGTTTTCTTAGATTGTGCAGTGGTGGCTTTCTTCGTCTTCGGGTCTTTGGGCTTGTCCTTTTCTGGATTTGGCCATTCGACTTCCCGAGTGAAGTCCAACCTGATCACAGGCACCCATTCGTCCAGTCGCTTATTGAAGTTATCGAAATTACAGTAAAACTGTTTGCCGCTCTTCGTCGTCTTGATGCTCAGAATTTCGGCGCGTCGCGGTTGACCCTCCTTCTCTACCCAAGCGATGCAGCCTGTTTTTATTGTTTCGGGAGTCGCAAGGCTTTTCAAACGCGGCTCACCGGAGCCTACAGTGGGCTCGCCCGCGGGTGTGCCGCCAGCCATGATGAATGACGCTGTTGTGGTCGTAGATTGATGATGGTTGGATTGTCGCGTATGTGTCGCAAGATGGAAAATGGAAGAAAGTAACATGGAGGGGCATGGCAGAAAATGATACCGAACTCTTATCTTAAAGGCGGTGAGAAGACAATTCTCTTATCTACGATCCGTCAGATGCATAAACCCGGTAGTGTCATCAAGATGAAGTCTTTCTTCTGCGACTGTTCCTCGAAATTTATACAAGCACATAAAGCCTCTATCTCTAATTTTCATGACTGGGAATCGTGCTTGCTAACAGAATGGCAGCGCTTTCTTCTAATTGGAAGAAGCTTCAAGCAAAGCTCAAGGAGGAGTCTGCATCAAAGCCGTCTCTGAAGCGCAAATCAGAAACGCCAGCGACAAATCCACTACCAAAAAAGTCCAAGATCCAAAAGTCCCTTAAAAAAACACAGAAATCGCCAAAAGCCGCGCAAACAGTCGCCAAGAAGCCAATGGGAGGTGTCCACAGCTCAAATATTGAGGAAACAGTGCCCGGGACCTCGGCATCTCTTGCGCTATGGGCAGAAGACCACGATGTATCGGCTGAAGCTCTCGCCGAAGCTTACAATTTGGGCGCTAAAGACAGCTCGATGATGCTTGCTTCTGCAAAAGATAAGGTCAACCATGGACTCACAGAAGGCATTGAGATCGGAAAATATATTGCTATTGACTGCGAAATGGTTGGTGTAGGACCAGGCGGTTATGAATCAGCTCTTGCCCGTGTGAGCGTGGTCGACTTTCATGGCGTACAAATCTACGATTCTTACGTGAAGCCCAAGGAGAAGGTCACCAACTGGCGGACAGCAGTCAGCGGCATCAGTCAAAAATCGATGAGATTTGCAAGGGACTTTGAAGAAGTGCAGGCAGATATCGACAAGCTTCTTCGAGGCCGTATCTTGATAGGCCATGATCTCAAGCATGACCTGGAAGCGCTCATTCTTAGCCATCCGGGAAAGGACATACGAGATACAGCCAAATTTTCAGGTTTCAAAAAATATGGAAACGGGAGAAAACCAGCGTTGCGAGTCCTGGCTCAGCAACTTTTGGGAGTTGAGATACAAGGAGGGGCGCATTCCAGTATTGAGGATGCACGGGCGACCATGTTACTTTTTCGCAAACATAAATCGGCTTTCGATATGGACCACGCAAATCGGTATGCGCCAAAGCCAACGACAGGAGGGGCTCAAAAAGGAAACAAACCAAAGAAGAAGAAGAAATGATGGACTTAGATACTGGCGACAACCGATTTTGGCTGTGGTTTAATAATCAAGATACCCATATAGCAGGATGTATATATCAAAAGGCCATTCGTTTCAAACTGGACTTCCTATGATTGTCACTGTAGTCATCACAGCTGAATACTGATGAGAAAAGATGTCTTGGATTTTATTAGAGATATGCATAGAGACATGATCAATGGATTGTATACCCAGCCATTCATGTTAATCGCGACTTTCAAGGGTCGCGACCCATTTAGTTAGCCCGTCAAGATAAGATAAGATATCTCGTTACCTCGGACACTTAACGCGTCTAGTCGCGTCTCCTTCTCCTACCCAAACAACGAAGAAAATCAGTATCACACAATGTCCCAACCAATTCTTTCACTTAAGCCCGACGAAAGCAAGTCCAAGGCAGTGGCGAACATAATACCATGTCGTATACATCACGATGGTCCAATTGAACCAACATCGACATATTGGACCCCTGCTGCCACTGACGGTTTGTCTCCCCTGGAACGCGGGCCATAATTGCGAAGCTTGTCTGACAACATAGCTAGATGGGACAAAACTAGCATACTTCCGTGGAAGGAAGCTTCAGGGAAAGGTAGTCAAGTTGCCAGAAGACTATCGGGGCGTTGTCGTCGAACGAATCCCCGAACAAGATCCTAAAACTGCCGCTGAAGAGCCTCCTGAGGAGGATCTTGATGTCGAGAAAGAGGAAGCAGGGAGCATGAAAGTTACATCAGAATTCGACGAGATGGTTGTTTGGGGTCACGAGACAGTGGTAGATGCCAGTGCAGATCCCTACGTTCGAAGTATGGAGGAATGGTTACAGGTGGCTGACAAGGTATGCATGCACTGCATTGAGATGCCGATCTTTATACTGACAGTGCTCACAAGATTCACTCCTACTCGCTCCCTGAAGACGTTGTGCAAAAATGATACGACCGAAGACGACCGAAATGCCTGCCCGCCCCCAAGCCCGCCCAGCTACAACCGATACCTCTAGATACCCATCCTCGCTGGCACCACCTTGATTCATATACAATATGGTGGTTACAATACCTGGCTGCCAGAACTTGAGTATAAAAACTGGCTTTTTGTAACAATAACATGGGCAATTTGCACCATCTTGGTTTGTATAGCATCGAGTTGGTCTATTGCACCGATGACTACAGGCCAGAACACTTTTGCTGTGCATAGGATAATTTCTATAACAATGTACAATAGACTGAACAATCGCGGCCTTTGAAGGAAGATTGGTGGGAATATCGCTTACCATCCCACCGTACTGTCATGATATATGGGTCCCAGTTCGGAAACCAGCAGTTCTGTTTAGCTGAATGTTGGCTATATAGCATTGTTTTACGAGCATGTCTGGAGTCCATAGCTCAGGGCATAAGTAGCTAGGTAGACAATTGTGTGACGCCCAACAACAGCAATATATTTGATCTCGGCAGACCTAATTCTCTAAATCAGTCGTCGTGCCAATTTTGTGGGTTGCATCGACATCATGATGAAGGGACTGAAGCTTGGTTCCAAGACGTGTAAAGCAGTCTTCACCTAGCGGCAGTCTCAATATCTTTCCCTTAAGAGCACCCGCTTCTCCTTCTCCGGTAGCAACTTCGTAGATGATATCCACCGCTTTGTTGGGATCACCACGCTGCTTTCCCGCCGAATTCGCGAACTTCTTCAAGGTTTCCCCAAGTAATGTACCCTCATATGCCTTTTCGACCGAGACATCGCTCTTAATGCTAGCATCAAGGAAGTTGGTACGGAATGCTCCAGGTTCGACAATAAGAACATTGATGCCAAACTCCTTGACTTCCTTAGATAGACTCTCGGTCAAGCCCTCGAGAGCAAACTTGCTGGCACTGTAGAGACCACAACTTGGCTGAGCATCCTGCCCAGTGATACTGCTGAAGTTGATGATGGTACCTGAGCCGCGAGCTCTCATACCGGGAATAGCAGCTTGAAGTGCATAAAGTGGACCGAATAGGTTGGTTTGTATCTGATGTTCAGCCTCGGCTTCTCTTATTCTTGAGTCAGTCGAGATCTGGAACATGGAGAAGATGAACTTACGTGAACAGCTCGACTGCCCCTAAGCAGGAGTATCCAGCGTTGTTGACTAGATAATCGATGCGTCCATATGCCTTCTCTGCATCCTGGATCTTCTTGGTGATACTTGCCTTGGATTCTGTCATGTCGAGAGTGATGATGTTTCCGCCAGCACCTTCGATCCGACCGATGGCATCGGACGACCTGGTCGTATCTCGTACGGTTGCGATGACTTTGTGGCCAGCCTTCAAAGCTCTCAAGCTGAGGAGTAGTCCGAAGCCATTGGAGCTCCCTGTAATAAGCCAGACTGGGGTTGTCATTTCGACTCAATCGGGATCAGTTTTAATAACGCTATTGACACAATTGCAATGGCAGCCGGGCTTTTATAGTGATTGTTCATCCATTCGATACCAAGGGCTTTGTCTTATAGTGTCAAACAGCACGGACTTATGGTCCTCTAATCCCGATAACTTCGCGAATCCATGATGGCCTGACGATGTGGAAAATTAACACCGATCATGCATCAGACATTAGAAATCATCAGCGTATTGCATGAGGTTAATAACTTTACTACAGAATGAAATTACGAGCCTGCATCCTGGTATCGAGGAGTCTCAAAAGGAGTGTCGGAGTACAGAATTGAAGCTGCTCTAAATCCTTAAGCACTAAAGAGCAAGTTTATTTTTGAAGCTGAATTACTGATATGTCCGCTATTTGTTCTATATGACTTACTCTCAAGGTTGACTAACAAAAGAGCACCACTATAAGCCTTCCTGATGGCTTCTTCCGGTATTAGCTACGCATCCATTCGGCCGAGATCTTTCTCCCACTAACAGAAAACGTTCTCTGTTTACGAAGTTCCAAATTTGGAAAATAATAAAATGTAGAAAGGTATCGAGTATTGCCGAAGCATAAAGTTTGGGGCTTGATCTTCCATCTTAATTCGAGCAAATGTCATATGTCTTTTCAGCCTTCCAACACCATGAAATCTTGAGGAGTATTTAGGTGGCTTGAGCCGATAATCGTAGCCATTGGGCAGTATAGAAGTCTCGGTTATGTGCACCTGCTAAGCAGCTATTATTAAATTAAATTAAATACCTACATTCTTATTCTTTAACTCTGCCTGGAAACCTTACTGCATGAGAACCTCCGTTTCGTTTCACTGTCATTCTTTTTCTCTCTTTCTATTTTCTGATTTCTTTCACTCTCCCTTTCGCAGGCTTCCTTTCATTCTTTATGTCTGTCTATCTACTCCACACCCAGCCTCATATCAGCGTTAGTATCTTGTATACGACTACCTTTACCGATATACCACTACGAAAGAGCGAGCGGCGTTAGCTACGGGAATGAAAGTTCTTGTGGTTGGGAAGGGGGCTCGAGAACATGCATTGGCTTGGAAGCTGAGCCAAGCCAGATCTGTCGAGCATGTCTTCGTCTTTCCTGGCAATGGGGGAACAACTCATACGGAAGGCGTAGTGCCTATTTACACTCTGGCCGGCATCCCTACAGGTACATCGGGATACTTTGAGTTGGCGCAAAAGGCCAAGAACCTTGGGATCGGGCTTGTTGTGGTTGGGCCCGACGATGATGTCGTTAATGGCATTGAGGAGTACTTCAGAGAAGGTAAGTAACATCCGGTCATTAAGCTACATCTGTATAAAGGGGCCACTTACTGAAAGAGAGCTACAGTTCAGATACCTTGTTTCGCGCCGTCACGTAAAGCAGCAGAGCTCGAGGGCTCCAAAGTTTTCGCCAAAGACTTCATGAAGAAACATGCGATCCCCACAGCGCACCACAGCAGTTTCGATAGCTTCGACGAGGCTAGCGCCTACGTACGCTCAGTTTTCACCGACAAAGATCACCGGATCGTGATCAAAGCAGATGGTCTTGCCGCGGGGAAAGGCGTAGTCCTCCCCGAGACCCCCGAACAAGCCTTGGAGGACCTTCGAAGCATCATGAATGATGGAAGGTTCTCCACAGCAGGGTCTTCTGTGGTGATTGAAGAGTACATGGAGGGATTCGAGATCAGCATTTTGACTTTCAGCGACGGAAATACTTTCTTCTCCCTTCCCGCAGGCCAAGACCACAAGAGGATCCTGGAGGGAAACAAGGGACCTAACACCGGAGGCATGGGAGTTTATTCCCCTGTCCCAATGATCACTCCAGCGATCACGCAACAGATCGACGACACTATCCTGAAGCCAACGTTCGAAGCTCTTCAAAAAGAAGGTAAGTAGCTGCCCCTGGGTGGTTTGGCCCATTGCTTACTGGCTCTTCTCATCAGGGCGCCCCTTTCAAGGCTTGCTTTTCACTGGTATCATGGTCACCAAGTCCGGCCCCAAGGTCATCGAGTACAACGTCCGATTCGGTGATCCCGAGACCCAAAGTTCAATGCTGCTCTTGTCCGAGGAAACGGACCTAGCGAGCGTCTTGCTGTCATGTACGAACGGCACACTTGCGCAGATGAAAGACGCAATCAAGACCAAACCAGGCTTTGCGTGCAACGTTGTCATTGCGTCTGGTGGGTATCCTGGAGATCACGAAACAGACAAGAAGGTGTCGCTCAAGACCCCCCCTGAGGGCGTAGTCATCTTCCATGCAGGAACTCGGAAAGACAAAGATGGGACATTGAAGACAGCAGGAGGACGTGTCTTTTCGGTGGCCGCCTACGGAGATACTCTAGAACAGGCCCGGTCTAAGGCCTACCAGGGGGTTGAGTGTGTCTCGTTTGAACCCATGGTGTTCAGGACGGATATTGCGCAAGGAGGCCTAGAGGCCTGATCGAATAATATGGATATTATCCTTCAAGTGAAGGAAAACGCACGTAGCATCTTATCACGCCATATGGGTATCAGAAACATTGATGCTGAGACTATAAAGAATAAAATGATATAGTTACTTAAAGCCCAGGCCGACTCTTGGGCACTTACTCTTGGCACCCTAAGCCTTGGGGAACAATCCTTCTAGTACCCAGTAGGCAATAAATTGCTGTCGTTTAGTCAACGACTATGCTATTGTTCACGAACTCTGACGTGTACAGGCATGCGACTCTTGATTCTTGGTGGTGAATCTCCTCCAACTTGATAACAACGATCTCCCCAAATTTCCGGCGCTTTTTTGGAGCCATGCGTTCCACTAAGATGGGCTTGAGTGAGCTATGGTTCGTTAAGAGAAGGCATTTTGAAAGAACTTACTTGACTCGGTCCCATTCCTCCCATGCAACCTCAATGTCAAAGCATCTCGCCACCAGGACCACGGCCAGCTTGATCTCAAGGATAGCAAGATGCTGGCCAATGCAATTTCGGGGCCCGGCTTCGAAAGATCGCAAAGCATTGGGCGGCGCATACAATGGATTCTGGTGGTCAGTTGTAAGAAATCGCTCTGGCAGAAACTCATCCAGCCTGTGCCAGAGTTCAGGGTCATGATGAATGGCCCATGAGCCGTCCCAAACGATGAAACCATCGGTGGGCATCTTCTTGCCCCCGAAGCCAGAATCGGAACCAGGAGGACCAACAAGGAAAAAAGCCTGGCTCACCACGGCGCATTGTGCCAACGTTGGTATGATAGCGTATGGATTCCTTGAGGACGGCGAGGGTGTATGGGATTTGCTTTAACAGCTGAGGGTTGCCCCTGATTACATGTGCGGCATCCTAAGCACTAGAGCCCAACACATTATCGTGCTCTTCTCTTAGCTTGGCCAAGACACCAAGATGCTGGCACAGCACACGGAACAGCCATGCAATGGTTGCCGCAGTTATATCGAATCCCGCAAACAAGAAGGTGTTGATCTGGCCAATGGCCATATCAATGAAGTCAGCATCAAAGTCCATGGCTGGCTTGGTCTTGTCTTCATTTACCCCCCATTCTTCTCGGCTCTTTCTTGGTCAAGTGCCTGGACGATAAGATCGATAAGTGTTTGTGTTTTCCCTTTAGCCGTTGGGTCACTCTGAAGCGCGCTCATGCGTTCTTGATGCTTGGGGTAAATCCGTCGACGAGAGTTTTGTAATTCTTCCACAATTTGAAATGACGCCATGGATTGCAGTACTGAACAATATTGCCAATGTTGACGAAGAAGTATAATCGGGAAATGCTGTCTTGTAGAGCGTTGCAGATGGGAGAGCTCTTTCCCCACTGCTCGTTCATGCGGATGTTCCTACAACAAGTTTATCAGCATCAGAAGGCTGGATAGGGGAATAGGCTACCAGTATTTCTGAACAATTCTGAACTCACCGGAAGAATCGGATGATGACATCCAGGGTAAGGTTTGTGGTGGCCTTCTCAAAGTAGAAGACCTCCCCCCAATGACCATCCTTACCGGCCTTATTCTTAAGCACGGCGGCGAAATCTTCAACTTCTTCCAGAATGTCTGGGATCCGACTGTTGATGTTCTGAATACTAAAGGCCGGGTTGAGTCTCTTGTGCCAGAGCTTCCACTCTTCGCCCTCCATGGAAGCGATGTCGAGATTCTTTGTCAAAGGATAAAGAACATGCTTCTGTTCATATGCCTTGGGCAAGGAATATTGCTGTGTGAATTATTCGAAACGTCAGAATTGAGGGATATTACCATTGGTCTGGTGAAAGGCCATGTGTCGATGCAGGCAACAGGCGGGCACTTGGTGCATTGTGGGAAAAGTTCACGCCAATTCTCACGGATCATCATCATCAAATAGCCACCATGAGCATCTGATGGAAGAGAGGAAACGAGCTTTCCAACAACTTGAAGGTGGCCCAGGATCATCGAGTGCTTCATGATTGGCTACCATTCGAGTCAGACACGAACGGTTTTGTAAAGTAGTTGTAGAACTTACAATTCCTTGGTATTTTAAAGCCTGGAATCTCTTCCGGACTTGGTACCCTTTGCGCAAGGCATTGATGAGCAATGCAACCATCACCACCCCCAATAAATGGGAGAAATGCAGCATGATCGAGGAGTCGTTATCTTGAAGGCTGAATAACCACATCTTGTCCAGTTCCCACAGCTCTGGCGGTGAGATCGAGAGATGAAAAGTCGCGATACTGGGACATTGGTTTAAATGGTGTTGTCTCACCTTTCAGCCACAGGGCAGAAGTAAGCAAGCTGCATATTGCCCCACCATCTTTCTCCGTGCAACGAGAGAGAGAGTCTGTAATCATAAAAGACAACGTCAAACGTGACTTGAAATACATTATTTGTTCAGTTGATACGTTTCATTGTGGCATTGGATCAAAGGCAGAGAGTATCATGAAGGTCGGACTTACTCAGCGTAAAGGTTGGGGCTTTACTGGGGAGACCAATACCTAAGCCAACCATTTCTGGCTCAGGTGAATCGAATTATGTGACTGGAGCGCATAACCAGGAAAAATGGGGTATGAAGTCACGATATGCATCAAATCCAATGATGATGAAAGGAGAAGGGACCAGCTGGATCGGGTGATGATACCCCGATCAATGAGGGGTTCCATTGGAAGGTACCTCCATCATGAGTTAAGAGGTACCTTCCCTCATTCATGATACTATAGTGCCTACCTACCTTAACTACCCCTCTTCTCAACACCACAACATCAATCCGCTTACCCATCATAGAATACTTGTCTCATTCATTTCATCATGTCTATGTCAGTGGAAGATGCCACCAAAACACGAGATGGTTTTCCCAAACCATTCCCTAATATCTCCTCAAACGTGATGGAGCAGCTTCGCTTGAATGACAAGGTCTGTATTGTCAATGGCGCTGCCGATGGACTCGGATACTCTGTAGCTGAAGGCTATGCTGAAGCAGGCGGAAATGTTGCTTTGTGGTATAACTCGTAAGTTCATTGCAATCATGATAACAACCAGCAATCAACCAACATTCTTCAGAAACGATGCTGCTATCGAAAAGGCCCGTTCATTGTCAGAACAGCATGGAATTAAAGCCTCGGCCTACCAGGTTGACGGTAGGGCTTGTTTTATAATCGCTCATCTTCTCAAGAGCTTACTCAGTTTCGATCAGTATCCGATGCTCAGCAAATTCAAGGTGCCCTGAAGAAGGTCCTCGATGATTTCGGCAAGATCGATGTTTATGTTGCAAATGCAGGTAAGACAGTTATACTTGGAACCCGTGTATACGATGAAGCTAATAACAGTACCAAGGCATGGCCATTTCAAAACCAATTCTTGAACAGACTATCGAAGAATACAAGAAACAGATGTCGGTGAATGGTTCGTACCCTACCTGCGATGCCCCGCAAAGGTCGCTTGTATCTAACAGCCATGCAGTTGACGGTGTCGTCTACTCTGCCAAATACGTCGGCGAGATCTTCAAGCGTCAGGGTTTTGGCAATCTTATCATCACATCTAGCATGAGTGCCCATATCGTCAATGTGCCAACCGATCAGCCAGTTTATAACGGTAGCAAAGCCTTTGTCACTCACTTCGGCAAGTCGCTTGCCCGAGAGTGGCGCGAGTTTGCACGTGTGAACATCGTATCCCCTGGATTTTTCGACACAAAGATGGGTGCAAGTCCCGAGGCCCTCAATGAAGCGTATCGAATGGCAGTGCTGGGAAGACAGGGCCATGTCAAGGAGATCAAGGGCATTTATCTGTATCTTGCAAGCGACGCTTCAACTTATATGACAGGCAGTGATTTGCTTATCGATGGAGGATATGTGTTGCCCTAGATCTTTGGAAGAATTCAATAGAAGATGCTTGGTACTACAACGAAGATAAATGGTAATCAGAATGAATCATTCATACTCAGCCATCATCCTATTGTATTTTTCAATCTTTACTGATTCTAAGCTATGAACCAGTACAACATCACTGCAGTATCTGTTATTTCTCACTTATGGACAATACTTGAGCATGTCGAGGCAATCAAATACTTAAAATAGGATGCTCAATACCAACAGGGTCTATGTATCAGTATGTAAAGCTACAATAGAATCAAACATTCTGGGCGTCGCAGATTTATATGCGTGTGTGGGCAACGCCAATACAATACTGTTACTTCCCCTCACTCGGATGATAGTATCCCGAACTCAAGAGTCACCTGACCAAGGTATGCGGAGATGCTCAGTTCATTCTACTATTGAGTGACGGTTTTCATGGCCACTGTGACCTTATCAAACACGAATTGGTATTCACAAGCTTGATTATCGTCAAGAGTACCTGCCACACCCTACAAAGGCACAATGAGTGAAACTGTATGCCTGCCTAGTTCCGGAGTCATTGAGAGGTATACTAACTAATTACAAATCAGAACCCGTCTTGCTTTCTATATGGTCCTGGGGACGCCAGATTTGAAGACCGACCTGTCCCTCAAATCGAAGATCCGCACGACGTCATAGTCAAGATCGCATACACTGGTGTCTGCGGTAGCGACGTAAGTCAGTCTATCTATGCATCTCACTGTAGCCACTAACAAGGTCCAGGTCCATTTCTGGACTGAAGGCGGTTTTGCAAGAAAGGTCAGCGAACAGCACCCTTTGGTGATGGGCCACGAGGCTTCGGGCGTAATTCATAAAGTCGGCCCAGCGGTGTCACATCTCAAGCCAGGTGACCGAGTGGCCATCGAACCAGGTTTCTCATGCAAGAGCTGTACTTACTGCAAGTCCGGCCGGTACAATCTCTGCCGTAAGATGAAGTTTGCTGCAGATCCGCCCTCTACCCACGGAACACTCTCGCGCTTCTTCAAGATCCCCGAAGATTTTGCTTATAAACTTCCCGAATCTATCAGTCTTGAAGAGGCCGTTCTTGTTGAGCCGCTGGGAGTCGCTGTTCACGGTGTTCGCCTCGCTGATATACGTCCTGGTCAGAATATCATTGTCCAAGGAGCCGGCACTATCGGCTGTCTTACCGCGGCGACTGCCAAGGCTTATGGCGCCAAGAAAGTTATCATCACTGATATCAATGCTGAAAAGCTTTCCTTCGCGAAAGGCGTTGTGGAATGTCACACGTTCCAATCAAAATCAAACGCAACGCCTGAACAAGAAGCTGCCAGATTGAAACAAGAGGCAGGCTTTGAACTTGGTGCTGATGCCGTCCTAGAATGCACCGGAGTCGAAGCATCAGCACGATTGGGCATATTTTCTCTGGCACCAGGCGGTGTCTTTGTTCAAATCGGACTGGGTAAGGCTATTCAGGCATTGCCTATTCACGCCATGTGCGAGAGAGAAGTTGTTATGAAGACTTGTTTCCGATATGGGCCAGGTGATTTTGAAATTGCTCTTGGACTGCTCGAGTCAGGAAAGATCTCTGTCTCTTCATTCATAAGCAGTATTGTGCCATTTGAAAAGGCACCCGAGGCATGGGACCGAACTATGAAAGGAAAGGGGATTAAAAACATCATTAAAGGGGTGGAAGATTGAGTTCGACTTCACCAACTTATTAGTTGACTCTATTTACTCATAAGAAGATTTGCCTACACTGGATATCTTCCTCTATGTAAAGAGAATTAGGAATGGACAATACTAAACACGTCATTACTACTACCTGGGTTCGTTTGGAAGTCAACGTCGTGAGTACGTGATAGGGTAGCTCGGATCCTATCTCGGACTTTGCTTGTCATAGTATGGGGCTAGAGCTGACAGTGGAGGTTACAATTACAACAATGCGATCCTTGACCCCAATTTTGCCATATTAGCCACATGAATCCCGATTTTCTTGATCGCCCAATGGTCAGCTCGGATTCGGAGCAAAACTGTGCCTTACCTTTGTTCGTTCCGTGCCACAATCGGACTATCGCATTCATATGTTCGCTAAGCCACCTGCCACCTACACAATCCTTTAATCAAATGCCACCCAGATATCTCATGAATGAGGTCAAGTTAGCGTAGATACTCGGTAGAAGGATTATGTAGCTAGCTGATAGCTGGAGCCGATCTTACAACCACTTCAAGTCCGAGCATCCGCGTCGCAATCAGACTGATAGTGCATCTTTCAGCCGCCTATATAAACCCTGATTCCCATTCCTTGTTTTTCGTGATGATTTTTCCATCAAACAGACTTGAGCAAAATGAAGCTTGACTTTGTTATTATCGCCTTAGCGTTGTGGGCTAATGGAGCCTGCGCGTACAAACCACTCACCCCCCAGCGAGTCGCAGATGACATAAAAGCAGAAGAGTATGAATATTCTAGCACTACTCTATTTCGAACATAGAAAGCTCATATATCTCAGTCTTGAGAATACTCTCCAGAAGCTATATCAGATTGCTCTTGACAACAACGGCAACCGGGCTTTTGGACTTCCAGGCTACAAAGCCTCTCTCGAGTTCGTCCAAAAACGCCTACAAGATGCGGACCAGTTTGATATTTCTGTTCAGCCATTTACCCACCTCTTCTCACAAACCCGCAACGTCGTTCTGACTGGTCCTGAGGGACAGAATGTCGATGTGGTCTCCTTACAGTATAATCATGCTACTCCTCTCCCGGGAGGAGTGACTGCTCCTCTAGTACTGGTGTCCATCGACGATGAGCGCGGCTCAGGCTGTCTCCAGGAACAATGGGCAGATATTGATGCAAAAGGGAAGATCGTTTTAATCAAGCGCGGCAAATGCAACTTCGTTGACAAACTCATTCTCGCCAAGCAGAATGGCGCTGCAGCTGCCATCATCTTCAACGATAACCCCGCTCAGACTGCAGGCTCTGGCTCGCTCGGTGCTGAAAACATCGGCAAGCTTGTACCCGTTGGCGTCATCACTTACAATGAGGGTATCGCTTGGGCAGAGCGACTCGAGGAAAATGAATCTCTCGAAATCAACTTGACCATCGATGTCTTGACGGAGAAGCGTGAGACCTGGCAGATAATCGCAGACACTAAGGAAGGCGACCTAAACAACATCGTTATGCTGGGTGCTCACCTAGACTCGATCCAAGAAGGCCCTGGCATCAATGACAACGGGAGTGGTGTTGCTGCACTACTCAGTATCGCCGAGTCGATCAAGAAGTACAAGAATTTCAAAAATAAGCTGAGATTCGCTTTCTGGGGCGCAGAAGAGAGCGGAATGATCGGTTCCACTTTCTATGTATCGAACTTGTCTAAGGAAGAAGCTAGCAAGATTCGATTCTACTACAACTACGACATGATCGCCTCTCCACAGCCTTATTACATCGTATATGCCGACTCAGACGCTCATAAAGCTGGTGCCAAGTATCTCTATGAATATTTGACTGAGCAGGGTTATCCTGCCGAGTATACGTAAGTGCGAATTCAATATGACTCGGCTCTACATCCTAATTAACGCCGCTTCTTAGGCCTTTCGGGAGCTCTTCCGATTATATAGGATTCCTTAAACTTGGCATACCCTCGTCTGGTATCTTTACTGGAGCTGGTGCTCCTCAAGATTCCTGCTATCACACTGCTTGCGATGATATCAAAAACATCAACAAGGAGGCCTTTGTAGTCAATGCAAAGGCTGCCGGATATGCAGCTGCCAGCCTTGCTTTGAGCATTCACAGCCTGCCTGAGCATGAGATCTCGACTGTCAATCCATTGAGTAAGCGTGGTGTGGCACGGAATATGGTTAGATGGGCCAATGTTGCTCGAGGAGCCGAGCAGGTACATAGCTGTGGGGGTGAGAAGAAGGTCTTTATGTGATGTGTCATCGTTTTTGAGGCACGGGACTTTTGCCTGTTTATGGGAAGTCCCAATATACCATGTTTGTCAGTTGGTGTGCATAATACTGGGATGCATCTCCATGGCGGTAATGGTAACTTGATTGTCATATTGAGGAAACTTGGCATTTTTCATGTATGCTAGTGCGGTTGTCAATTCGTACAACGTAACCGAAAATCCATGATATTAACTAAGATATCCATATTGCCCAGCCTCTAGATCATGAACAATATGCACTGCATGTAAGAGATGGCGGCTGGGCGAACTTGGCGGAGCTTGTGCAATGTTGATCCGGGGTAGCTTCCAAGGCGGATTGACAGATGTAGCCAAGTCGGAAGCACGTTGTCGCCAAGAGAGTTTCTTTTTTAGACTTTGTTTTTCTATGGGTATCGTAACTAGTCGAAGCTGGTATCTTGGCTTACCAGGGTGAGGTCAAAGACGGCGGTGATGGTCAGACTCCACTGAACTTTAGTTGTAGGCATTTGTTTATTAGTAGACATGTGAATGGAATTAGCGGTGGACTGCTACTTACAATAAAGTGAAGAGACTGATTTATCTATGACTAAGTAGTTTGCTTTTAAGCAAGCCTTTGCTGGAATGGTGAAGAAAAAGAGAACATATGTACTAACAGCACGGACACTATTGAGACGGTGAAACAGTTGGGCATAGTAGATCGTGGAGTAAAAATAAAGTAAATTGGATGATAATCTTACATGATTTGAGTTCCTAAAATCCATTTACCGTTAAGTCTTGTAGATTGAGGTCTTGGTATGGAGTACATCCGTCCACCACGTTTGAAACTCTAGCAAGAGTACGGTACCGTTACGAGCATTTGATCTCTGGCTGCAACACCCTCATGTGATTGCTCTGCAGAAGGCAGTGATTATCGTAGCTTACAGGATATTTTGTCATTGCGCGTCAAAGCCCCTCAATCTTCTTGGCAGCGATAGAAGTTTCTCTAACGGCATGGGCCTTGGCAGGCAATAGCAGCAGGCGATTATTCCCAAATCTTATCTGCGATATATCATCTGCACTATTGACCGTCCACGAGATCTGGAATATCATAAAAGTGGGGTGAAGATGTGCACTAGCTGTGTTGATCTATCGCGGCAGCCGCCATTATGTTTGATGGTCCGGATATCATTACAGTAATACCATCGGGTCTCAAGTGCTTTTGCTCTCGTCTCACATTTTTAGTACATGATTTGATCAGCGACGTTGTCTTTCCAATCTGCACAATGTGCAATATATCGCAATGGGGGATGGCCGGGGGAAACGCGGGGTCTGGGGTAGTCATTCGTGATACCTACATCTAGATGCTGCAGCCGCTTTGATGAAGGCCTCAGTTGGGGAACGTAGCTATTTCAGACTTGCAATCTCTAGCAGAAAGTTGGACGTACAGCAGGCGCGGTTTGACGGCGTTGAGCAGACAAACATACTACTGCAGAATTAATACGGGAGCACATATACGCACGGTGGTGATGCAGCGACAAAAAAGCAAAGAAGTTAATCTCAACATTTTGCAGGGACTAACTCGCAGTCTCGGTGAGTACTGTCGCATATCATCCAGCATCTCGTTGGACACTGAAGAGCCGATTCTCTCTACTTGCACTCATCGAGAAGCCCCATAACCGAAGACATGCATTTCGGAGATGTTCGTTGTCGGCGTTTCAATCCATGTCGCCGATGCCGCCACTCGTTTGTGCCAAGCCTCAACGGAGCGGAAGGCGGGTCTCCGCAGCGGAGCACGTGACTCGTACGATGTTTGCTTGGCATTGAGGGAGCGGAGGGCTACATACACCAGTACTGTAATCACAGGGAGGCGCAGGCCGAGGCGGAGGAGACACGGAGACGCCGAGAAGATGGCAGCACGTGAGATCAAGCGATTGACTTCCGGTGTTCTGATAATCGGAATTAGTCACGTGAGAAATGCATCCGATGGCAGAGTGAAGAAGCTGGGACAAGAAGTCGATACTGTATGGTATCAGTGATCAGCGGCGTCTCACAAGTGCTAATTACCTACTGCACGAGCCAGAGTAAAGAGACAACAAGAAAAGAAAAGAATTACGCGAACTTGTCGCTATTTCCCGACGTAACATGAACACACACACGGTCTGCCTCTGCCAAGATCTCACTTACACACACTATTGGACAATGGATCCAAGACGGTGGATCAGGTGATATGATGATTTTGAGTAGCCGATAAGCTTCTCGCAAGCGTCGCAAGAGCCCAGAACCTTAAGCAACATAAGCGCAAGGTTATTGGGCCCAAGTGGAGAGCGATGATCCCTGAAAAACAAGACAAGGCCAATCAACGAGGATTACTTGTGCGTGGCCAAGCCTGACTCTTAGACTTGTTCCAGAAACGAGTTGACTTGTCTCCCTCCCTTCCATACCAGATGCAAGGCAAGAATCCCACGCTGCAAAATGCAAAGCTACACTATCTCAACGCAGAAGCGATCAGAAAATGACAAACTGCTGGGATTATCGCGAGAAACAGGTGGGCTCGGCGAATCTTCCCTCAAAGCTCCGAGAATCTATTGGATACGCGTCATTACTCAAGCGCCAAGAGCCGCCAAGACAACCTGTGCTCTTTCAACTTTGAAGCTATCAAGACGACCACCAGCCAGTTGAAGCTGCAGCCACGCCTTCAACTGACTAAGCATCTTGGCGCCAAGATGTGACGAACCAAGCTGAACCTTGAAAGGCTTGAATGGGTTCCAACACTCACTGAGCAAAAACAAAACAAAAAAAAAAGTGGTTGAGTGCAGTACCGTTACTTGGCAGGTCCCCTTGCTCTTGAACGGTGGTGGAATGCCGAATCAGCATGAGTTGATCAAGTGTCACACTGAAAGTTTGTTATGTTTTAGTGGACGCGATTTAGATTTGACGTTTCAAACCCGCATGCGGCATCTCGTGATAGCACGTTGGCATTCAGCACGTTTTTCTTTTTCTTCTTCTCCTCTTTGCATGGAAATTAAGACCGTGCTTCAACGGTTATTCTACCCATGACGATCGATGGCTGCCGTTAAAGTAACCATCCCATGATGATCAAAGACCGGGGCAATGCCGATATAAACTTGACAGACGCTCTAGACGCTGTCCTCGTGCGTAGCAAAAAGGGACAATGACCGGCGCAACCATGCGATAATGCAAGCTTGCGATGCACACCAATGACCTCACAATCTCGGTGCAAATACTCTCTTTCTGCTCTTTCTGTTCGCTTTGGTTACACGTTTGCGCAGATTGCCAAGCTGCCAAGACGCCAAGATACCCACTGTGCGCACCACCAGGAAGTCTCACGATACCTCTAGTCTGTAATTACGAGGTGTGCCTATCTGGTTCGAAGTTTCGATTGGTAAAAGTGACTAGGATCTGGTGATTGGTAGAACCTAGAAGAAATGTACCGAGTGCTTGAGAAAGTGTTGATGATGCCTCCCAATTTCTTTGGGGTTTATTCAAGCTGTAGACAGATACCTTGTTAGTCGGGCCATGAGTCTAATTGCCGGCTGCAGATTGACAGCAATGAACGGCAGTTGTAGATCAGACCAGCAATTGACGTCAGGAAGGACTCCGTCTAGTTCACTCAACTCCGTCCCGGAGACTACCGACAAGTCCCGTACGGTCAGTGTGATGGATGGATACTGATAGCAACACACCATCGGTTAGGCTGAATGTCTGCTGTAATTAGAGGCTCAACATTCATTCTGCAGGGATTGGTAGGGCAACATGAGAACAGGAAAGGTGCAGGGAGTGTGTGGGGAAAACGCCAACCTAATTGGAACTCTAAGCAAACTAAACTGTGGCGCATCTGAACCGTACCAACGCCAAGAAACCCCGAGCATGGTATCGACTCAGGTTCCGCTCCGAGCTTGAGACCATGAGCAAAACAGATAGAGAGAGCAGACGAGTTCTTAAGAGTTATGACGGTTCAAATTCGAGACGTCAAAAGTATATATGACCTCCTTCCCCCGCACCCCGCCAAGTCGTTCTTTCCTTCAAGTTAGAGTTATCAATCAATCACCAATCGCTGATACTGATACTGATACTGTAGTATTGGGCTTTCCACTTCCACTACCTTTACCATACCTACAACATCATCACACTTGCTGAGCAATTGTCTTGTTTCTTTTAACTGGTCGCATTGTATCGACTAGATACTCAGTACCCATGACATTGAAGTAGCTTATGGACTTTCTTGTACATCTATCCCCCTAAACTGTCATATACCATTCATACATTCATTCAACACACTCAGACAGCGACTCTTCACATCCATACCAAGCATAAGGGCCACAAACAACGGTTTCGGTCTTATTCTTCCGCCCATCTCTCCTCTCCGGTCGTCACTTTCCAATTGACCGACCATGGCGGCCGAGTATCCCAAGCACCCGTTCCTCCTCACTGTCGAGGAGACAGCGCAAGCTCTCGGTACCAGCATCGACAAGGGTCTTACAAGCCAACAAGTCGCTGAAGCCCAGCAAAAATACCCAAAGAATGAGCTCGACGTCGGCGGCACTGTACCCTGGTACAGTATCCTGACCAAGCAATTGCTCAATGCCATGATTATTGTAAGTTCTTTCCTCCGGCCGGTTCAATTGGTCATACTAATTCACAATAGGTTCTCGCATTTGCCATGGCCCTCAGTTTCGGTATCAAAGACTACATCGAAGGTGGTGTGCTTGTCTTTGTTATTGTTCTCAATGTTACAATTGGTTTCTGGCAAGAGTATCGTGCCGAGAAGCGCATGGATGCTCTTAGAGCCCTTTCATCACCCAGTGCCATGGTTCTTCGCGACGGCAAGACCCAAGTCATTTCCAAGTAAGTCCTCACAATCTGAAGCATCCGACATCACAAAGCTAACCACTTGAACAGCCCCGAAGTCGTTCCCGGTGACATCGTTCTTCTCAAGATGGGCGACACTGTCCCCGCCGATCTCCGTCTCTTTGAAGCCATGAACCTTGCCTGCGAGGAGGGTCAACTCACTGGCGAATCGATCCCCGTCGAAAAGATCACCGATAACAATATTACTGCTCCTGGCACTGAGAAGCTTGTCGAGTCCGAAGATGAGATCGGTATTGGTGACCGTGTCAACATGGCCTATGCCACCACCGTTGTCCGAAAGGGTCGTGGTCGTGGTATTGTCACTTCTACTGGTATGCTCACTGAAGTCGGCAAGATTGCTGCTTCTACTTCTAAGAAGACACGCAAGGCTGGACGCTCAATGAACTATAAGAAGTATGGAAAGAAGCAGCCCTTTGTCGGTGCTAGCAAGCGAACCTGGGATGTTATTGGCAAGTTTTTGGGTCTGACTGAGGGAACACCTCTGCAGCGAAAGCTCTCAGCTCTCGCCTACGTTCTCTTTGGCTGTGCCATTATCCTCGCTATCGTTGTGTTTGCTGTCAACAAGTTCGACATGAAGAACGAGGTCATCATTTATGCCACTTCTTTAGGTATCGCCATTATTCCCGAGTCCCTGGTCGCTGTCTTGACTATCACCATGGTCGTTGCCGTCACTGTCATGCGAAAGGCCAATGTCGTTGTTCGTGATCTTTCAGCCCTCGAAGCTCTTGGAGGAGTCACCAACATTTGCTCCGACAAGACTGGCACCCTTACCGAAGGTGCAATGGTTGTTCGCAAAGCCTGGATTCCCTCTTCTCACATCTACACTGTCCGCGACTCTCAGAACCCCAACGACCCCACCAAGGGCAGGGTCACATACTCCAAGCAGAATGACTCTGAGCCCGAAGAGCCTCCAGCACCCCGTGATTATGATCGCGAGCGAAGTGCCGCCGTGCTCAAGTTTGATGTTCCCGACGAGAAGTTGAACCAGAACAACAACACTCCCGCCAAGCAGCCCGAGCCTGAGGTTGAGTGCGAAATGACCGACGAGCTCAACGCATTCTTGCTCTCCTCTGCCCTTTGCAACTTGGCTACGGTTCGCTACGATGACGAAGAAGAGAAATGGCAGGTTACTGGCGAGCCCACTGAGGTTGCTCTCCAAGTTTTCGCCCACCGCTTCAACTCTGGTAAGAAGACACTCGAGGGTCAGAACTGGAAGCAGATCGCCGAGTTCCCCTTCGATAGCTCCATCAAGCGCATGTCTGTCATCTACGATGCCCCTGAGGGCGCTAGCGGCTCTATTATCGAGACTGAGAACTCCATGGTCTTCACAAAGGGTGCCGTCGAGCGTGTTCTGGATCTTTGCGACTATGTTGGCAGTGGAGCTGATCAGCAGCCTATGACTGATGAGCTCAAGGAGAATGTCCTCAACCAGATGAACAGCCTTGCTTCTCAAGGTCAGCGTGTTCTCGCTATCGCTTACCGCCCCTGGGATGGTCGCTTTACTTCTAAGCAAGCCTCTTCACCCGCTGAGGATGAGAAGCTTCGAACTGAGGTCGAAAAGGGCCTCATTCTTCTCGGTCTCGCTGGTATCTACGATCCTCCTCGCCGCGAAACCAAGCCGTCTATCGCTGAGTGTTCCAATGCTGGTATTCGCGTTCATATGCTTACCGGTGATCATCCTGAAACTGCCAAAGCCATTGCTAAGGAAGTCGGTATTATTCCCAAGAACCTCGGTATCTTGCCCGATCATGTTGCCAAATCCATTGTCCAGAAGGCCACTGACTTTGACCGAATGACCGATGAGGAAATTGATGCTCTTGAGGAACTTCCTCTGGTCATTGCTCGATGTGCTCCGGACACCAAGACTCGCATGATTGATGCCCTTCGTCGACGTGGCGCCTTCATGGCCATGACTGGTGACGGTGTCAACGATGCTCCCTCTCTATCTCGCGCTGATGTCGGTATTGCTATGGGTTCTGGCTCTGATGTTGCCAAGTCAGCTTCCAAGATCGTGCTCACTGATGACAAGTTCAACTCTATCGTCGCTGCCATTCGCGAAGGTCGTCGCATGTTTGACAACATTCAGAAATTTGTCCTCCATCTTTTAACTTCCAACGTCGGTGAAGTTATCCTCCTAGTCTGCGGCCTTGCCTTTGTCGACGACACAGGCTTCTCAGTTTTCCCTGTTTCGCCTTTGCAAATCATCTGGATCAACATGGCTACTTCTTCATTCCCTGCCTTCGGACTTGGTCGTGAACAGGGTGCTCAGGATATCATGCGCAAGCCTCCGCAGGATAAGAAGCGTGGTGTCTTTACCAACCAGATCATTGTTGATATGATCGTCTACGGTATCATCATGGGCGCTTGCACTATGTGCACTTTCGTTATTATTATCTACGGCGCCAATGGTGGAAACTTGGGCGAGGAGTGTAACCAGCGATACTCTGAGGCCTGCATCCCTGTGTTCAAGGCTCGCGCTGCTACCTTTGCTGAACTGACTTGGCTTATTCTCATTTCGGCTTGGGAGTTCAAGAGTCTGCGTCGCTCGGTTTTCCGCCTCAACCCTGACGATGACAGCCGCTTCCCTGTCTTCAAGGACATCTACGCCAACCGCTTCCTCTTCTGGTCTGTTATCATCGGCGGTCTTTCTGTGTTCCCTGTGGTCTACATTCCCGTCCTCAACCACAAGTTCTTCAAGCACACTGGTATCACTTGGGAGTGGGCGCTGTCTGTCGGCTTCACCATCGTGTTTGTTGCTGGTATTGAGCTTTGGAAGTTGACTAAGCGACATTTCCACCTTCTTGAGGACGCTCCTGTTCGACGTGGTGTTTGGGGCCAGGGTGGTGAAGACGGTGGCCGACTCGGTCGAACCATGTCTTTCTCCAGCTTCAAGACCTGGGCCTCCTTTTCTCGAAAGGACACTGGAGAGTCTCTCGGCAAGCGAGATACTTCTCGGGGACCATCTGAACGACATATTGTGCCTCAAGGCCTTGCGGCCACCGAGGCTTAATCTTATGGATTACATATTTATGAAGATAATACCAGGGGTTAGTTGCAAAATTAATGATAGAGGAGGATGTTTAGATGATTTTTATCTCGGAGAAGGTTTTTGATGAGTGGAAGCATTTTGACGAATTTTCATACACCACTGCAGTATTGGATGTTGATATCACTTGTGCTTTTCAGTTACATTTTTGGCCCTCATGAAGGGTATAGATATCCTGCCACCCAGCATAAAAATAGTGGGTGCGAAATACATTCTGTTCTTTTCTAAAAACTTTTAATGTAAAGTCGAATGAAATTGTCCAAGAGCTCGGTTACTCGACACTCAGTCAAAGGGAGTGGCATTGTGAACTCGTTTATACTGTGATATGTATATAACAAAACAATAACCCAACAGTGATGCACCTGTATATGCAGCATTGATTCTAAACCACGGTTTGACATCCCAAACACCGTTGAGAACTTGGATCAACCCCACAGCATGCTTCCATCGGTCCATTCATAAAAGGCTTTACATCGCCGTATTCAGAATAACAGCAAGTATCAACGACAAGGTCCCGACACTAGGTAGGTTGAATTTCGCCTGAGATGCACTGTTCTCACCAGTAGTGTTGAGTCCGAGATACTGGGCGCCTATAGTCGTCAGAGAGCCACGATTGGACAGAAAAGCGGCGTTGGGACCGACGCTGGATATATCAGATCGGAACGCGCCAAAGTAAGTGTATCGACCAATGAACTTTGACTCGTCAAACCACTTAAGAGTCTGCTCGAAGAACTCGTCTGTAGGCTTGGGATCTTGATGGGCGTAGGCATATTCTGTAACCCAAATCGAAGTGTTGGGCCATCTGTATGGTTCGTTAGCGACGATTGAAGGGTTGTATGGTATAGTACATACTCAGCAAGACGTTCACCGATGTGAGATGCCAAACCCTCAAAGTTGTCGTACCAGTGCACAGGAAGAAAGTCCCATGTACAATTCCTCCTGGGACCACCTTGACTCTTTATCTCGGTACAGTTTCCGAGAAACTGTCTCAACCAGGGCATACCATCCCACCCACCTGTACAAGCAGGAAGTCCCAATTTTATGCCCATCTTGCCCAGGGGTTCAAAATTGGCGACCCAGGCTTCAGCAGCGACTTTGGGCTCGAGGTTGCTCCCTCCAACATCGTTTCCAGCATCCGGTTCATTGAACCCAAGGACATGAGTGATATTGATTCCGTCGTTGATAAGACCTTTGACATTCTTGAGGAAGGTGGTATCGCTCGAGTCAGATCCGACACCCCACATCATGGGCACGAATTCGAACTGATCTTGGGGAATGTTTTTGTATAGATCTGTAGGCTGGTCTTCATAGTTGTAGTACCATGTGATGTCGCTGCCATTCTGGACCCATATCTTGTCATCCTGGGGTTCCTTCTTGTTGTGGACGAAGCAAAGTCCTCTCTTGGGATCGCGGGTAGCGTAAGCTGAACTGGCTAGTAGAAGAGCCAGGAGATGCTTGGACAGAGTCATGATGTGTAAGTATGCAACTTCGGGATCTGAGAAATGTACGAGGTCTTAACGATGAGAAGAGAAAAATTATCAAGGTCTTAGGGCTGAGTGTACAACGAGTAGCTCTGGGTAATTTCCTGGTTGTTGCTAAAGAGTGATGTCTGCTCGGTCAGTCTTTTCTGTTGTCTACTCTGATGGTCGCTAGAGCAGGGGATGGGACTCCAATGGTGATCTAAGTCAGCTTGTATAGAGAAGGTAGTAAGGATCGTGTATCTGACTTGAGAGACCTCAAGTGGTATGACTTGCTGTGTAAAAGAGAGTGGTGAATGTATGAACCTACAGAGTCATCGCAAGATCAGTCGAGTTCAGGCGTAAAGGAGGCGATGGCACAGACATATTAGAAACCCCGAACCTTCCGTTTTCTTACAGATTCTTCACAGACGCAATATTTCAGTCAGCTTGGCTTGAAGAAATGGCTTGTGGCAAATCGCCGAAAATGGATATGGTATGAAGCTATTCGACCCGTTGGTTCTCTTATCGCCGGATGAGGAAAACGGTTTGTCTGACCAAGGGTCTAGACATACGGACGCTAGGGACAGCCGAGAAGTCCTCCTGAAGATCCAATAGTTATTATTGGCTCATGCTTGTGATCCAGGAACAAGTGTTACGCTTGTGTAGGATGATTCGCGTGATCGATCTCAAGCCATGTGGTAGATCTATAAGCACAATAGACACCGTACCAGGTCGGTGGAACCTTGTCTTCAATAATCCAATGATGTTCAGAATGACTTCAACCTAGGACAATATTGAGGCTAATAACACTTGCTATTTTGTATGGCCATGTTCAAGTGTTGGTTGAGTAGATGCTGTTTTTCGATGAGACTGTAGGGTAATCAGAAAGCTAAGAAAATGTGAAATAAATGTGTAGATCTTATTGACGAACTGACAAAACTTGGTGAGAATACAATACTTCGAGCTAACTTTTTATTGCATTCCAATCACCAAGCCTATGTTTAGACGACATGAGTTTACTCAATCTATGCGCGTACGATATTGGAAGCACTGTGGAAACGGGAAGTAGACGTGATGTTCAAATGCAATAACGCCGAATTTCGATGAGATAATTGATTTAATGGTCGTTCATGTATAAAGATTCAAACATCTCTGGACTTGATCACAAAACGGTAATTGCTACTAGTTCTATTAAAGATAGCTCGAGAGTTGTTTGCTTGCCGTCGCCGCCCAACTGGAATGCCATCGTTTATCGATATCAAAAGTGTTATGTCAGCAATTGCGGCCCCGCAAGATAGATAATCACCCCGGAACCTCGGGAAGTGGCTATTCTTGTGGCTACCTCGGCTCAACCCCACGCGTTTTGATGCGCCATTCCAAGTACCGCTACAGCTTCCGTTGGAGTTTGAACCCCAGACCCCTCTCATGATGAACTTCGCCTCGGCATCTTTTTCTCCTATTTAGACCCAATCGCTCTGTTATATCAACCTTACCATCCGACCTGAAAGACATCTCTCTTCAATCCGTCTCGTTTACACATACACACACATACACAATGGCTGCTGAACGTATTGGTTCCATCGTCAAGCACTTGGCCCCTGGGTCAGCGCTTAACAGCATGTTAGTTGCCACTCTTCATGACCGGGGCAACGTAAACAAACTAACAGCGATACAATAGTCAAGCCAAAAATCCCGACGATATTGTTATCACTCTCGCCGTGCGAACGCCGCTCACCAAGGCCAGGAAGGGTGGTTTCAAGGACACCACTCTTGAATATATGGTTTATGCTCTTCTGAAGGAAGTCCGAGAACGATCGAACCTTGACCCTGCCCTGGTTGAGGATATTTGCCTCGGAAACGTGAGTCGCGATTCTTGTTATGAATCAAGCGCTTGCTAACATTATCTCAGGTCTCTGACGCTAAGGCCGCCTACAAGGTCCGCGCTTCTGCCCTCGCCGCTGGTTTCCCCAACACCACTGGTGCCTCGTCTATCAACCGCTTCTGCTCTTCTGGCCTCAAGGCCACCGCTGATATCGCCCACTCCATCTCCAATGGCTCTATCGAGATCGGTATCGCCATGGGCGCCGAACAGATGACCATCGGTGGCGACGCGCTCGATAAGCCTTTCGACGAGGCTGTTACATCAAAAAGCCAGGAGGCATTCGACTGCATGCAGCCCATGGGCTGGACAAGCGAAAACGTTAGCAAGGACTTTGGTGTTACCCGTGAGATGATGGATAAGTTCGCTGCCGGAAGCTTCCAGAAGGCCGAGGCTGCGCAAAAGGCTGGCTGGTTCGCAGATGAGATTGCGCCCATCACCACCAAGATCAAGGGCCCTGACGGCCAGGAGAAGGAGGTCACTCTCACTCAAGATGAGGGCATCCGACCAGGCACCACTGCTGAGAGCCTCTCCAAGATTCGAGCTGCTTTCCCTCAATGGGGTGGAGCTACAACTGGTGGTAACGCCAGTCAGCTCACCGATGGAGCTGCCGCTGTCTTGTTGATGAAGCGATCTACTGCCATCAAGTTGGGTCAACCTATCATGGCCAAGTACGTTGGATCTACTGTTGCTGGTCTTGCACCTCGCATTATGGGTATCGGCCCCAGCGTTGCCATCCCCAAGCTCCTCGCCCAGCACAACATCTCCTTGAACGATATTGATATTGTTGAGGTCAACGAGGCCTTTGCTTCCATGGCCGTTTACTGCCAGGATAAGCTTGGCCTTACATCAGAAAAGCTCAACCCTCGTGGAGGAGCCATCGCCTTGGGTCACCCTCTGGGCGCTACTGGCGCCAGACAGATTGTTACAGGTCTGTCTGAGTGCAGACGGCAAAAGAAGAAGATGCTCTTGACAAGCATGTGCATTGGCACAGGCCAGGGCATGGCTGGTCTGTTCGTGAACGAGCAGGTATAGGACGGTCGAAGCGAATCTAGTTATTAATTATGTAACAAAAGCAGATCTCGATGTGATCTACGAGTCGGTTGGAGATGCGATTTCTTGACGAGCGAGATTACTGAATTCAAGCATAAAGTTTTGTTCTTTTTTCAGCCATTTATCATGCATAACGAATGACACTAAATATGCATATCCGTGAAGCCAAATAATTCCAAGAACTCTTTCAATTGTGTTATTGTCTCACCGACGTGTCAGCCAAGGAAAAATTGCAGATGATCATGAACTTTCGAGATGGAAGCTCAATATTACGGCCAGTGTCGGGTTCCAGATGGGCAGCCATAAGCCTTTAGGCCGGCGGGGGCTTCTAGGCCTTCTCGCTACAGTCAGTTGCAGGGGTCGCTGAACAACACGAGGTTGGCTATTCGCTCACATTCCCCGAGGCGGCGGGAGTCACCTGGAGGCTACTGCTCTGATGTCACTGGAAAGTCCCCGTAAATGGTAAAAGTTGGACAACCTACAGCCATTGCGTGGGTGGCATTTGCGCGGTTAAAGCGCTATGATTGGGCTAAAACCTGCGACTGGATCTGAGATTTGGGGGTTACCAGGATGAGAAACTGCCTGATGATTGCACACAAGAAGTCAAGGGACCTGACCGATTGACGGCATGGGATGGATGGGATGACCCTTGGAATGGGTTTAGTTGCTTGTACTGTACTCCTCCTACCTTGGGTATCTTTAGCGAGACATGAATTTTTGATCTCTTGACTTTTTCCTTTTTCCTTTTGTCTTTCCCTACCTACCTATGCATTGATTCATGATTCTTTGACAGTCAGTTGTACGCAGAGTCCGTTCCTTCTACTCCATGCATTACTCGTCATCGCCAGTCGCGTACTTGTCGAACTCCAAGCCGGCATCTTTTTGCCGACGATCGTCGACCATCTATCTTCTGCGCCGATACAAGCAGGAAACCCTCGTGAAACAAGCTTAAATATAGATCTGTGGAAGTCGTTCCATTCTAACAGTATCTATCCTAAACCACCAGAATTAAGTCGATTCTTCAAAAGACATTACGACTTAGTCGGTATTCGCTATCATGACGAACCGACCTTCTCATAGTCGTACCAATTCGTCCACGGACCATCGTCCTGCGCAACCAAGTGCCCTTCGTCAAGCTGCATCGCCGCCAGCTTCGCCTGGACAAGGAGCCACCATAAACGAGATATTCGCCAACGAATCGACGCCGCTGATCGATGGAGATAACCAGCGCCCGAACCAACGTCGAGGGAGCGTCCATCCCGCGCATCCCGGTGTCTGCAGTCATGGTACTTTCAGTCCACGACCTATGAGCCCGACATTGACGATGAGAAGCACCGACGAGGATGGCAGCGAGACCGCGGGGTCGGGAACACACATTCCTGTCCTGGATAACGCTATCACAACGATCGTGGGCCATGAGGATTGGAAGAAGTGGTTGAAAAAGAGAATGCGAACAAAGACCATGGGCCACAGCAGTATGCTGGCAGAACAAGCAGGTTTCGAGGACACAGCTTTCATGTAGGAGCTCATTACGTCCAATGGCCGGTAAATCGCCTGCTAACTTGCCAACAGGTATCTCGCGTACTATGTCCCATGTTTGAATTGGATGCGCCAGTACAAGGTTTCTTACCTTCGAGGCGATCTTATCGCAGCTATTACTATGGCCTCGTTCTATCTACCGATGGCCCTGTCACTCGCTGCGAACCTCGCTCACGTCCCTCCGATTCACGGCCTCTACGCTTTCGTCTTTAACCCTTTCATCTACGCTTTGCTCGGATCTTGCCCACAGATGGTTGTCGGTCCCGAAGCCGCAGGTTCTCTTCTTGTCGGCACCGTTGTCAAGCAGAACGTTGGCTCTGGAGAGGACGAAGATAATGATTTGCTCCATGCGCAGATCTGCGGTATTGTAGCAGGTATGGCGGGTGCAATGGTTGTCATTGCCGGTCTTGCGCGATTGGGTTTCATGGACAGCGTTCTCAGCAGGCCTTTCCTGCGCGGTTTCATCAGTGCTATCGGTTTCGTCATTGCCGTTGACCAGCTGATTCCTGAGTTAGGACTCGCTGAGTTGGCTGACAAGGCGGGCGTTAGCCATGGTAGCCCAGTAGAAAAGATCAGGTTCATCCTTGGCAATGTCGACAAAGCGCACGGCTTAACATTCGCCATTGCTGGAATTAGCTTTCTTGTCATCATGATTTGCCGGTAAGTGGCGCTTTCGTGGCTTTATTTCTACCCAACGTTGACTGAGCGTTTAGTGAACTCAAAAACCGGCTCCAGCCCCGATACCCCGGTGTCGCGTACGTCCCTGATCGATTTGTTGTCGTTGTCGTGTCTGCAATTCTCTGCTGGCAATTGGACTGGGACAGCCAAGGCGTTGAGATTCTCGGACCAGTCAAGGCCGCCAACGGTCAGCTCCTTGCTTTCCAATGGCCTTTCAAGCTGCAGCACATGCCGCATATTCGAAGTGCCATGTCGACCTCCTTCCTAATCGCACTTCTCGGATTTTTCGAGTCTTCTGTAGCCGCCAAAAGTTTGGGTTCAAGTGAGACCATTCAGGGTATCCAGTTGAGCGCAAACCGAGAGATGATTGCTCTGGGCATTGCTAATATGGTTGGTGGTTGCTTCATGAGTCTGCCAGCGTTTGGTGGATATGGCCGAAGCAAGGTGAATAAGAGCACCGGTGGCAAGAGTCCTGCCAGTTCAATGTTCCTGAGTATCATCTCCTTGCTCTCGATTTTCTTCCTTCTTCCATACTTTTATTACCTACCAGTAAGTCAAAGATGAGTCTGGTACGATCCTACGAGCTAACAATTTGAAGAAACCCGTACTGTCATCGATGATTTCTGTCGTGGCTTACTCGCTAATAGAAGAAGCGCCCCACGACATCAGCTTCTTCCTGAAAATCCGCGGCTGGACTGAGCTGGGTCTCATGGCTGTCATTTTCTTTGCGACCATGTTCTACTCGCTCACACTTGGCATGGCATTCGGCGTTGGAATCTCGATGCTCATGGTCATCAAGCATAGTACGCGACCAAGAATTCAGATTTTAGGCCGAATCCCTGGAACAAACCGATTTGAGAATGCCGAAGGCGATAAGGCAAGCCTGGAGTTTGTCGAAGGATGTCTTATCGTCAAGATTCCAGAGCCTTTGACCTTTGCCAACACGGGAGAACTCAAATCTCGACTCCGCCGGCTGGAACTTTATGGCACGTCAAAGGCACACCCTGCCCTGCCACGACTCCGTAATGCTGACATGAACCGCAACGTCATCTTCGACATTCATGGCGTGACATCCATGGACGGTTCAGGTACCCAGGTTTTGACAGAGATTGTTCGCAACTACACTGATCGAGGAGTGCGTGTCTACTTCTCCCGATGCCCAGTACGCAAGGATCACCCTGTCTGGCGCTTGATGTCAAGCAGCGGCATTGTGGAGATGGCCGGTGAGAGACACTTTGTTAACGACGTTGAGGAGGCACTGCGCTTGACTGAGTACGAAGAGAGTGTCACTGGAGAATCCAGCAGACATCGTGAGCTCTAGAGCGACAGAGGATCTAAAAGAAGGGACCAGGGCGTTAGAATATTTACGATGCATAGTTTTGGAGTGTTGCAGATTGCGCAGAGGAGATACCACTTTCTTTGACGTTGTAGAAGCATGGGTTTAAACGAGCATTAGAACCTGCATGAGTAACGCAAACACGCTTACGAATACATATACATACACACATATACTGGACTAGGTGTTTTCCAGGACCCAAATACAGATTGCAAACGTGATGAACGAGGGAAGAACAACTAGGACGATCATGAAGCACTAATACCAAGAGTCGATACCTAAAGGGCTGAGGCACTTGGTGTCTTCCATCCTTGACGGCATGAGTAAGTTTTAGATATGAAGGGACTACATGGGGCAGTCGGAGGATCGTCAGCCGAGGATGCATCGCGATCTTACTTTTGAGCTCCCATTGCCGATGATCAATTGGGTGCAAGCCGAGGTGCCACAGACACAACCTTGTGTAGTACCATGGGAGAGTATAAGACTAAGCCCTCGCCTTTGTTCTTTGTCTTGGTGGCTTACCTTGACCGTGCATGTTGCAATGGTCTTCTATCCACGACTCTTTGGTCTCACATTGTCACAAAAATAACCTACTTCAATTTATTCTTATTTCATACATCGGTTTGAACAAAACCTAAGCTTCAGTGATCTATGCCCTAGCTATAACAAAATGGAAGGAAGCGTACAATACCAGTCATAAAGGATTGTACCATATGCCAATATGGACCCCATTGAGTTTGTGAGTCTCTTGAAGCTCCCAAGCTCATAATCTCGTTGTCGCATGAAGCTGATCACTGTACAACAGGACCCTCTTGTAGTCGGTAATGTAGACGATGACAATGATTCCATCGTCAGTAGTGGTAGGTTAGTAAAACTATTGGTCTTCTTCTCAAGCATCACTTATTCGGATTGCCAGTTTGCGCGATTCTACAGCCTCTATAACATCTAGCATCCTTGAGTATAGAAATATAAATGGTCGACTCTTTCAGCAATCTAATACTACAGAGTATTGGTCAGTTTTGTTACGTTCTCAGCCAGTGAAAGGCTAACTCGCATTCCAGGGCACCTACAGACGAGCATTTCCAGGAAGGACAAAACTTACTGTAATTACCTTCGACCCTAAAGAAGGCAATACTCTAACTACTGATACAATAAGGCACCACGCTACTCTTCTTCTTCTAGGCAATAGACTGCACCTGTCACCCATTGGAGAGAAACCTCGGGTATGTGAACGATGAAAGCCAGGCCACGAAAGAGATGCAGCTGACTAGGTTAGAAAATCCTCGACATCGGTACTGGCACTGGGATATGGGCTATGTATGCTCGATAACCCTCTACCGATATAAAACGTTCTAACAGTATTAGCGATATGGCTGATGAGTATTCTTCTGCCAAAGTAATTGGCACTGATATCTTGGCTGTTCAACCCACCTTCGTACCACCAAACTGTATCTTCCAGATCAACGATGCCCAACTCGACTGGACTTTTGAACCGGATTCTTTCGACTTTATCCATCTCCGATATCTCTACGGTGCCATCGATGACTGGAGAAAGCTTTTTCGTCACGCCTACACCCACGTGCTACCAGGGGGCTGGGTCGAGAGCCTCGATATCGACATCGAAACACGCAGCGAGAACCCCAAGGTACAAAACGACACAAATCACATCTTTTATAAATGGTACCAACTATTCTTCGAATGCTGGCGTAAGACTGGTCGAACATTTGAGATCGCGCGCGATGGACGTCAGGAAGAATACATGCGAGAAGCAGGTTTTGCTGATCTGGTATCTAAATCGTGGAAAGTGCCCATTGGAGGTTGGCCACAGGATGAAAAGCTGAAGCAAATTGGGTTCTATAACGGTGCTTTCATTGATCAATCGCTTGATGGCTTTGCTATCTTTCCGGTTGGTGAGATATTGGGGTGGTCGGTTGATGAAGTTACGGCTCTGGTTGCTCAGATGAGAAAGGCATTGAGAGAACCTAGAGCGATGCCTTATTTTATTGTGTATGTTTATGTATATGTTTGACTTGTCTGGAGTTTTGCTAATTGAGATACAGGCATATGGTCTGTGGTCGAAAGCCATCGTAAATGGCCATAAGGTATTCAAATTATTCGTCTCTTATGCTCTCGGCGGTGCAATCATCTCATGCCCACTATTACTTTGAGCCAAGAATAGATCATTAATACTGAGTTTCATTCTTCGGGGAGTTGATCATATGGAATTTCCACACCATCGATAGTGTCTCCATCGAGACGCCATGACCAAGACCAGGGCCCATTCAACGTCCCCACGATAGTAGGTGATACGAACCCTTTCTCGAGAAACACCATCGTCAACTCTAAGTCTTTACCAAGGTATACTGCAGAAGAGTGTTGCAGCAGGACCGTCAGCTCGGAATCACCGAAGTCTCTATTTGCAGCAATGGTTGATGTTTCTGCATACCCCACGCTCGGTAATCCTTGGCAAATTGGGTCACTTCGAATCACGATCCTACAGCAGTCTATGTCTTATGACCTATACCAATCATTGCTGTGGTAATGTGGCTGCCTTAGGGGAAACGTCATGGTCAGCTGTGATAAACCGGGCTGTTGGCTTGGCGTTGGAATATCGCCTGAAAGGACAGAACAGGGTTCGACTAAACGATACAAACTACACAGCAATAGTAAGGTCGCTGCAGGTTAGAATGAGTGGCTGACTGAAACAATTGACACTCGTACAGTATTATTGAAGGAATATTGTAAGTGGACCGAGACCCAACAGCGCAAATTAAGCTTGTTCCGACACCTTTGGGACTAAATTAGACCGAGGTTCAAACTCGGAACGATCCATTTATTAAAACTCTAGTAGTCAGGTAACGTTGAAAATGCATAGTATAGTTTTATGGTACGTTGTAGCCAAAGTAAAAGTCCCTGCCACGATATAAACCAACCTCTGAATAAGAGATTGGCAACCATGTAAAGAGTTGACCATGTCTCACAAGTTGACACTATTAATGACGTTTCTTCAGGCCAGCAGAACTCTTATCTCAAGCGATGCCAAGTGACGTACCATGCTGTGACATTCTGTGCTTGGCTGAAGCTTTTCTCTGAGTTGAATGCCAAGGGAACAAACCCCGGTTGCCGTGTTATCCACTGATGTGAAGTCTGCCAAGAAAAGAGGCAACTGAGGCCCTTGTATATGGCGCATCGCATCCCTTTAGAAGGTGCATGTACATACTGTACGTTACAGTATCCGCAAAAGCGGGAATAAACGTTTGGCTCGAACGAAGGTTAATTTTAACTTGGGTGGGTTGTCTATAGATTATGCTTAAACTACTTAACCTCAATCATTGATATACGATTGAACAACTTCAAGTATCTACTTTACCCTCAAGTTTTCACAAGTGATTAATTATTAGACATTATATAACATCAAAGATAAGAAATAGATCCTCCCAACTTCATTCATTCTCAGAGAAACAAATAACTTCTCAACTGCAGGGCCCCTAAACGCCAAGTCTCCGGTCATCTTGGCAGCGGAGTTCCCTGGATCTGCACAGTTTAGTTTTTCTCTTGTCATACGAAGCCAATGGAGAAAGCCAAGTTGATCTTATCCTCAAACTCCCCGTTTCCGAGAGGTCCATCCCAGCTATCTGCTACTGTGCAGCAAGTGAACCGGAGGGGGTCCCGATCCTGTTTCTCGTTCCCTGGAAAGACACCCAAGTCTTGGCTCATCATCCCAGATGTTGGCTCGTTTTTGCAATAAAAGGACGAGTTTCCACCTACATAGAAAATAAATCGAACTTTCCTTTTCCTCGGTTGTCTTTCGCCTCTTTCTGGAAGGGGGCTCTTGTTGTAGATCTTGATTCATTCTTCTTGACCACGACAACTCGACACTTATCACATATATTACTAAAACAAAACAACTCTATCGGGCTCTTCATTATGGGAGCCCCTCCCTTCCTCAAAAAGGTTGGCCAGTGGTTATCCCCTCCACCTGCAAAATCCGAAGATGGCCGTGATCAATGGGGCACAAGAGCGTCCTTCTTGCTCGCAGCCATGGGTGGTTGCGCCGGTATGGGAAACCTAATTCGATACCCTTCTCAAGTGTACAACAACAACGGTCTTCAGTGGTTTATTCCCTATCTGATGTGTGTCTTCCTTATCGCCATTCCGGCTCTTATTCTCGAAGTCAGCATTGGTCAAGCCTACCGCGGAGGCTCGGTCGTCGCTTTCAACAACATCCACCACCGTCTCAAGGGTCTGGGCTTCAGTTTACTATATATCGGTTTCATCGTCAGTCCTTATTTTGTCGTTAATCTGTCCTGGATCATGATTTATTTCCGAAACTCCTTCCAGAGCCCCTTGCCGTGGGATGGACGTGCCGAGGATTACTACTATCAAGACGTGGTCCAGAATGTCGATGCGATTCCTGGTAACAAAACTTCCAGCGGCGTTCAGGATTATGTCCAGTATCCCGGTACCGCTCTTATCGGAGAAACTGTAGGCTGGACCGCCTTCATTTGGTTCCTTGTTTGGATTTCCATCTTCCGAGGTATTGGACAGACCGGCCGTGTTGTCTACTTCACTATGGGCTTGCCCGTTGTCCTAACTATCATCCTTGTCGGACGGTCTGTCTCCCTTCCTAACGCCGGCCGTGGCGTTAAGCTATACTTTGGTGAGTGGAATGGTGATAAGCTGGCTTCTGGTGAGATCTGGCAGACAGCAGCAGGTCAAGTTTTCTTCTCGACTGGTGTTGGCTTCGGTTATTTCAGCTCTTATGCATCTTACAACCAGAAGCACGCCAACGCTGTCATGGACTCTTGTCTTATTGTTGGCAGCAATGTTCTCTTTGAGGGCTTTGCTGCCTTCGCCGCCTTTGGTGTTGTTGGATATCTGGACATGATGCCTGTCCCCGGAGAGCGAATCGGTTCTTTCACTATCGGTTTCTTGACATTGCCTACAGCCATCACACAACTTCCTGGATCCTCGTTCTGGGCTTTTGCTCTATTCTTCACACTGGTGGTTCTTGGATACAGTTCTGCTTTCGCCATGGTCGACGCTGTTGTCACTCTTGTCATGGATACCAAGCCCAGAATACGCCGCGAATGGGTAGTCACAGCTCTTGTTATCCTCTCGTTCCTCATTTCATTGCCATACTGCACTCAGTTCGGTTACGCTCTCCTCACTGGCGTCGACCGCTGGATCAACGATGTCGCCCTAGTGTTTGTCGTCTTTGGTGAATGCGCCTTCTCCACGACCTTCTACCGCTGGAGAGATGTTGCTGGCCAAGTCGGAAAGCCTGCTTTCTTTATCTGGAACTTTGGATACTTCGGTGGAATGGTTCTTGGTGTCGCTGTTGCCCACGCTGTTCAAGCTGAGGCTGGTGCTGGAGTTGGTTTTGGCATCTTCATTATTTGCTCTATCGTATCTTGTGTCATTGGCAAGACGCCTGACGATATTCCTCCTGCTCTTAGCTTTGGCGAAGACCGGGGATTTATCCGTCGATCTATCGGCAAGAGCTCCGTTCTCTCCAAGCTCTTTGGCAGCGTCTTCTTCAGGCGCTTCTGGTATATGACCTTCTACTCTGTAAGTCTCTCCTCTCAACCTCAACGCTCACAATCACTAACTGGAGGCAACAGGGTCAGCAGCTTCGAAGAGATCTCAACGTTATTGTTGCCACTGGAAAGAACTGGAGCATTCCTGCCTTCTGGCCTATCCTCCTGCGATTCATCTCGGCGCCTGTCCTCGCCATCATCTACGGTTTCTCTTACCCCGCCTTTTACCAGCTCCGTGATGACCCTCTTCATATTCTCGGTTTTGGCCTTGCTCATATTTGCCTGGTCCTTATTGGACTTGGAGTTCTTGTGCCGCGCTGGTATAACACCATCATTCCTCCCGATCGACGCGAGGAGGGTAAGCTTCCCTACGCACCCAATGTGCTGTTGGATGGTGAGGAGCCTAGAAGAACCGAGTCTATGGAGACTGCTGAAGGACTGGAGGATTCCGAAGGTGGTGAAAGCCAGGAGAAGAAGCAATAAATTGAGCACTAGAGTGTGTTGGGTATTGATGGAGTGAATGAACATAAAAGAAGAGTGACACTCACACAAGAACCTATTTTATAGCTTTGAATATATATGTCAACAACTCCTGTTCAGCGGATCGCTTTGCCATTGTTCTACATACATTAAAAGGCAGAATGATGCAAGATAACTAGACTATACAGCGCCGAGGAGATAAATTTTCGACAGCGTAGTCAGCATGACGTTAATCCCTGCTGCCCCTGGGACATGTGCTGAGCGTCAAGAGGCATACAAAAATATGAGTTACGAAAATGGGAAGTAAGCTAGTCACTTCGTTTCAAACTCCAACATAGACGTCACCTCCACAACAATGTCTAAGACATAGGGGCCTTTCAGGAAAGCCTGTGGTAATGTTCGGTAGTTGTGTATCGTGCCGGAGTCTCCGCGCTACATCTAAGCTTAAATTGGTCAAACCTCCGTTCTTGTTGTATCTGTACAACAGTATCCAATCCCAGATACCCTATTAAAAGCGGCAGTTGCATGATCCACTCGGTCGAGGTGAATGAGTTAGTACAACGCCAGATCCAGACCCAAATCTAATTGAAACTGTCCACTGTATACAGAATCTCATAACGTAAGGGGCATGGCCAAGCATGATCGTCAACGGTCGATCGCCCGGGTTATCGCGCTGCGAGAAGCCGGCGAGCCAATCAGAAGCTCGATGCGGCGAGTTCAAGGTCACGGAAGCATTCCGCGAGTTCTCGAATAGAGAAGAGCTGAAGAAGATCTAATACGAATATCAAGCGCAGAAACAAGGTTTTGTCCTATTTACGAGAAACATTGCAGTTCAGCTGAACGGTAGAGACACGATGTGCACATTCGACAAAGGACTTTCCTAAAACGGAGGTCCAGACCGGGACTGTATGAGGTGGCATGATAGCTTTTCCCAGAGGAGGTGTTACACGAAGATGATCAAGTTGAGACTGGCCAGTCTCTGTTCAAGACCTGAAGATCATAGACTAAGTAAGCTCACTTAAAGAGACAGAGGAGAAATACTATATAAACGATCAAGAACCTCGTGTCGTTCTCATTCAGTACTCAAGTCATCACAGAACAAGACACTCGAGTAAACCACATCCTATAGCAACCGCCACAATGCGCTTCACTACTCTTTCTATCCTCGTCCTATCATCTCTCTCCCTCGCTGCACCCAACGAGCCTTGCTACGGCCCTAATGGCATCGCAGGCGTTTGTATCACCGACGCTGCCTGCAAGACTGCCGGCGGTACCTCCATCTCCGGCGCCTGTCCCGCCGACGCTGCCAACATCAAATGCTGCTCCAAGCCAAAGTGCTCTTCTGGAAACTGTCGCTGGCAGTCTGACTGCACTGGTACTTCAGTAAGCAACCAATGCCCCGGCCCAGCGCAGATGAAGTGCTGTTCTTCTGCTGCTACTGGCTTCGGAGGGTATTCTGCGCCCAAGATCCCAGCTGTTGGAGCCTGTAAGGCTGTTTCTGTCAATGCAGCCAAGAAGGTCGTTGCTGCTTTTCCCGGAAGGATTAGAGAAATCGGATGCAAAAGGGACTGCTCTTGTCCTGGCAGCTCGGACCATTGCTGTGGCCTTGCAACCGACTTCATGTGCTCTGATGGAGGTGGTGTAAGTTCTTTCACCCACTAGCACAACTATTCCCATGATACTGACAATACGACAGTCTGCTACACTCTCCGGAAAGGAAATCGCTGAGTGGTGCATGAAAAACCGCAGTGCTCTCAACCTCAAGTACGTCATCTGGGGACAGAAGATCTGGACTACCTCCGTCGACAAGACGGAGAAGAAATGGGAGAACTGGCGAACCATGGAACAGCGCGATGGCTTGACCCAGAATCATTGGTAAGTGTCCGTCTGGTCTATAGAATCAATCTTGAAGCTGACAATCATGCAGGGATCACGTCCATGTCTCTTACAATGGCTAGAAGTACAGACTTCTAAGATGGTGTGCAGGCTCGTGGACATTTGCATATCTAAATCTTGCTGTAGCCAGAACGACAGAGGCGCCACGCAGTGTGGTGATATGGCCAAAATCTAGTCTGCCTGGTTCTATTCAATATCGTATAGTTTAAACTTCTCTTCAACTTTTAATGGTCGTCTTGTGGTATCTCGTCTAATCTCGCTCCCAAAGAAAAACCACTGGTAGCTATAAATACTGTAACCCAACTCCGAGGTCAAACCTGTCAACCATCCATCCAAACGCCAGAGATGCAATCCTGTAATGCTATTCTCCAAATGCTCCACTCACGATCTCGCCTTCATCTGGCGTCACAGCCAGCTCAAGCAATTCGTGTGCTGCTTCAACAGTCTCTCCATCAATCCCAGCTTCCATCACAAGATCTTCTTCTGCGAATGTGAGCCTTCCCAGGGCAATAAGATACCTCTGACTTCCACCGTGCGCTAGAGACAGCTTCTGGCCAATTTCTGCAATATTGGCAGTATCAGGGCCGGTTACCAAAGAATGAATCAAGAAAACGCAGTTAGAAATGATCTGGTACAGGCTCACCGAGTACGAAGCCGCCTCCGATCCTAAATGCACGTCTTGCGTCTCAGAATCTGGCGGTAAAACGTTTGGAGGAATCGGCAGGTCATACAACTCGTCTATAGACGCGCTGAGGCAGGCCACGAGACGAGGAAGTGCAAGATTATGAGATGCAAGCTCTGCCGCACCAAAAGGATAGCGAGAGAATGCCATCAGGGTCCGCAAGGAAGCCAAGTATAAAGTTGCCTTCTGCTTGCGAGTCTTCACAGAAGCATGGTAGTCTGTAAGTTTGTTTGAAACGTGATTGATAACATGGCTGGCAACGAGACCATCACTCTGCTCTGTAATGGGGCCAAGTGAATCCGGGAGTGAGCATGTAGTCAATAGCTCGAGCATAGCCAAGATATCAGGAAGTTCTTGTTTGGGACTCAGAAGCTTGTAAACCAGATCAGGGGAGATGCAGCTCCAAAACATCGTTGCCTGGGACTTGACTTCATCCCCGGTCACGCCAAGTGCGGTAGAGCAAGCGAGCGAGCACGTATAGAAGACCGAGAGAATATCCACAATATTGATGTGCCGCTTCATGGACTGGAACTCAGCATTTTTCAGCTGCTCGTCGCCTTCAGGAACGCGATTTTGCCATTCAGCAAGAGTGCACATTGTTGCTTGCGCTGGCGCTGCTAAGTTGGGGATTACGAAAGGTGCAACTTCAGACGCATGGAGCGAGAATGTGAAGGATATCAAAGAAAGGACATACTTAATAGGCTCCCATAATTGATCCGCTTGGCATCGGGTCCAGATACCACTCATCAGGTTCGCAAAATCCACAAGCAGCTGCATTGGTCGATTTGGATCTCCCATCAGGGGTATTTTTTGGAACACGATCGCGGAAAAGGAGGTTTCCGGGTCATCAGGGAAATAAAAGCGAGACAGGACGTCGAAGGTTGGCCGCTGCGTTCCATGATCAAGTACGAGCTTCAAGAACTAATACTCTGTCAGTACCGCATTCACAAAATCTGTACGTATCGACAAACCTCAAAAGGTACAGCAGGGGGTGGCGCAACGACAATCGGAGCTTGATGAGCTGCAGACTCCGGTTTGCCATTGCTACTAGCAAAACTGTCCGTATGAGTCTCCAATGGCATCACAGGGCTATCGACGGCGGGTCGTTTCCTCTTGCCTTTACTTGGCGTTCTCTCGCCAACATGCAACGCTATCGAGCCAGAATTTCTGCTTCGTCCTTGTCCTTTGCTTGGACTCAGGACAATGTCCATATCATCGAATCCGTCAGCTACCCATGTCTTGGCGGCTTTCTTGGGAGTCGTTAGACCTCCAGAAGCGTTTACAGCAGGCTCTTTTCGGCGAACACGGTCGTTCACTTCCCTCATGTCTCGCTGGAGAAACTGCAGCTCTGTATCGGCATTCTGCTGAGCGGCAACAGCTGCCTCAGCGATACGTTCTTGCTTAGCTAGCTGCTCGGCATTGATCTTATTCAAGCGGGCAACCTCTGCTGCATGCTCCTCGTTGGATTTGACAAAATTGGACCGAACAATGGAAGCCTCCCCCAGAGCTGCCTTAAGTTGGTCCTCGAGAACTACAACTCGCTGTTGGAGAGCCGATAAGATATCGCCAGGACGTGTTTGGGATTGGCTAGGGGCGGCATGCCGGTTCTGGGGAAGAGGGGGCCGAGCAAACTGACTTGGCTGAGCGCGGGCGAAATGGGAACTCTGGGTTTGGAACTGTTGAGAAGTGTACATGGGCTGATTAGGTGGCGCAGGATTGATGTTTTGCTGAATAGGCTGCCCTATAGGACGTCGCTTCGAGGGGTCAACCACTGGGTTCCATTGTGGATTTGGAGGCGGGATCGATCGTCGCGAATCTAGGTAATAGGCCTGAGATGCTTCGTTCCGTGGCAGATTGTTGTCTATAACGGGTCTCCCTATAGGGATGCCAGCGTCATTTGTTACCTCGGTCGTATCAAGGTCATCTTCATCGTCAATCCAGCCACCGAACTCTGGGGACACGGCTCGTTGTTGCGTAGCTGATCTCGAGGCTTGAGCCTGTGTGAATTGAATGGCATGGTTTTCGAGTTCTTGGAGAGCATTGTCAGGGATATCGTCGAAACCGTCATCTGAGAACTCGTCGAGATCCATCTTGCATGGTTATTCCTAGGGAACAGGAAAGCTCCATCGAAAAAAGGCGGGGTTTAATATTATTGTCGAAACATCTCAACCATTATCATCATGAATCGCGGTATGCTGTAATGGTGGAGGAAAGACTTGAGAAACGCGTCGCGCAGTCACGTGTCTGACGTTCAGCATAAAGTGTGGCTTGTGGCTTGGACATTCTTCAGGCAGTTGCCGCGCAGCCTTTTGCGGAGTTCCAATACCATATCTGTACTTGGATCTCTAGCATGTGAAGGACAACGTGCGTCATTGATCGCTCATCAAGCTTTGGAAGTTTTCGTTTTCAAACAAGCTTGTGGAGAGAGGATGGAAGGCGGCAATAAGACCCCTGCCATTCTTGTGAAGATGGGCTTGTTGTGACATGCTTTGGAACATCCACAGCCTGGAGTTTTGTAGTCACTCAATTGACAGCAGTTGCAGTTCGCCAATCGAGACAGGCGTATACTAAGACAACTAGAAACATGCACTAATAAGTCAGGAATCTTTGAGGTACGGGTAGTAGAAACATTTGCACACATAGGCGGGATCTTGGGGCATGGGGAAGAGCGGCAGCTTGTCCTACGTGGTTTTTCTACGGATACAGCTCAAGTCATCGCTGTCAATTAGGGCTTTGCTATTCCTTTACCGACATCTATCAATCTCCATTTGTGAGCCGACAGGAATCTCAACAGATCTGTGAGATGGATCCATTACCGAGCGACAGGTTCCACAACTAATCAGCCCCTGCGTCCGGGGCATTTCGTCTCAATTTCCCGAGGGTTATTTAATAGATATTTAGATTGTTGAGTGCTAATCGACATAGGAGGAAAAGAGTTCCGGGGATGTATTGCGAATACATTTCCATCTGAAAACAGACGAAAGAGGTTATTCAGAAGTTTTCATCACTACAGTTTGGCATGACACCCTATTAAGGAGTGGAGGGAGGGGACCTACAACAAGTGGAAGCCTACTGGAACCACCGGAACACGTCAAGCCACAGCCGCAGCGCTCAGGGACTCAATTGGTCCCTGTTTTCATCAGTCCCAAGATTTTATGTGAGATTTGGTCATGCTGTTAGTTTTAGATTGCGTAGGAGGTTTACTTGGCAGAGGAAGAAGCAACGTCACTGGGTGGCACTGAGTTCGCGCCCACTTTTTATTAGAAATGCTGGGCTGCCTTCCTGGACTGCACGGCCTATTGGGCTGACGCTGCATTTGCTGGGCAGAAAACGTAAACTGCGACAGTGCAGGAGATGAATTACTTTGGTCACTCTACAGCAGTCTAGCCCGTGTCTTAAGCTGGCTATTTTCTGCACCCTTAGCTTAGGTCTAAAGTTTTCTGCCACCCCTCAAGTCCGGCCTACCTAGGAGCAGCCTACCTTAATAGCTACGTTACGCTACAGACCAGACTTGATTTGCTTGACTTCCATATTTCTTGTTCTTCCATCATCGTCAGATTTGTTCGCGACAAAATATCCGCGCCAACAGCTGCCGCTCTTCAAAAGTGTTGTTGATCTAATCACTAATTGATTGATCTACGACCTTTCCCTTGTCCCGTTCTACCGGCCAAGCTTGTTCCCACCGTGACGATTTCTCAGGGACCCTTCTCCTTCCGACCCCGTAATTCCCACGCGCTTGCCCCGACTTGCGCGACGACGTCACAGGCCAGTTGAAGCAAATTTGCGAGAACAGACAACTGTCTCTTTTCACAACAACCTCGAAAAGAGCCCATATTGCGCCCAGGAACCGAGTTGATCGCCCACCAAAAAGAGATACCGTCAGCCGACGATAGCCTCATTGCCGAAATTATTGGCAGTAATCAGCAAGAAAAAACCAGCGACTCCTACAGCGCATTTCAGTACCGACACCACAGCAATAATGGCTCGGTCAAAGAGAGGGGTTCAGTTCCCCAACCGCAACGGTGACAAACGACGATCAAGCTTCAGCAGCGAAGATGGCGGTTCTCCCACTTTGCTCAAGTCCCAATCTTCGGGCCAGCTGGAAACAGTCAACGAGGTAAGCACCCGCTCAATGGGAAGCTGTCTTGGGGAGCCGAGGGACCTCCGGATATCACCAAATTCTTGAGCAACAAGACTAATAAAACACAGAAGCAACCTCCAGCCAACGAGCAGCAAGCCGAGTACGAAAAGAAGAAGGCCAACTTCATAACCCGCACTTTCTGGACATTTGTCATGTTCGCCTTGTTCTTTACCGCACTCTTTATGGGCCACATTTACATTATCTGCATCATTACCGCTGTCCAGATCGTTTCCTTCAAGGAGGTTATTGCCATTGCCAATGTTCCCAGCCGCGCCCGCTCCCTGCGATCGACTAAAAGTCTCAACTGGTACTGGCTGGCAACCACCATGTACTTCCTCTACGGCGAGACTGTCATCTACTACTTCAAGCACATTATTCTGGTTGACAAGGTCCTGCTGCCTCTGGCTACTCACCATCGCTTCATCAGCTTCATCCTCTATGTGTTCGGTAGGTAAATCTATGTCTGACCGGGTTTCTCAAGCTAATTACGACTAGGTTTCGTCTTCTTTGTTACCTCCCTTCAAGCTGGCCACTACAAGTTCCAGTTCACCAACTTTGCCTGGACTCACATGGCTTTGTACCTCATTGTCGTACAGGCCCATTTCATCATGAACAACGTCTTCGAGGGCATGATCTGGTTCTTTTTGCCCGCGGCTCTAGTCATCACCAACGACATTTTCGCCTACATCTGCGGTATCATGTTTGGACGCACTCAGCTCATCAAACTCTCTCCCAAGAAGACCGTCGAGGGCTTCGTTGGTGCTTGGATCATGACTATCGTATTTGCCATGCTCCTCTCTAACATCATGATGCGATCAAAGTACTTCATCTGCCCTGTCAACGATCTAGGAGCCAATGTCTTCACCGGCCTCAAGTGCGATCCCAACCCGGTCTTCCTCCCCAAGACATACGAGCTGCCCGAGCTATTCTTCCTTCCCGACACGGCCAACTTCTCTGTCACCATCGCTCCCATGCAGATCCACGCCCTCAACCTGGCTACTTTCGCCTCTCTTATTGCTCCCTTCGGCGGATTCTTCGCTTCTGGTCTCAAGCGCACTTTCAAGATCAAGGACTTTGGCGACTCTATCCCCGGACACGGAGGCATCACTGACCGCATGGACTGCCAATTCATCATGGGTTTCTTTGCCTACATGTACTTCCACACCTTTGTTGCTATCCACAAGGTCAGCCTCGGCTCCGTTCTCGAGACCGCCATCACAAGCCTCAACCCCGATGAGCAGCTCGAGCTCGTTAAGGGTATGGGTCATTATCTCCGAAACCAGGGTATCTTGACAGACGACGTAAGTTCTTGCCTCTAAACTACACTCGTCCCTTCTAACAAGATTAGTCTATCGCGTGCATCGATAAGCTCATGCCCGCGAACCAATGATTTGTCAGTGGATAGCTTGACTCCGACATATCTTGGGCCCATATCGGCTCCCTGGAGATGGTAGAAGATTCAACTCTAATCCAAGAGACCATTTAGTTTAGTCACGTTATGGCAGCTTAGCTGGACTTTTAGACTACCTATCTCTTACTCCCTCACCTTAGATCTCTAGCTTCTGGCCTCTCTCTCCTTCCCCACTCACCCTTTGTTCTTTTTTTGTTATAGAGCTTCGGTGCAAAGCTTTATGTTCACATCCTTCGGGGCTTGTCAGGTTCAAGTCAATGGATGGGTTATGATACTGGGTATTGGACAGCGGAGACTTCATGTCTGGGTTTGTAGGCGCGGTTGGTGTTTTGTATTGAGCGAAAACTGTTGGCACTTAATCCAATGAATCATAGACGTTTTACGAGCGCGGATCAAGCCGAGAGTCCTGAAGTACTGGGAATCTGTAACAACATTTCAGCGTATATTTTATCAATACCAGCCGCAATTCGAAACGTGAAATCAAATTTTCGAAAATAAGAATTCTGAGGCTGACAATAATCAATTATTTTGTCTCGTGCTGTTAAGAGTCAAGTCTATCTCCAACCCTAAGCACCTACCTACCTACCTACCTACCTATTGCCCATGCGCCATCCCAATTCCTGATCATTCTGTCATCTGACGCTATCCAATCTTGATTCTTGATACAATCTCATACTCGTACAATTTTCTTCCTCTCTCAAGGCAGCTTCGTCTCCCAGCCTCCTTCAACCTGGAATATTTCTCCAACTGCTTTGCCAACTTCCAGAAGGTGACGGTCACGATATCGAGGTGCAACAAGGGACAGGCCAATCGGCATGTCGTTGTCACCTTTGAAGCCGGGCACATTCAATACAGGAGTATGCAGACCCTATGCGACAGTCAGTGATGCCAGCTTGCTCCTGCAATACAGATACTTACACTCCACATAGAACAAAAGATGTGGCTTCCTGTACTCTCAAGACCGACAGTGGCCTCGTCGGGCACACTCGGGGTGATGACAGCTGCATATTGCGAGGCAATCTCATCGAACACTGGCCTCAAACGGGCCATGTTATCGAAAGCCTCCAGTTGTGTTTTGCGAGTAAATTTATCGGCGTTCTCGACATGCTCAATAAGCACCTGTCCAATCTGGTTCTTCCCAACTCGATATTCAGGGAGAAATGCAGTACGACCTTCAGTATGAAGGCCAATCCGATACCACTCTGGCAGATTATCAAATTCTGAGGGCAGTTCAATGTCTTCCACGATGGCCCCGTGGGATCTGAGAAGATCTGCGGCTCGTGAGATGGCCTCTTGTGTACCAGGTCCAGCCATGGGCCACACAACAGTCTTGCAAATGGCGAAACGGGCACCCTCGACCCCCTGGAATCGAGGTGCTTCCTCTTCGTCATCTTCGAGGGCAAACACATCTGCCAAGAGAATAATATCTTCGACACAGCGCCCATACCATCCAAGAGTGTCATATAATAGTGCATAGATCTTCTGGCCCTCTCGAGAGACGGCATTCCACGTTGGCTTGAACCCATATATACCGTTGAAGGAAGCTGGACGGATCAGAGAGCCGCCTGTCTGTGTTCCAAGGGCTATGGGAACTTGAAAGTCGGCAACGGCTGCCCCGGAGCCACTGGAAGAACCTCCAGGGGTGCGAAGAAGGTCGTGGGGATTGTGAGTCTTGGGCCCAATGTGAATAGCAGCAAACTGTGTAGTTGTTGTTTTGCCTGAAGTGTCAGTCTGAGGCAGCAGGATGATGAGAGAGTACATACCAAAGATGAGAGCTCCAGCATGGCGAAGAATTCGAATGGAAGCAGCGTCAGTTTCAGGGAAGTGTCCCTCATACAATGGCGAGTTGAACTGAGTCGGCATGTCTGTACTTCAGTAAGCTCCATTCAGATCGTATCGCTTGCGAGGCTTACCCCTGGTATAGATGACGTCCTTAACAGCGATGGGAAGTCCGTGAAGAGGCCCTCTGTTCTTCTTGGGAACCTCGTCTAGACTTTTTGCTTGCTGCATTATGGTCTCCTCCTCCAGATACGCCCAAGCTTGAACATCTTTGTCGCGCTCATTGACTCTCTCGAGAAGCGATTTTGCATACTCCTGGACCGAGAGCTTGTCGGCTTGGATCTGAGTAAGAGCTTCGGCAGCTGTGAGCTTCCAAGGCTCCATTTTACAGGTTTTGGAAGGTGACATTTTGCTTTTTCCCCTGGCTGAAAGAATGCCTGTTGCTTGTGAAATCTCAGGACGCAACGAAAGGATTCGGACAAGTCTATTTCCAATACCCTGGTAGCGAACCTCAACAACCAATAGCTTGCCACAGACTGCCTATAGTCGAGTCGATATTCGAAAGATATTCTCCAGCTGCGGAGGAGCCTTTTAACATATAGCTTTTTCGCCGCCCCTTTACTCAGCCCTCGCCTTCGGGCACTAATGCAATGCTTGTAGCGGTCGGTGAGCTTCCGCCCTATGACAAGCAGGAGCGGAGGGCCTCAACGTTGCTCCTAGAACCCGGGCACTAATACAGTACGGGCCGAGATGCCAAACGGATTGGATGCGAGATCTTGATACGGTAATAGACAGTGTTTCGTGCGCTTTCCCCGTTGGTCGTACACCGAAGAGTTGGTTGTGTAACCAAAGACGGGGGCAGCGACCCAACAAGATAGCGGTTCGGCTCTTTCAAGTCGTGATTGGAGTCTCTGATGACTATCCAGTGTGAGGGAAGCTGAGTCGATGATAATGTTTTCGAGACGGGATAGGAGCTCGGGAGGTACGGCATAGAAGAGGTTGTTGGACAGAAAGGGGCCTCGCTCTCGGGGAAGAGGCCGGGTTGTGCCCTCCTCTGCTCCGATGCTCCGTTCGCTCAGGCATATGACCTCGTCTTTAACAACACTGGCATGATCAAATCAGCCTCAAGCTCCAACAGGAAGCTATTCCGGACCCAAGGTGCCCGAGATGCTGACTGACCAAGGTTGCAACTAGTGACAGTTTAGCAAACAACGGCTCGGTAACACCCGGTCTTCCGGTGCAGAAGAATGCAAAGACATGATAGGAGAGCGAGCTCTTCAGGGGACTTTAGCCAAATACAAGAGGCAAACAAGCTGGCTCTTTGACATCGGCAACAGGGTTCGGTGCATGAGGGGAATGTCACGGGATGGTCTCGAAGCTTCGGCATTCGCGGTGATCTACAGAGTATGGTGCTCATGTTCCATGGAGTTGAACTCTACAGCACACTAGGTAGTTCAGCTGGAAACATATGATGGGATTTGTTGTTTGATTGGTTTACTGCCTTTCAAGGTTCTTGATGCTACGTACCAGCATCCTGGTACACTCATAGCCTCGTGTAATGGTGGTTCCTTTGTTGGTTTGCTTAGGAATGGACTATTGGGTATGAGTTTCCATCAGCAGTGACATGACCTTTTGCCTTGACAGGCTCACTATGATGCGGATGACCATTTTGAGCAGCAAACAGATGGTAAAGTGTTACCTCGACACGCAACTCTGCAGCCTTGCTTCATATCAACCTTGTCGATTTGCAATGAGTATCTCTCTTAGCAAGACATATCCGCCACTCGGTTTCTAGTGCGAATGCTATACTCTTAGCCCACTAACTTGACTTGGCGTTTTCTTATTGCTTTTTGCCGTTTTCCTCTACGTGACGTCGAGGTCCAATCGCGTAGATCAGCTTCTGGAAACCGGTGAGCCGGGGGAGTGGCGTCCATGTCCATTACCATCCATGTCTAGCTGAAGATCCCTCCCAGACGAAACTTTTACCTGTCCTGCTTTCTCGTTCCTCCTTTGTTCAATCAACGAATGAGGCTATGCTCTGCCTCGAGTCGGTGAGATTCAAGATTTGAGTTGGTTGAGATGAAACGGTCGCCGGCAGAAGTGAGGCTGATGCTGCAGATGCAGATGCTGCTGTCTTACCGGTAGTGTGGACGCTTCTGCGTGTCTGTGGCCAAGATACCGGGATGCTACATCGATGTAACTGCGAAACAATGATATCGATAGACGAAAAGTCAGATGAAGAAGCTGGCAACTATTGAAACAAGCACGATCTCAGACATACAAAATAAGAATGAAGTTACAATAAAATCAAATTAAGCAACACTGCACTGTTGCAATTATTCCGTCTATTATGCATTCAACACGCGAGCTGTGCTACACAAGCACGACAGTTTTTAGCCATCAGCAAATGAGTGATGGGTAAGGCGAAGAAAGTGGCGTCAGGGATATATACGAGCTGAGTACTAGATACTGTACGTAGTGAGAATTCTATTTCCTTGAATCATTCGGTGGCCTCTTGATGAGCTTGTCAGGCATGTGTAATAGGAACAATGAATATGTATCTATGTCATGGCTATCCCGATATCGCAGCTGTACACGATCGTTGGGCCGATCCAACGCTCGGATGCAGTTACTATCTCGGCCAAGATGGCATCCTGGCCATTCGATATTTGTCCTCCAGGTTGAGTTGCCTTCCATATACTTTGGCAGAGCCTCGATCTCGTATCGTGTTAGGCGTGTCAATAGCCACGACAGGTATTGGCCAGACATGCAAGTTGCTATATTCTATCATTTACGACAGCGAGATCACATCGGATCAGGAGATCAACGTACCTTAGTCCAGGTCTCGGATCATCAACGTCCAAAGCATTGCCGATCGATCAAATGCAACGTCGAAATACTACGAGGCGTTAACAACTTTGCCTCCACATTGCCTGCCGGCACTCGGTAGGCAAAGAGTCATTTACATGATACTGTAGCGATAATTTCGTCCAGCTTACTTGGTGTCTCACCATCTCATGGACCAGTTGACAGGGACATGGGCAGTCGGTAATTAAAGCTTCCTTCATCCCTTCGCTAAAAATGCTGGGGTAGGGCTGCTCCAGTGCTTCGCCGAAGCTTCATCTCACAGCCAAGGCACAATCAGATAAATGATACAGACAGCAATGCTTACTTGTGAATGCTCCTTAATTTTATTTACCTTTTTAATCTCCCCTATCCTTGACAACTCCTCGTCAAAGTTCATGCCAAGCTTCCCTATCCCAGCGCCAATCCTCCCTCCCATCTAGCTTCTAGCTTTACGGTGTAGAAGCGCCCGTCATGATAATTCGTCCATCAACTACGGGGGCAATACAAGTTGTCCAATCCACTGTAAACTCGCCCTCCTTGAGGGGATCACAGATACTGGCCTTTACACCAGCCTTGAGTGCCCACTTTGTCCAGAACTTGCGCATCAGCAGAATCTCGAGATCGAGCTTTGTGCCGTCAGGATCCTCTGGGTCTTCGGTCATAGGGTCAGATTTCTCATCAGCCTCCTCATCGCTGCTGTCATTCTCGTCGTGAGGCTTCACATTCACGCTGAAGCGGCGCTTGAGGAATCTTTGCCAGGGATCCCTCATGTCTTTTGTCACTTGTTCGGAGCGCTTGTCCTTGGGTAGATTCTTTGACACTGTTTTCATGTCGGGAAAGTCAACATTGAACTTGGTTCGGGTAGGCGACACGGGCGTTTCGCAACTTTGAGCAACCTTGACCCAGTGTGAGGCCAGGTTCTTCCAGCACCCTACGGTAAGAAGACCCATGAAGTACTGGCGCAACATGGCTGAGATGAGAATACCGTTCTCCTCTTCAATGATCTCCTCAGCATCGCCACCTTCCGACTTGACCAGCAAGCTAGTGAAACCATCTATGACCAAGGTTAGTTACGATTTCGTCGCTCATGGCTCGCACGCTTACCTTTTCCTCGCCCCATATACCCTCTGGTGCAGAGAACATACAGCTTCTCGGGTTCATAAGGCTTTCCACCAATCTCTGCCCACTGCACCCTCTCCCCTCTAGGCTTTGATGGGTCAAACTCGAAACGAATGTTGGAAACTTGAGGGAATCGGCCTTCCAGAGCAGGGTACATGGCCACACTGTTTTCCAACGCATCAAAGATGGCCTGGCCTGTCACCCTGAGCAATACAACAGGGTCCTCAAACGGGAAGCATGTCGTGATATCCTTGATTCGAATTGCGCCAGGGGGGTAGATCTGATCGCCACGAATGGTTCCAGAAGCCATGATGGTACAGTCGGCGTTGTGATGATGTCGCATGACATCGCATACAAAGTTTCCAATGTTGGACTCCTTAAGACGAACAGTACTGAAACGAGCATCCAGAGGTGTAGCCGTGTATCCGACCGGCCTGGCTAGAGACTGGTTCAGTTTTGAGACCAGTTCATCGACCTTCTTCAACGTCGGCTCGTCCTCTTTGATAGACGAAACGATGTCTCTTCTCCAGATATCAAAATCCCATTTGGACGGGTCATCTGCCTTTCGGCGAGCCTCAATGTAACTCAAGTTCTTGAAGTCGGTACCAGATCGCAGAACATGGGTTCCGTTGATGAGGCTGTGGGCATAAAAGTGGTCGTGTCCTCCAAGGATGATATCCATGAGTCCCCCTGTTTGTTCTGCCAACTTGTTATCATTTGGCTCACGCATATGGCTTAGACAGATAACAATTTCGGCGCCATCCTCGCGCAGTTTGGGAACAAGCTCCTTAGCAACAGCGGTGGCAGATCGATATTCGAGATTAGGTGGCAAACTGTTGATGGTCTCGAGCCACTCCCGTTCACCAAGACCAATGAGACCAACCTTGATGCCGTTGGAGGTGGTCATCATATGGGTCTTCTTCGCATGTCCCAGAGGCGTGTCATTACCAATGTCACGATCGATAACATTGGCGAGCAACCAGGGGAACTTGTTCTGGCCTGAGAGATGCTCAAATTGCTTTACACCAAAGTCGAAGTCATGGTTCTATAGATTGAGCCTCGTTAGTTATCATGCCGGTCGTGGGTGGTGTGGCCTACCCACCCCTACACAAGAGCAGTCGGTTCCAATCATATCAAGGACAGGAACCATGTGTTGACCCTTGGTGACTGTGCTCTCCAAGCTGGGATTGAAGGCATCTCCGCTGAAAAAGGTGAGGGCTTTAGGCTGATCCTTGAACTGGTCGCCCTCCTGGTACTCGCGGCACACGGTGATGAATCTTGGCAGACCACCCACAGGCTCGGCACTGGAAGCGTCCAAGTGGTAGACATCGTTGTAGTGAATAAGTCGTAGGTCAGGTGGTGAATCCGCTTGGCCCGGATGTTCAACTCGACCTGAGGCGTAGGTGATTTGAGGTTCCGCAGTGGGCTGGTCGGCCTCTGCGGGGTCAGTATCTTTAACCATTTGGGAGTAGTGATGAAGATTAGTTTATGTGATACGATATGGATGATTGGGATATCTTTTTGTTGAAGGTATCTGTATTCGTATTCTTGGAAGTGAAATGATGACAGATAAACGGTGACGAGGCGCAGCTAAAGTCAATGCTTCTCGTCTCCTCTCGCCTCTCGCCTCTCTCTCCCCTCCTCTCTTGCACCTCCAAACCGTCCAGCGCTAACGGCAGCTTGCAGGAGGCCCCCAGGAGATGGATCCTCCAGTTACCAGTCAGCTCACGTGATGCATTGATTGTCACTGCTACTGCCACTGCCACTGCCACTGCTGGCTTTGTGTTTGTAAATGATTTGCTGAAGATGAGAAGCTGTGGTATCTCAGACCGATTCAATTGGGGCAAGAGCCAACGCAGCATGTAACGCTGTTGATTTAGGGTATTCTTCAGCGATCCATGAGATGGAGGCCACCCCTGCAGATCTGCCAGGCACAAAGGTGAATCAACGGTGCACCAAGATGTGGGAGATAAGACTAGCCCTTATTTATGGCAGTCAAATGATTTGCATCTATTCCTATACCTTAATCGTCTTTCTCTATCGTATTGACGTCCTTGAGATGGTAAAGTTGTCTCAAGAGTGTGTATATCTTAGTAACAGTACCTCCACATCTACTGGTGTCTCCAGCTACCTTCACCTCATAAGCCATCCATTGGCCATTGCTTTTGTTGGTACAATTACTAAAAAAAGAACCCGGTTTCTATTTCCAATGTTCGTATCCTCATAGGCCAAGAAAAAAGCTACAGCGATAGGCCAAAGACCCAGTTTGTGAATCTCGTCAAGATAGCATAGGGTAGCTTCATCAATCACAATCTTGCGTAACAACCTCGAACGACGAAGTGATATAATCTGCCAAAGTCACGATTTATTGGCAATTGTAAATAATTGTGATATTTGCCATCACAATATGCCAATGGCTGCCCTTCTAGCTATCAATGGGTCAAGGGATATCCATCTTTCTCACCGCCTCAGCATTATTCATGGCCTTTGCCGCCATTGATCACTGACATCGTTGCTGTTGACCTATACACATTGTTGTAATTGCTTAAACCCCATAAGCCCCTCATTCACTACGAATTCATTTCCATATCTGTTAACTTACCTCGCAATCGTATAGTAATGCTCGGAGCCCCGCGGTAATTACGGCTGCAATATCCAGCTCCGGATGTTGCCGGTTGAGGCGGAGAGAACGGGAAGGGAGCAAGTCCCCTGAAGAGGTCAGTGACACATATGGACCCGATTTGACCGTTGACTCCATCATGCGCGTGGCGCCGAATGGGCACCGTCACCTGCATAGCCGAGTTAGAAATGCCCGGTGCCAAGATATCACAGAACGGAGGAGCAATTATAGTACACGATTGCCAGGCAAATACGATAGGTGACGAGGTACTCTGTAATGTAATCTGTAGCTATGGAGGTTGAGGAAGAGACTCGCTGCGAAATGCAACTCTTTTGTATTGGTTGAGAAGAACTCTTGCTGTGTGAAATCTTCTTCGCGATACCTGACTGTGATGAACAGCATAACCAGGCATCGCCAACTTTTCAATAAACTGGAGCTTATCATGTCGCCTCTCCTACCACCCAAGTAATTAGCTGAAATGAATCCTGACTGTGCCGCAGGAATATTCTTGGCCAGAAAATAGACTACAGACATACCCTCCACAAATGCGAATCTTGAGATCGACAACCACAACGCTGGTAATCATGTGAAGAAACATGAAAACTCTTTATTCTCCGCTTTGATGCTTCGCCTCTAGAGTTTCGTTTCGCAATCATGAAAAAGATTAAAGACCTCATTGTTTTGCAGTGTAGTATCCTCGTAAACTGAGTCACTTCTATCGCCAAGATGTTTGGATTCAAACACGATTCATGTTATAGGTCCAGAAAACTTATTCAAGAACCTTCAGCAGCGCAAAACCCCTGGAAGCAGATGGAGATCTGGATCGACCATGTTTCATTGTTTAGTTTTTATGTCCTAATGACAATAGCAGGCGGCTACTATGGATGGGCGTTTCTAAGGCGATCATACAAAGACCCATTGAGCTGTCATCCGGAAGCTCGAGTTTCCTGTTGCAAGAGAGTTTCACCGTCTTTGAGACGGTCTCGACGCCGTTTCTGCCACCTTAATCGCCGTTGGGCTTCATGTCAAGATCCCAATCCCAATCCACAAAAAGGAGAGTCAAAGAGGGGGATAAGATAGAATCTGAGTCAATAATTGTTGCCCCTTTATCTTGGCGCTAGAGAGTATTTAGTAGGCGAGTTGGGAATATCACCAGGCATTGTGTTTCATAACTTGTTGATGGGAAGACAAAGAAGCGTTACGCTGAGAGAGAATCGGTTTAATGGAAAAATTCATTTCCTTGGATTAAAACCGTCCAACAGCTAGCAAAAATGAAGCCATCACCGACTCACTATGGACTGACGCTGACAGATCTCAGAGCTTGGCGGGGGTGGAAATGAGCCGAAATGCAGTGAGCGAGACGCCATGTGGAACAGGGGTGATGCCCTGAAGGTGCCCCTGGCTCAGGGCAGTTGATGTCCCTAGCAGCCCTTGACACACGGAACCATGCTCATGCAGGTTAGAGTGGCCGTTGGTGGTCTGCTTGGCGGCCGGGATTGAACGAAAGAGTTCTGAGAGACATATTTGACGCTGGGAAAGAGAAAGTAAATGGGAGATATGGGCAGATAATGACACGATAATTTATGAATTGATCCCTCTTACAGTATGTACTGCTGTCATTCATTGTCTATGAGTCCCCAATGTTTCGTAGATCAAGTCAATCAAGACTCCAACAACTGAGGTAGTATCTATCTCCCGTCCCTTGTCCAACCTGAAACTCCACCATTCACCACATTCACCAGCATCAACAGCAGCCTGTCACAGCTACCTTTGGCCACTGTACGCACAATGTCGACGCTAGTCTCCGCACAATAACGGTATCGATCTTGATACTACTAGCACAGCCACCAAGAGGGAACCTGGGAACCTGGGAACCGATTGCTTGGCTCAGGTCAGGCCCTTGTAGGTTGCGACAAGTCCAGAACACAACCGAGACAAGGCTGGCACTCGTCAAGGCCGAATGTGTTTTGCTCTTCCCATTGTGAAGCACAAAGCCCGTCACGATGCCAGTTGATGTCACCTATATCACCAATATTGAATCCATAGGCGCTCGTTGTTCTTGTCTCAGTAGTCTCCAAAATTCATATCAGCCAACCATATAACATCTAGACCAGATAGATGATTGAACCCCCTTGCAACTAGAATCCAGCTAAAAAGAAGCTGCCGTGCCGCTCAACCGGGTCCCCGTAATCTCGTTCTTTTGGCTGTTCACAGTCAAGTTACTCCGGTTCAGTCTTGGTCTGGTACGATTGTAGCTGCGCGTGGGCTGGTCCCTCTTTTTTTCACTTCTCTTCTTTTAACCCCCTTGTTAATTACCTTGTATTCTTTATTTGCCCCCCAGTCGATTTTTCTTCCTTTTCTTCCTTTTACTAGTAGACGATCCGCCCTTCTGGTTGATCTTCGATGTTCTAACTGGTTTCTACTGTGCTTTCCTTATCTTACGACTTATAATAAGGTCCGATATTTTGCGGGTGGTGGAGTGCTCGTCTCAATCCATACTCATCCAAACTCAACTCACAAGGGACTTTGAGATACCCACAACTACTCATCGATCAATCAATCACTTGACGACTCGATTCAATTCTTACCGCAGGACGGAGAAAAAAAAAAATTAATTGTTCGGTAAATTTAAACGAAAAATTGTTGGAATATACGAAGGACTACGCTACACCGTCACGGATACAACAACCAAAAGAAGAAAACGCCATATACAAAAAATCACTCAGGGACGAAAGAGAGATCCGCAGCGCTGCGCATTTTGAAAGAGCTAGGAAGAGAGACATCAGCAAACTATGGCCTCGGCCTTGTCACTTCGCCTCGCGGCAACAGCCCTCTTCGCCCTCTCCGCCTCAGCACAGTCACTATCATCATCCCTTGACTCTCTTCTTCATCGAAGTGTCGACGATGTTCTCAACCGACCCTACGCCGCCCTGCTAACGACAGCACCGTTGTCTGAGCGTGATGGCGAGAACTCAACCGCCGGCCAGGCTCCCGCCGGTGCAATCCCTCTCAACAAGGATGGTTCAATGAACATGACCGCATGGAACATGAACACCAACTCTGCATGCCGTGCAATGCTCGGAGGCCTACACAAGAGCACAAACCCTACAGGGACATGTGTCTGCTACAACCTACCCTCTCTGGATGTCAAGACAGGTATCTTCGAGGCAGATCTGCGATTGTACCAAGTATCGCAGCCTCGAGGCAGTTTCGCGGGCGTCGCGACTGAGGATATCAATGTCGGCATTTCATTCAATGGCGCCAGTGTCATGCCCGTTGAGTCCAAGGACGTGAACGGCACAGGCCTGGTTGGAGATATGCCCGGTATGAGAAAAAGAGGCGATGGGAGCATGGAGTTGCTACAATCATATATGTTGATTGGCCAGATCAATGCTGACAAGATGACGGATAACATGACTATGTAAGTCACCAATCAATTTTACGCATACGCTTCATTTACTAACCCGCCTATCAGGGACGAGCTCGAAGCCCATCTCATGCCAACTCTTACTCTCTCTGCACGCAATAGCAGTGGGAGTATGATCCGCACAAACGTCTCAATCAACGAAGCCGCCTTTCTCACAGGCGTCTTCTCTCAAGAAGTAGTCCTGTCGGACTTCGCCATGGCCCAAGCCGCTGTCGATGAGCAACTCGCTGGTCTTTCCAACGGCACCGTCGCTTTCGTTCTGCCCGGCGTGCAGCTAATGGTCTTCCCTATTGGATTGATCATAATGAGCATATGGCTGCTCATCTTCGTGGCAGCCGTTGGCTTCGGCACGTACGAACGCTACAACTATGCTCTCATGTACCAGCGCAGACAAGCTGTCACAATGCCCAAGAAAGCGACGATATGACCTGTCGGGGCGACAAAATAATCAAGCGAAATTCTCATTATTACTTTAACGGCCATGCATAGCGTTGTCGACTTTTTCTACTCCTTTAACTTTTATAAGCGTCTCATTTTGTATATGCCGATATCTTATGGCAACCTATGTTCTTTTAGTTGATATCCGACCATACAAGGTCTCTAGATTCCCTTCCTACACTATTACCTACCTAGATAGTACAGAAACTACTCTCATAGTAACAATCTACTAGCCGCTGAATGGCTGAACAACCACCAATGGCATTCTTTTCGCTGTGAAACTTTGACGTGACGTGATGGGAGCGGTGGGACGTCTTCTCCTCCACATGAAACACCATCGTATGTTGCTTCAACCCGGATATCCATCAACCCGGGACCCTTGTAACATGACGTTGTATCAGCTTACAGGTATCAGAATATGTCAAAGAAGTTCTTGGTATCATATTCTAAAAAGGCTGTGCAAAAAAGGGCCACTATCTAGTCTCATAATCGTAACAACTCCGACACTGTAGGGACCGTCCAATGCAACCGTAAAGCAAACGTCGAAACATTCCAAGCAATTCCTCCAACTCCTTCGAACAAGAAAAATCGTCAAAACGCCGCGTGGTGACTGGGCTCAGACTATGAGACTGACAACCTCCTCTCCACACTCCTCCATCGTCCCTTGGCCCAGAGGAGACATTCTGTAAACGCCATGTACCATCCTGTCACCATCCAGCAGGAGAGAATGACGCCTAATCCACCCATCAGCCGTGCATCAACAACACCTTGTGTCACGGCCTTGCGAAGGGCATCATTCATCATAAGCCACCCATAGATGGGAATAAGCGGCGGCTCCGCTGATGGTTTCGTACTTGATGACGAGCGACTCAAGGGGCTTGCCTGTTCCTGCTTCCTATCCAAGATAGTGTCCGCCATACGCCATGCTACCTTGTTGTTAATCTTCTCCCAGGTTGCCTCGCAAGCGTATGCCCTGGCAGAATGGCCCATCTGTGCCCGGAGGTTGTGATCCCGTCCAAGCTCCATAGCCTTGGCCACAAATCCGTCAAGGTCATCTGGTTGGATCAGGAAGCCATTATCCCCTTGTTGCACGATATCGGATGGACCGCCCTCGTCACGGGCGATGACCGGAACGCCACTAGCCATAGACTCCAAAACAACAAGGCCAAAGGTTTCCGTAATGGAACAGTGGAGGAAGACATCGCCACTGGCATAAGCAGCTGCGAGGTCCTCACCATTCTTGAACCCCGCGAAAACAACCTTGCCCTTCTCCCTCAAAGGATGGAACAGCTCTTGCACCTCCTTCTCCACATCGGGGTTACGATTGCCGCCCACAATGTATAGCTTGAAGTCAAGTCCCCGAGCATCAAGCTCTCTTGCCGCTTGAGCTAGGAAGCCGAAGCCTTTCTCGCCGGCGATGCGGGAAACTGTCACAAATATAATCTCGCCATTAGGGGCCAGTTTCTTTCGCAACTCCTCGCTCCTCATTCTGGGATTGAACAGCTCAGTGTTGACACCTCTTGTCAGAAGTTCGAGTTTGTTTTCCGGAATGTTCTGGCCCACCAAGTATCGTCTCACGAAGCTTGAGGGATAAAAGATGGTCTTGATTGAGGAGTGATTGAAAAGGTAGCTCTGAATAGCTGCAAACGCGAACACGGCGACGTGACTAAGAGGAGCAGGGAACAAAATCGAAGAATAGCCGGCCAGGTCGGTCTGAAAGTTGCAGATTACGGGGATCTGCTTCTCTTTGGGTTGCTGTCGTAGCTGAAGCATCACCTGGAAGCCAAGGCTTGCAGGTGACGCCAGGTAGATCAAATCGGGGGGAGAGTCGTCGCCAAATGTTTTCGAGTATAGCGTAGAGTTGCGCACCGGGTATACAACAGAAAGTTCGGGATTGAAAGGTAGAGGATATCCAGTGACTCGGACTTCAGGCTGCTTATCGGTAGGAGACAACGTGGGCGACGGAGGCGGAGTGAAAGTGTTGTGTTCTGTATGGTTATGCGGCGCTACCACTGCAACTTGAGCTCCGTTCGCTCGCAGATGATTGACAAGCATCAATGTTGTGCGGCTAACACCATTGACGGGACCAAAGGACTCCGTGCAGAGAAGAATGCGTTTCCCTCTTAGAGTTTCAGGGAACTCAGAGAGGTCATGGCTAGGGTATTTTGACGTAGCTGAGGGTTGTGTGCGGGTAAACATGATGGCTGCTAGAAGCGCTGGCCAAAGATTTGTTAAGTAGGCACTGAGCAACACAGACAAACGGCGAGAGGCGAGTCTTTTCTCTATCAAGATTTCAATGGCTTAAACAAACTTCGGAAAATATGCCTCGCACGTGGAAGGCCAACCAAACCACGAGAATGGGGGCAGTACAACGGTGGGAGCGCATGAGGCGCATACACTGGCATGGACGAGGCTGCAATGTAAACCATAGTCAACACCACGAGGAGGGCTTGCTTGATGCAGTTCGTCGATCTTAAGGGACCAACACTTGGTGGGGGACGACAGATGGAGGGGTAGATCTTGATCGCATGCCCAAGCTGAACACGAGCCACAGCTGTATATTGATGGATAGGTCTGGTAGAGTTCACTTGATGAGTTTCCAAGCCAGACTGGAAACTGTAGATCAGAGACAGCAGGTCGTCTGAAGCTATCATGATTTGGAGCATAAAAATGATGCTGTCCCCACGACAAGATTCATCACCAAAAGATCACTCGATTTTTTGTTCGACATGACAACTGCCGGTCTTTCCCCAGACGCTCAGCAACGTCTTGTCGGCCTAGACGATTGGCGGCTTCCATCGATGTCACTTGTTGTGACAAAACCTTCGCTGAGATCGATGTTGTTGTAGAACCCTGCTCGACCGGCGTGTGATGGACGAATCAGATGCGTCGGCGATAGCACATTGCTCCAACTCGCTCAATCCGCCAATGACTGTGTATTGCGAATGGCCATTGCAATTCCAGCCCTCGTGCTCGCGATGGTCTGGGCCATTGGCAGTACATTTGAAGCCATGCCAAACAAGAGCAGCGCCCAATTTTGAGACTCGTGACGGATTCACTTTAACTACAAAGTAAAATTGGAGACTGGCCTCATCCTAGACATCGGGAGGAGACGGAACGCCTCTTATTGTTCTTGGCTAAGAAGGGATGGGAGGCGGAAGCTGTCGGCATAAAGATAATTGGTGGCACTATGGCGAACTGAGTGATCATTTATCATTAGGCAAAAGGAGGGAGACGGCTCATTCATATATCCATGTCAATCAATTTGATCAAGCAGTTGGCCGTAGTTTAACCTAAATTATTAATAAAGGCCAATTGGAAGAGGGTAGGTGAAGCTTAATCGGCCACGGGGAACAATCAAAGTGATATCACGTGCTTAGTCACGTGAACGCTATTCTTCTTGCTCATCTGCAGGTAGGAGGTATGTAGACAACATAGGTATGGATGTCATGATAGCATATATACTGATCGTTTGACGGATGAATGAACCGTACTCTTGTTCCCCTTGTCAATTGAATAGCCCCCAAATATTATACTGACGTGGACGTGCTTGCTATAACGCGTAGTCAAGGCGTTCCATGATGGAGACAAGATGACCAGGGCATGTCAGAAAACCACGCCTCTGCCTTGGTATGCCTTGTAAGATGTTAATTATGCTTCGTACTGCTGGCCATCGCTATCAAAGCGAAGTGGAATGCTCGTCAGTGATCAGACCCTCTTCAAAGGGACCGGCTGGCTCTTGGCAGCAGAGACGAACAATCGCTTCGCGGTAAACATCAGATGGTCTGGTGTTTATGGAGCCCGCCGATATGCTACAAGGCGTAGCGAGCTCGAACGATGATGGACTGGACGGGCCGAACCACCAGCAATGCCAAATCCCCATAGCCATGGCCATGGCCATCAAGCTTCTCTTAACACACGAGTCTTGCTGCAACAGCTGCGGCTTGTGGCCTCCGTCTAAGACCCCATCATGTTCCCGTCTTGGCTCGCATGCCCCATGCGAACAAAAACTCATGACGCAGCTGGTCCCCTGGCATCATGACACCCGGTTAGAGCTAGATGGAGTGGGATTAATTACTTGCAAGGGTCTGTGCTATTAGCTTTACAACATGCCCACACCGTGACAATTGGAGGCTCAAGTACGATGTGTACAAACAGGGCAAGGGCGCTGTGCTGAAAGACCAACTAACACGAACTCAAACGCTTATGCTTAATAGCAAGTGGCATGGCGTACTTCTTATCTTGAGTATTGCTCTGGCTCCATCACTGGCAAACTCATGCTACCCCAAAATCTCTAGAACCGTCACTAGGGTAGTCGGTTACCGAAGTAGCGCTCAGCCGCGATATCAATTGTTTAGGCCAGTGCAGAGAGGCTGGATATTAGCCTCATTATTAGAACGGATGCTTATTGAATTGGAAGAAGAGCAAACAACCAGGTCTTGGCGGTACCCAGAGTAATCTCGCTGCTGGTCATTTGGAGCCTAGATTACTTCTGTTTCTCGTATATGGGTATTCTGAAAAGGGAAGCTCATTATTTGAGACCGTAGTCAGTTGCGAAGGCCACGATTATTGTAATTAACCATTCGTTGGCGACCCGTCTTTATCGACCACGATCGCGAGAGGATCTCAGGAAGTTGTAATCTAATGCCAATTGAGTATTGCCTTACACCTCCTGGGTCAAAGCATTTGCAAGAAGTGTCGAAAGAATGTCAGTGGCTGACTTCATGACTCTATTTTTGTTCTTCTCATCAGTAAGCATTTGCTACGTTGTACGGATATGTAGGGGCGGAGTCGGCCGAGTGGCACAGTGTCTTGTTCTCTTTTCTGGTTCGGCTGGACTCCGTTTTCCACAGAATGACGGGCATCGGAAAGTACTCAAGTTACCCCTGCGCTAAACTCCATACTCCATCGGCCCAGCCGGTATCGCGTTAATCGCTACGGCCACTCACTCGTTCTGGTGGTTCGCCGCTATCGTGGTTAATTAGTTGCTGTTGGATGATAGGCAAGTTGTTGGGGTCGTAAGACTCTTTCGCTTGATAATCGAGTTGTCTCCGCTTCCGAGACACTGACCATGGGTTTGCGTTAATGCCTCTCTAGCGTGCCAGTCAGAAATCTTTCCAGCCATCGGATGTCTTGAATAACTTCATCCCTGATACGTACCTGTAAAAGACATGCAGGTAGCAAATGCCTTCACCGTCTCGATTGTATTCCGTTATTAGTCGCATCATAATCATCACCTTTGCATACCATGCCACGCAGTGGCCAAGTTGTGACTACGTATTCACTGTAACAGCTCGTTACAGCAGAGAACGGACCCCCTGCCCATCTGTTGGTCGAAATCTCGGCGACCTCAAATTTAACTTGTTGATCTACAAATCATGTCAGCCTCGCAGGAATGAGAATACCCAGTGAAGGACGCAGCTGTCATGCGATGTACGGAGGGGGCATGCCGCTGAAAACTCTGCACCTGGGTATCGGTATCTCGTGTTCTGATTTCACGAGCACACCAAGTTCTCTTAAAGTCGGTCAGCATGCGAGGCTGAATGTCTGTCTATGTTGTATGCAGGTAGGTAGTGGGTTGTGGGTGATGGGTGATGGGAATTGCTGCAATGACAGCATTGCCCTGTGCACCCTGCAATCGTGAATCGATGGCGGGATCGTTTCTTCGTAGGAAACAGCTCGAGGTTAGACTGTTCCCTTGGTTACAGGGGATGGAAGAGTCCAATGAATGTTGCTTTCAATTACATCCCTTCTCTTCTGTTCCTTCCCTTGAGTGATGTGATGGACAGTGCGCTGGACAGTGCATGACCGGGGTGTGGGCCTTACCCGTTCCTTCCTTGTCAGAGCAATTGGACTACCGATAGATTCAGGAATATTGGCTGTAGACAAGTTTGGTGGTAATTAAATCTTCCTTGACTTTGTCTACCGTATCCACTCAAGAAATAACCTCATATTGGATCCATTGGATTGTTTGAGCTGATGTCGAGCTGACGAGTCCTCATCAGTCAACTTGATATGTGCAAACATTAGTAGTTGATCTGAGAAATTAGTACCTAGATACGGATACCCGTTGGCTCGTTACAGAATAACTGTTTTTACCACGACATACATACCCTTAGCTTAGTCGCACGAGGCATGTGGGGGGTAGTACTTCCATAGGAGGGACCTGGTTTGCGCGGGAGTGGAGGGGCTTGCGCAGCCTTGCAGACTGCAGAGCATTAGGTTAGGTTGGATCTTACCGTGCCTCAACACTGTACCTAGGTACAGTCTTGTTGACTGATTTATCCTCAGTCCAATTCCTAGACCTGCAGCAATTCCAGGCCCTTGAACCCTTCAAAAGTACCCTTTCCAGCGGGTTGTGGTGGTCTCGGTACCTGCATCGAGCCTCCCCCTCCGCTGATAGGTACTGCAATGTGCCCCTAGATCCCTGAAGATCCATCCCTGCCCCTCCATCCAAGTCGGGCAAGGGCCTTCATTCATTGGAAAGACGGACTCAAATCATGGAAAGTCAACCTTAGTACATGCCGCGCTACTGTACAGTACTGTATTCATCCATCCCTTGGCGGGCAGAAACTAATGGGAATATCTCACCGCCTTAATTTCTTCTGGGCAGACCCGTCCCCAATCGTTGCGTGGCTTCAGCGGCTGCCCCTCCACCGGCCTTGCCATTGCCTTGTCTTCTCCCTCCCGTCCCTCCCCCAGAGACAGACAACCAGCGATAGTGCCCCCCTTTTTTATTAGCTTAGCTGCAACGTTGAATGAAGTCGGGTGGGAATATCTTTTCTAGCCTCCCTTGCATCTGCGCCTTGCCTTTGCTTCCCTTCCACCTCCTTTATAAATCTCTCCATTCCCTCCCACTCTCCCCGACCCTCACACTCGCTAGCATTTTACGTGTGTCGATTTGTGACCTCGTTTGCGATCATCTTTCTTCTACAGCTTGTCCTTTGCCTTGTCTGTAATACCCTTTCATACTACTTCTAATCATCATGTCTTCAAACGGTACTCAGGAGGCACCCATTGAGGTCCGCCGCATCTGCTGTGTTGGTGCTGGTTATGTCGGTAAGTCGCATGAAACTCTCCTCGACAACCCCTCGCGGGGCAACAGTCCACTCGTTTGTCAAGTTCGTGAGAGTTGAGATAATGCGCTCAATACCATGATTGCGTGCTTATCTAGCTCCCGGCAACCATACACCGCTCGTGCAAGTGAATTGGGTTGAATTAGACTGACAAATTGCTTGCAGGTGGCCCTACTGCCGCTGTCGTTGCTTTCCAGAACCCCAACATCCAGGTCACCGTTGTCGACCGAGACACCAACCGTATCCGACGTTGGAACTCCCGCCACCCTCCTATCTACGAGCCTGGTCTGCACGATATCATCCGAATTGCCCGTGATGGTGGCCGACCTTCCAAGGTCTCTAACGAGCCTACCACCGACAGCGAGGGTTCCTCCGCCGAGGAGGGCGAGATTACCATTAATGAGCGCAAGCCTAACCTCTTCTTCTCTACCGACGTCGCCAAGCACATCAGCGAGGCTGATATCGTTCTTGTTGCCGTCAACACTCCCACAAAGTACCGTGGTGTTGGTGCCGGCAGCGCCACTGATATGACCGCTTTCGAGGCTGTTACTGGCGTTGTCGCTCAGTACGCTCGTGAGGGTGCTATCATTGTTGAGAAGTCTACCGTTCCTTGCCGAACTGCTCAGCTCGTCGCTGATACTGTAAGTACACACTCATATAGCGAACGAAATCAAGCGGACAAGATGCTAACTAGGTTTCTAGCTCAACATGCACCGCCCTGGCGTTCACTTCGAGATTCTCTCCAACCCCGAGTTCTTGGCTGCCGGTACCGCCGTCAACGATCTCCTCTACCCTGACCGTATCCTGATCGGTTCCGCTCCTACCCCCTCCGGTAAGCGAGCTGCTGAGGCTCTCGTCAAGGTTTACAACTCTTGGATTCCTCGCGAGCGTATCCTGACCACCAACGTCTGGTCTTCCGAGCTTGCCAAGCTCGTTGCCAACTCCATGCTTGCCCAGCGTATCTCCTCCATCAACTCCATCTCTGCTGTCTGCGAGCAGACTGGTGCTGATGTCGATGAGGTCGCCAAGGCTGTTGGTGTTGACCCCCGTATCGGTAACAAGTTCTTGATGGCCGGTATCGGTTTCGGTGGCAGCTGCTTCAAGAAGGATGTTCTTAACCTCGTCTACCTCGCCGAGACCATGGGTCTTCCTGAGGTCGCCGAGTACTGGCGTCAGGTTGTCAAGATGAACGAGTACGCCCGTGACCGTTTCTCCAACCGTGTCATCAAGTGCCTCAACAACACCCTTGTTGGCAAGAAGGTCACTATTCTCGGCTTTGCCTTCAAGAAGAACACCTCCGACACTCGTGAGGCTCCCGCTCTTGAGATGATCAAGACCCTCCTTGAGGAACGTCCCCGCGAGATTGCCGTCTTCGACCCCTGCTGTAACCCTCTGGTTATCAAGGCTGAGATCAAGGAGCTCCTTGGTCCCCTTGCTGATGGCCACAACATCACCGTCCACGGCAACGCCTACGACGCCTGCGAGAAGAGTACCGCTATCATCATCGCCACTGAGTTCGACGAGTTCCGAAACCAACCTCCTCCCCCTCCTGCTCCTCAACCTGCTGTCCAGCCCAAGACCATTGGCCGCAAGCCCAACCCCAAGTCTGACCCCCGTCCCTTCCAGGAGGGTGGCAGCCCCAACGAGCTCCTCGCTCTCCACAAGCACCTCGTCCAGCGTCCCGATATCTCCTCCGAGGATCCTCTTGATCGCTTCAACGTTGAGCCTAACTGCGAGGACGACTGCCCTGACTGCATTCAGGAGCGTGAGAGCAAGGAGAGCGGCTTCGCTACTGGTATGGGAAGCTCAGAGGAGTACAAGCCCAAGGAGCGTGTTGACTGGGTCCGCATCTCCGAGAGCATGGCCAAGCCTCGCTGGGTGTTTGATGGCCGTGGTGTCATCGACTCTCGGGAGATGGTCAAGCTGGGCGTCCGCGTCGAGAGTGTCGGTCGCCAGCACCAATTCTAGATGTCTTGTCTGGATTTGAGGCTCATTTTGCAACGGCCGACCTTTTAGATTTCTTCTGTGTATGAATTCGTCGACTGTTGGCTAAGATTATACCGTTTTTAATAAGCATGAAATGACATATGGACGTGGTTGATGAGACACGCCGAGGAAGATACAGTATATGCAATGGTTAGGGTGGGGGTGCAATTTACATTCACGGCGTGAATTGGTGAAAGATGTTTACCGGATATAGATTTAGATTTGGAGCCGTTGAAAATGCAAGAGCAAATTTTCTGTTACAATATGTTCCTTGTTGGTGATATCATGTTTGTATATGTATGTCAAGACATTGATTGATAACTACCTATCTGATGGTGTTTCCGTTTAATCTGCGAAAGTAGCGAAAGCTTCTCTTTATCTATTCTTGTGTTAAGTTGTTTCATGACTAATCCTCCACCTTTCCTCGTGCCGCGTTGATCCTGAGACGACAAGTTCAATCACTCTGTTTCAGATGATGGACCAGCCGTCTCAGCTCTCAACGAATATTGTAACAAGCCATGACCGGAATACCTCCCCGATTGACTTGTTTCTCGAGCCTAACTGTCATATCCCCCTGCTAGAACGTTCTCGATTTTCTTGACCCTTGACCAAAATGGCTTGTCACAACGTCACATTGAACTCTTTCCACGCGACTTGACACAGGACACTACGCTCGTCCCAGGAACCTGTGGGAACCCGCGTTTCACCAACTCAGCTTAGGTCCTAAGTTAGGGGACTTTCAGTTACCGTGGCCATGGCTCACGGTCCCCCCAAGATGTTCTTGTACTCCGGTCTTCTTGCACATCCTTTGTCGTTCCTTCACTGCCTGTTGAACGGGTAGCACATTCGTCTCTTCTTATACACTCTTTTACCATAACTGTATCACTTTCCTTTCGTTTCTTATCCTATCCTTGTGCTTGCCACGAGGATATTTTCTTTCGCTTATATCACCGTTTATTATCGAGTTGCGGGAAACAACTCGACTCGACTCGTCTCGCCCTGTCTTGCGAGGCCTACAGTCCGGGCCACCATTGTTGACCTGCGTTCCTATCTTAGAGATCATCCTAAGCGCCCTTGAGGGTCATAGCCGTCGAGATGAGATTGTCGTGGGCCAGACAGGCCGCAATCTATGGCCTCTTGTCTGTCGTCGCCGCAGACGTACTACCAGTGGATGACATCCCCTTGATGTGTGTGACCATCTGCGGCCCAATCGTCGAGTTGACATCAAAGTGTGATATCCATGGACAACGTATGTCGAAGCGGCAAGTAGACTCGGAGTGGGTTCCTAAGCTGGCCGTGGAACCTCCTGCGTTGGACAAGAGGAGCTTTTCGATTATCAGAGCTGCGCCAACATCGTTTCCGCCCGAGTTCATGCCTGAAGAGAGCACCACTACATCCATATCGACCTCGACTACGGAGGAGACTACAAGTGCTGTTGATGAAACGTCGACGTTACTTTCGACCAAGAAGCGTACCACAATGGCTTCAATGCTTATGGAAACAACAACAGCGACTCAGACTACCGTGTCAGCTTCCAAAGAGAGATCGCAAACAACGAGTGGTTCTTGGGGAGGAAGTGCTTTGCAGACACACGCCCCACCTGAGGGTGACCCGGAGAGAGAATGTGTCTGTCTGAACAAGAGCTTCGATGTAGCCAAAGTGGCAGCCCTGTGTCAAGACTGCATCGTCGTGGATGGACACAAGCAAAACAGTGAGTCTTGGTCCCATTAAACAAAAGCTTTACAAAAACTAACTCGCTTAGACATGGACATCATCATGAAGGCCTGTGGTTTTGATAAACGCACTTATACTCCCGAAAAGGACAGCGAGGTAGACAATGTCAGAGTTGAGGCGACGCGGCCGACTGGTATGGCCACGATGGAGCATGCACCAGCCAGTGCTGGCTCTGGAGTAGAAGCTCTCAGCATGCCCTTGGTTGGTCTTTTCAGTTCTTTATTGGGCTTTGCCATGGCAATGTGAGCACTTTAAGCCCGCATTGCGACAGTTAGATAGTTAGCGAGTAGATTATAGCGTTCGGGAAAGCATTCCTTCCTTTCTTATCTATTACATATTCATATTTTGAATGATCGTCCCTCGTTGAGTGAATCTACCTATCCAAGCTGCAGATCATTTGTCAGACATAGGCGATCTCGTCTACTGCATGAAATATCCCATGCCTTGTGTCAAGGCTCGCTCGCACGTTTGGGGCCCCGAGTACCTGGGCCAGGGTTCGCATGAAAATACGTCGATCAATGCTATTATGCTATATGTCTATGGTCGCTTCATATAACATGCAGTCCAGTGCCCAGAATTATTAACAAGAAGTACGTTGTGTCTATATCTTGGATGTGTCTTTTCCGCCCACTCCATCACCGTGAACAAAACGCCTAGATCATCATGGCAGCCATTGTTGAAACAACAAGGCATCCCTTTCAGGATGTTAGCAAAGTCTCTATCACCAGAAGGCAAAGCAGTCTTACCAGTCCCCATGTTGACAGGCGAGACGCGCCACTATCGTCGTCTTTGCTGTCATCGCCGCTGTCTGTGCCGTTGTCATTGCCCGTGTCGTTGATGCGCGCAACCAGCTTATCCCCAACGCTGCTAAGACTTGACTCAAAATCCTTAAAACTGGTGGCGTTCCAGTCGGCACCTTCATCTCCTGGCACGGCATCATTACCAGGGAACGCAATGTACAAAACATCGTCGTCGTCGTGACCATTGTTTCCGTTGATGGATTTGCCGTAACAGGCTGTTGCTAGTGAGATGGCGGCTTCTCCAACCATGGCTTCTTCGCCGTCATCGCCATTCTCATCGCCCCAGATACCATAGAACTGTCAGAGTCAGCATCCAATCTCACCCATATCAAGGTCAGGTAAATGCTCACCATTTTCTCGCCGCATACGACTGCGATAATACTCAAAGGCTTGATGCCGTGCTTTTGTGCATCAAAGGTTGGCCAGTTCTTCTTGGTGCCTAGGTTTCCGAACACAACGTAAGGATGGATATTGGCATCAAGGTCTTTATGCTTGGTGCTGTATGTTTGTAGGCTGTCTTGGAAAGAGGTAACAGACTGAGTATCGCCTGAGGAGCCACAGCGTCCATCATCTGCTGAACTTCCCTGGATGCCATCGCAGTCGATGTCCATGTTGACGAGTTTTCCCTCGGTACCTTGAAGGTAAACGACATTGTAATCTTTTAGATGGTCACCACAGTAGACATAGGCTGTGGTTTTGGTTAGTCGCAATAGGCAATGTAGAGAGAGATTGGAGTACTCACAACCGTCATCGCCATCAGCGCTGTGGAAGCCCTTGGCGAGAGCATTTTTACAGGAACCCTGTTTGATGATGCTCTCCTTGAAGGCCTTGATGTTGTCAGGGACGTCGCGACAAGAAACCAAAGCAGCGACAGATGCGAATAGGAGAAATCGAAGGGAACCCATGTTGATCGACACAACCGAGAAATAGCGAGCGTGGGGAGAGAGGGTCAGGTCAGGAATAAAGTAGAATAGTTTATCTTTATGTTTAAGTTAAAATGACGGGAGCGTTGAATGTATGTATGTATTTTCCCAATTCAAGCTCACGCCATGATTCACTGCGCGTATTGGTTAGGTTGCCTCATGCAATTTAATTTACTCGCGACTCTGCTCTGTCAATGGGCCTGAAAGGGGAAAAGAAGGGCAAGCTGACGGTCAGGCTACCTCTTTAGAGGGTGATTCAGTGAATTATGGCAAGGTCCAGGGGTATCATTCCCTGCCAAGACGGGTTCGATCGGGTCTAGAACGGAGATTTTGACCAGCATCTTGGGCTTATTTATAGGTGAATATTTGTTCTCGATTTCAGGTACGGGTACGGTTGTATCGGTTATCTCAAAGGAGATGCATATTTGTGGCTCGATCATACAGATCTGGACAATTAATCCGCCAAGCTAAGAAACGGACAATGCTATTGTACGACTTACCCTACCCTAGGCTTCAATATCAACATCACCATTCATGGACAAAAGTTGACATTAGTATGATTCACTGAATAAACTTGTTCATTTATTTCCGGCAGAGTCTCCATCAATTATAATTATGCTTAAAATTTAGGCTATCGAATAAATCTTTGCGTTGGTCCGATCCGATAGCCAATTCGTCCGAGAGGACTATCTATAATGTGTGGCTAAGCAACAATCATCAGTTGCCAGTATGATCGATTGAGTAGATGCCATTATAGTCGAGTATGTAGAATCAATTTTCAATTATTAATCTCAAGCACTTTTCTCCTGGGACATCAAAATCTAGTCTATCTGCTTAACTGTTGAGAGCAATTGGCTTGCTTCGCCCGTCTCGGCCTCCGAACGGACGGACGGACCAAACAGCCAACGCTAGGAACTACACCAAGACACAAACTCAATGACATACATATCCACAATCCTTCAGCTTCAAATTGAGCTTGGTCCGTCATTTCGTCCGCACCTCGACCGGTGGTGAAAGATATATAACAATGTAGGAGCCGCACATAGAGATAGAAATATAGACCAATACACTTCATCATCATATCTAGACCCATCACAATGTCCGCTCGACTCCAACACGATGCCTCTTGGGAGGCCAGTCCCCTTGCATTCCTCTCTCGCCAATTCATTGAAGGCGTCCCCAAGATCCCCAAAAACGTCAGCCTAGCAGGTCAAACAGCTCTCATCACAGGCTCAAACGTTGGTCTAGGCTTCGAGTGTGCTCGTCAACTTCTTGCTCTCAATCTCTCACACTTGATTATCGCTGTGCGAAGCCAGGCCAGAGGCGATGCAGCAGCAAAGAAACTCCGCGATGAGTTTCCCAACGCCAGGATAGAAGTCTCACTGGTCGATATGGCTTCTTATAAGTCCATTCAGGACTTTGTCAAGCGGTGCGAGACATTGCCACGACTGGATATTGCCATCCTCAACGCTGGCCTGAGCAGACCCCAGTTTGAGCGATCAGAAGAGTCCAAGCATGAGATGACTTCTCAGATAAACTACCTCTCTACAGCTCTGCTGGCAATCCTCCTCGTTCCCGTCCTCAAGACAAAGCGCGGGACTTCTGGCCCTGCACACTTGAGCATCGTCGGTTCAGACATGTCATACTGGGCAAAATGGACCGGAAGTACTGATTCAATTTGGGACGTAATCGACGAACCTGCCGAGTTTTCCAGCAATGCCGCCTACCAAATATCCAAGCTTCTTCTCATCATGTTCGTCGACAAACTCTCCCAGCACGTCTCGCCCGACGAAGTTATCGTCAATTACCCCAACCCTGGTGCCTGCAAAGGAACAGAATTTGGAAGCGACGGCCACAGAAGCAAGATCGAGCAGATATGGATGGCTGTTGCGAAGCCGCTTGTTGGAAGGACAGTTGCTACTGGTGCGCGATCGTATGTTCACGCTGCTGCTGTCAAGGGCACCGAGAGTCACGGGAGTTTCGTTGGCGAGGGTAACATCAAGCCGTAAGTACACCGAGTCGAGCCATGATAAATAAATGCTAACTAGAACGGAAGGTTCCCAGTAATCATGTACCAGTCAGATGGAAGAGCCCTGCAGGAGACTGCCTGGAAGGACTTGATGAAGGAGTTGAGCTTTGCGAAGCCGATGGAGATTCTCAAGGCAAGCAACTGAGCAGCGCTGCATATGATTTCTTTAGACAAAGACGCGGCGGGAATCGCAATAGTATTTTTATATAGCAGGCAGAGCCTTAATTGACTTTATATCCCATATCTATCTTTGTGTTGGCTCAAACTCTCCGGCTGGAGGGATCAAAATCTTCTCATCAGAAAATCTGACCTCCTTGGGAACTTTCTTCACCACCAGAGGCCTCTGCTCCCCAATATGTTCGGAATCATTTAACAGGCGCCTGTCAAGTCTCCATCTTCCAATTGCTTGTCGAAATCTGTTGATTATCAAGTCGGTAAATCGAATGAGTGTCAGGAACAGAAACACAGCCCAGATCAACAGCATTATGCATACTGTAATGGAGGATGGTTCTTGTGTTGTATTATTTTTGCGTCTGGGAGTGGTGCTAGTATAGTTAGTAGATAAGACGAGAGTGTAAAGGAGACTAGCTGACGTACGGGCATTGGTCATGCATTGCTGGTATACAAGGTAATGGGTTTCGGTAAATTGAATTGAGTTCAAATTGAAGGATAAAGATAACGTTATCCTTAATGTAAAGTAATGGTAATGGCAACAGTGATATGGTTTAGGATCGGATGTGCTGTCCTTGTAGATACAAAGTTAAAACCAGATAACCCGATAACCAGTTGCCCTTCATGATTTCCTTCACGTGAACCGGGACACACATTTCCTCTCGATATATCAGGCGTCTCTTCTTAATCTAGAAGTTTCGTTGAATCTTTTGCCGTCCTTCTCAACAGATCATGAACCCTCAATGAATCCCACCACTCAGACTCTCGCATCAAAGCCCTCTCAAACCATATATACCCCGATTTCGCACTTAAACAGTGGTGCCATTGTAAGAAGCAAAGGATTTAGCAGGTTGGTCATTCTCATATTCCTTTTCGGTGTTCTTGTTATTCGCTGCCGAGCCGGCGTCTTTGATTGCGGTGAGGACTTCGTCGTAGATGCTCTTCTGCATGCGTTGTTTGAAGTAGATGGAGATAATGACAACAGCAAGAATAGCCACGACGGAAACGATGGCCAAAAGACAGGATAGGAGAACGGTGGTGCCGTCTTGAAGAGGACTATGCGCCCAGTGCGGTGTTCCGTACATTGTGGTAGGTGATGGGGAGACAGTGAAGAGATGTTGTTTGAATGATGTTTGATCAAAGGCAGGTGTCTGTCAATAGTATTTTGTGTGAGGTCGGCAAGAACATAGATGTTGTGCTGGAGAATTGAGATGTGTGAGTGGCTTTATAGACCTGATGGACAGTGGGCGATAACTTAATCCCTGGCTGGAATTGGACGTATCGGAGTCGACGCAGTAAACTTCACACATAATGTTAATGGGACGATTAATTCTTGAATGGTGGATAAAAGCCCGTAGGCTGGATGTTGAATTTCCTGGGAAGATTGTATTGATGAGTTGCACAACGCAATGAAGCCAGAAATAAGCCCCCTGAACTCTGCACAAAAGTATCACGATATGCACCCTAACGAGGATGTGTCCGAAATGGATGACGAAAGAATGGTCACATGAGATACCCTGAGGCAAAGATCGCCGTACCATTATATAGTATCTTCTACCAATATGAATCATGTTCCCTATCCTCCTCATCCTCGTCATCGCTACAAATAGCAAAAGCCTCCTCCACTGATCTTCTAAGACCCGAAGATGAAGCAACGACAGGCTCTCTAATAAGCTGTTGCATCTCCCGAGATGAAGATGCTGTCCCAATCCCATCTTCTTCATCTTTAAGTGGTAAAACGCGCTGGATGTCGGGTTCTGAATCCTTTATGCGGAACCAGATGAGGGCTAGACCGCACCAAATAGCCACACTCCCTACGACCATGCCGATGAAGATCCCCTGGTCGATAGAGTCTGAGAATCCACCTCTCCAGTGATGGACCTTGGGAGGAGGAGGTGTGAACCAAGGGATAGGAGTCGGCACAGGATATTGGCGTGACTCGTCGGCGGATATGCGGTTGAAGGTAGGATGGAAAGCACCTCCTGCAATCCCATAGAAGAAGGCTTCCATAGGATTCATGTCTTCGATCTTTATAGAATGTCGTACGTAGCTAAAAGAAGTAGATGTGGATTAAATATTGCAGTATCGGAGTTGCGATGTTGTAGAGTTATCTTGGAGTGTCAGTATGGATTTGTTTGACATTAATATTGGTCGACTTACTACGATATCGCTGCCTTTGTCACATTAGAAAATGGTTATATGGTAGAACTTCCGAAGCTCTAGAAAGGAAATTTGTGAATTATTCAATATGTCATTCTGACTCTGTGCGTGGGCTCTGTTGATGCAGAATGCAAAGTCTGTCAAAGTTTATCAACATCAACCAAGGTTGGCCGGGTCCCCTGGATTCTTCTAACTTTGCAGTATAAGCTCAACCGTTTCTTCATTCTTTCAACACATTCACTCTGGTAACCCTTCAAACATTGGCTAGAGGAAGAAAGCCACCATCTTTTGGCACAACTAATCGTCTATACACCCAGCCTTTCCGATTACTCACTTTCCCCTTTACCCCTCGACAGTCATCTTTTCCTTTCTCCCACTTCTCCTTCCGCCCATAGCTCAAGATGACGGATCACGACCAAACACCTTCACCACGGCGCCCCAGTCTCTTCAGTCTATATACTGTGCCCCGACTCGAAGCACAAAAGTCCGCTGCAGTCGATGAAGGCAAAGGCCGCCTTGAAACGATATTCGAACGTCACGAAGAAGAATCCTCACGTAGATCCTCCGCGCCCACGCCCGAGTCGATGTCTCCAGACGAGCAGATGCGCGATCTTACTCTGGACAATGACCGTTCAGAGGAAAAGATGGAGATTGATCAACAAGAGGCAGACAATAGCATGGAGGTTGACAACCCAGTCCCCTCGAATTCTGTCACAGACCAGCCTTGGCTATCTTCGATGCAGATCGATATCCACGAGAGAGATCTCGCTGATGAACAGAAGAGCGTGAGCCACGACGCCATGGACACGTCTCCAGATCAACATTGGCAACAATGATTCGATGCAAGATCCGAACCAGCATGAGAAGCTTTTTCGGCGTGCGGAAGTCAAGAAAGACAGAACAAAACAAAAGAGCTCCTCTATATTCGTCACGGCACATTTCTGGGAGAATTCCTTCCCGTTGAAGAACAAAGCAGCCGTTCTTTTGGGCAACTGATGGTAGAGAGTACGATGATATCTTGTTATTCCCTATGGTTAGAGGTTGCTAGATTACGTTACTATGTAAAATGTATAAATGCTAGCGTTTCTGGAGTCTAGTCCTTGGGCTATTATTGTTACCTATACTGAATTAATTGAATCGAGTTTGCTAGTCAATACCAGTTTTGCCATTGTTAACCACATCCAACGCTATATAGGAACGTCATTAATATCGTGATTTAATAAGTAAATAATGATACAATAAAGGGTAAGAACTCGACTTGATGTGCCTGCATCATTACTCTTACTCGACTCGACTCAACTCGACTCTGGGTTACATCCAAAAGAGCCGCCCCCAAATTGCTCCGCCAAAATCCACAATAATTACGGATACTCCATTTTAAAGTCGAGTTCCAAGTCAGTTTCTCTCCCAAAAAGACATCAACCTGACTCCGTTTGATCCTCAACTCAAGTTGCTGCCCAAATATTATGTAATCATCTTCAATATCGCATCAGTATCAACGATGCGATCTCTGTAGCCTTCGCATGCCAACTTAACAAAAGCCCTTGCCATTTGCGCAACCTCAACGCCATTACTCGATCTTCCCCCAACGAGTCTCCTCTTCTTGGGCGCGGCATCGGAGGAGGAAGTGAGGATGGCGCTGGGTCTTAAGATCCAAGCGCTAAACGTTTCAGGGCTGGCGTCTGCAATTTCGCATAGACCCTTTTCGGCCTCGGTCTTTGGCTTTCGCGGGTCCCCGAGCGAGAGCAGTGAAGAGGCTGATGATCTCGACTTGTTGCTGGCAAAGACAAAGTTGAACTTTTGACCTGCTGGAGTTTTGGGTGCGATGCGCTCGCTCATGACTTTGGCGGCGTATAGCGGTAGTTGAACGTTGACGTGGTGAAGTGAAGCTTTATCAATGTGCGAGGAGTGATCTGAACGAGCTCCAATGACCCTATTTCATGTCAGCCTCTCTCTCTTTTCTCTCTCTCATCCATCTAAAAGATTGAACTGAGGAAGACGTACCATAAACATGCTGAAGAACCCTCGATTCTCCGTAAAAGATCATCGGAATATCGTGAAAAGTCCTGAACCATAATAACATCCGCCTTTGGGTGACTTTCAATATCCATAGAGACAGCCTTTCGAGTAAGGATAACGACTTTTGTAATGCGAACGTCAACAAGACATTGCTTGACGACTTCGTTGCCGACCAATCCGGTCGCCCCTGTAACCACGACCTTCATTTCGAGACCTGAGAAACACTGAGAGATAGACAGTTAAGAAATGAAGCGCTTTCGAGTATATAAAGAAAGAAAAAAAAAAGAATAAATAGTGACAATGATTTATCCCGTAGGTAGCCTGAGCCTGGTCTGTCTCCCTCCAAGAGAATCCTGGTCTTGCGGGCCGCTTTCGCCTTGCTAACGGCTGAAAAAAAATTAAAAGGGCCGGAGTCAAAATATACAGACAGACATAAGTTGGTAATACACGGTAATTGAACATGGAAAAATACTGTGGCGAGAGTCAATCTCCAACTGTTTTTTCTGCATGTAAATTCGTCTTGACTTCGTCTCCTCGTCTTGGCCTACATGGTATAAGAAAGCCAAGCTTCTTTGTACTTGACCGCTTGGAGGGCCTCGACTTGACTGCCGGTAGCCCGATCTGATTGTATAGGTAACTAATCTACTCCATAATATATCCGAATCATGGCATGGATCTCTACGGGTCTTCTCATGGGGAAATTGTTTCTGGTAATGACTCGACTCGACTCGGCTTCAAATTGTTATCTGGATCGACAGCTCCGTCGAGATCATCCGGTTATGAACCGGGAATAATCTGCAGAATCTGTCACTGGCTTTTCTTTCCTAGTAGACCCAGTTTCAATTTAATGACACGACATGACATGACACTTTCCATTCCATTGGTTCAACCGTAGAGAGACCTTTATTGCCGAGGAGATGCTTCAACTGCAAGACAGAAGAAGAGACAGACAAAAGAAAGTCTACAGTATCCTCAGATCATCCGTCACTTGATGGACAAAACTCATAATAATCTCATCTTAAAGTGCCCTATCGCCAGAACTCGTTAGACCTCTTCTGTTTTTCCTAATGTTCTGTGCCGATCATCCGTCTTTGCCGATATGCTATGCTCAATACTGCAACCACACGTTTCATTGAGCAATGAAACGCGAATCGCGAATGCAGTGAGTGCTTGCGAAATGTCACTTTGTTGAGCCTAAATCCATGAAAAGAGGAAGAGAGATGCCTAGCGTGTGTTTACAGGAGCTGAAGCTGTCATTGTGCGCGCGCGTGATGGATGGACATTGTAAACAGACGAGTTGCTGCGTGTGACTGATGATAGTAGGGACTGGAAGGAAGAGAAAGTCATACCAGCAACTGCCGTACGGACATACATTTGAACCCTTGCTCACTCCAACCCGGGACTCCGCTACATCGCATGAACATTCGGATCCGAACCCGGAGCCGGGGATAGCATCATCGATAGCAATAAACTATAACAAGCTATGTCATCAGCCATGGTTCATCAACAACACAATAGATAACAGTCACAAGGCATGTAGCAGGCTCAAAGATAAATTTAACAAGTATTATTATTCCATGGATATCATAAGATTAATATGTGGTCGAATCATTTAAGCAGCTCGGCTGCCCTCGAGGTTGTCGGCAGCGCTCTTGCTTCGAGGGTCGCTCTCCTGGCCGTAGTGGCTGGCGTCACCTCCAAGAGCCTCGATCTCCTTCTTGCTGTTCTCCTTGCTAGCCTCGCTTGTGTCTAAGGGTTTCTGTTAGGTGATGATAGATATAATCTGGGGTAGAGGAAACATACTGGGGTTGGACAGGTTCGCCTTGTGGCCCTGGATCTTGTGGGAGATCTCCTCCTTTCCAGAGCGAAGCTCCTGCATGTCGTTTGACATGACGGATCGGTTACCAGCAGAGTCCATTATTGCGGTTCTTGGAGGGATAAAATGTAGGTAGTTTAGGTGTTGTAAGATATGTAGTGATAGTCTTTGAGTTGCTTTCAAAAATTGGTTCTGATCAACACTCCTCAACAAAAGACATTCCTTCTTTATACCCATGATGAAGCATCGCTATCAAGCCATGACGTTTGTCCCTCCCACCTTCCAGACGGGTTATGTCATGTTCCATGGAAACAAGGCCATTTCCATGTTCCTGAAGTCTGGGCAATCGTCAAGCGGGGATTTTAGTGGTGTCCAGCGCTTGCTTCTGTATGGTTGGATCTGCACCAGTATGGAGCTCGGAATGACATAGCTAGTCATGCATAATTCTGGGGTGTCGACAGTAATAACTGAAGCATTTCTCCGACTACAACACACCAAAGATGACTGATTATTTATGAAACCCCAGGTTTTGGTTCGGACTTCTATCATCTCGATCAAATCTCATCAGCCTTCTCATGTTACACCCTGCCTGCTTTGTAAAGCCTCAAAGTCTACCTGAAACGTCATTCCAAGATGCCATCGTCTTTCGTGTCACTTTGTGCAACATTCTTTTCGTCATAATCTGCACATTACTTTTTTCTGTGGCAAGGTACTACTTATCTTAGTCTGTAACACAAGAACCAAGCAGGTCAAGTTAGCGATGACGATTGTTGGTTAATAGTATGAATGACCTTAAGATAGCACTGAGAACCGAGCTTCATTTTTTCTTAAATATGGTAAGTAAGCCTAAAATATACCCTTTTCACTCGCAATAAATTATCCAGCTAAATACGTAGATAGGTATAGAAAAACAATCCAAGAACAAATACGCTCATGATTGAATGTCGCAACGTAGAGCCCTCTATGATCGTTGCAGCCCGACCAACACCTTGAAATGAACAAACTTTATACACCAATATTTTGAAACCATGCATTAGTTCCCCAATCCCGATTTGCATCCGTCTTTAAACAAATCATTGCCTTCGTCTCATTTCGTTATGTTCAAGCCCTGCGGCTGCTGGCTCGCGTTGTGGTCGGTACCAGCGTCCATCTCCGAACGAACCACTGCAGTTCCATCCATCTCCTGAACAGGAACCATGTGTGGTTGTTGATACTGCTGCTGGTACGGTTGCTGGTATGGCTGTTGGTATTGTTGCTGGTAAGGAGGCACACCAGGGCTGTGTCCGTTGTCTGAGAATTGGCCGTAAGACTGAGGTCTCTCATTCTGAGAGAACTGAGGCGAGTACTTTTGGAACTGGTCAGGCGAGGACATGCCGCTTTGACGAGGATCCACAAGGCCGGGTGATCCGCTGTATGTTTCTAAAATCGGTGAGTACTTGAACAAGCAATGCGTTTTTGGGACTTTCTTACGTTGGTAACCACTCATGGGAGACTGAGCAGGGAATGTGCCTTGATGAATAGGGCCACTCATGGGTGATTGAGGGTACTCGCTCATTGTTGGGCCAGGAGAAGAAACGCCGGGGGCTGTTTGAGGAGCCTGCTCATACTTCTTCTTCTGTCGGGGCTTCCACCAGAACAACCAAGCCAAGAGTCCCAACACCAACAATCCTCCCACCGCAGCGCCCACGGCAATACCAGCGGTAGCTCCTGTGCTCAACCCGCTATCGTCGTTTGAATCAGCTGCAGAAGAACTAGATGCCGTCGCGGATGTAGAAGAGGCGGTTGAACTTGAAGCAGCTCTGGGCTGAAGAAAGTCCAGTCGGTTTTTCTCGATCGACGACAGCTTGGCGGGCACCAGCCTGTCCCTTGGACAACCCGACCCACAAGCATTTTGGCTGCAGCATCCGAAGAAAGGCGGACTGGTGCTGGCACATGTGTAGAAGTTGTCAGTGCCTTGAGAGTTGTCGCAGTCTTGTCCAGGAAGCGAATCGTAATTATCAGGCTCGAAAGTTGTGGCGCGCAAATCGCCATCCGGACAAGTGCCGTTGTTCTTGCCGCAAGGGTCGTTGAGACAACAGCCTACGAACTGAGTATCGTCATCTTCGCAGATGTAGAATTTTCCTCCGTCGGTACAAGCCAAACCCCAATGGCTGCGAGCTTCAGACATTTCGAGATAGTGTTGATGAATTAAGGATTCGATGAAACAAGGAAGCTTCCTAGCAGAATCGAGTCTATATGCAATGCAATGCAGGAAAGAAAAGAGGAAGAGGAAGAAGATGAAGATAAAGATGAAGATGAAGTGAGAAAATTAAAACAAAACTCAACAGTCTTGAGAGAGTCGATAAGCACGGGGCATTCTCTTTTTTTCTTTGATCGAGTGGACATGGACAGCCTTAAGCAGAGTCCCGCATAACAACCCAATACATACACAGCAGTTAGTCGAACATGGATGGCATTGGACGGAATGCGGATCAACTCGACTGTCCTGCGCCTTCTTGGACCCCCAGCTGGGGGATATTACCTCAAAACCACCGTCGCAGCCGCAGCTTTAGTGTTGAGGCTTTGTCCTACCCCTGCGTGCTTACACCCAACTAAACTGTTTCCGTGATAATCGAATCCTTCTCGTGTCCATTCTTTGCTGACAGGTAACGACCAAATTAAATTAGTTCGCATGGGGCCTGGTCGTTGCGGTCTGAAAAGAAAAGAACAGAGAAAAGGAAATGCCCCTTTGTATTGTGCCTTGAAATTGAAAAGAAAGAGGTTCGTTTCAGCCAACAAAACGCCTTCAGGAACTCGGTTCGCGGTGTTGGCTCCACTCAGACCGGGGAGATAAAAGTCATACAAGTCAAGTCAAGTCAAGTCAAGTCAGTCTCTGGCCCCCAAAAGGTCGACTCTCGCCTGTAAGCTCAAAGAAAAAATAACGTGGATAGAGTGCCAAGGTCCTCCCAAAAAAGTCAATTGTGGAGGCTCAAGTAAAATTGGTGATGTGGCAGAGGCTGACACTTCTTTCTGGTCATGGTATATTTGGGCGGTGATCGTGTGCGGCCCATCTGCTTAACCTCTTGGCGTAAGCTTTATTTACATGTTTATCCCGAGCCTTATATGTGGGACAGGGATCTTCTGTGTCGAAGCCCCGTCTAGTCTGTCAGCTGCTCTTGGTCATCAATCCTACACCACGTATCCATCCATAGCACAGCCCTACGATGATCCGATGTTCTAATTTGGCCGAAATCTTGGCAATCTATTTCTGCGCCATGTTTCAAATCTCAAATCGACAAGCCTCTTCTTGAATAGAGCAACCAACATGAATGTCTTTGACTGTCAACTCTTGCGGCTGTTTGTTCTGCTAACTATAACAGACCGCAACGTTTTTGAATGGAGCCGCTAGCTCATTTGTGACCAGCATATCCGTACCACATTCGACTAACTTGGAAGGATTGCTGACAGCAGAAGCTCGAGACCGAGATTACGCATGGATCAGTCCCACAGCTCTTTGTGGGGGCTAGAAAAGGGCAGACCACAGAGCAACATGGTTGCGCTCGACAACTTCAACGGTGCTGCGGATTGAGATGCTGTGTGAGACCCACGGCATGAATATTGAGGTCTGACAGCGAACTCCAGCTCAAGTTGAAGGGCACCTCCCTCTGCTCAGCATTGCGCTCTGCAATCATGACTTTTTGGGGTAGAGCTGCCTCGTTTTGCTTGTCATGAGCATAACCACTTCTCCTTCTCCACAGTTTGCTTCCTTGACAGAGAATACGGTGGGGAAATGGTGATGGAGACACATTGAGGCCCTGATATTCGTTCTTCGCTAATCTGTATCGCGATTCTTCAAAGCTTTCTGGGTTGATAGCCACGCCGATCCCCCTGATTGCGTTTTGCTTTCGAACAAAGAGAGGGTTCCTGGTGCACAAGCCAATACTGTAAAGGCAAGGTCAAGTATCGGTTGGTCAAGCAGCTTCAACCACCGAATTGTGTCAAAAATATCTGTGGCAGCTGCTCACCTCTAACTCTTTGTCCCAGTTGCGCCACGAATGACCAAGCGGCACGGGACAGGTTGGGATTGATCTCGCCAGACATCAGAATTTTGACTCGACCTTGGCTGAGAACAAACCCAGAGCAAGATGTCTGGGTAACATGCACACTTGGGTGGAAGAGATTGAGTGCAAGGTGGTGATGTAGATAGCTAGCCAACGCTTCGGTAAAAGGCCATGTCTCGGAAGTGTCTTTTTCTCGCCAAGCCCATCCATCATCCCCATTACTTCCAGCAAGTCTGCGACGTTCTCGGGCATCTCCTTTCCAGACGGGCGAAACGGGGGCCTGCTTCTTTTCACCAGCTCGCACGAAGCGCCGAAGATCTTGAGCGGCGATTGTAATGTCGATTGAACGAAGCCCTGGGGTATCAGTTTTGTCATCTTGAGATTGACCCCCGATGCGAGTTGTTGGACTGTCGTTGGCCGGGAGAGGCGCGTTGAACGCAAGTGTCACAGTCAGATCAGCGCCCTGACTATCGAGGCCATTGCTCGCGACCCAACTTTCCCAAACGCCAAGAATCGTCTTTGTTCCCAACGTGATTCGACTAACGCGACAATCGAAAGAGGCAGCTAGCCAGTCGGCCACGACAGCCTTTAGTTGTTGAGGCATACGCATCAACAACAGCGGTAGATGAAGGAATTTGGTCTGATCGTCCTCTGTGCCTTTTCCTGTGGAGTCGGACAACCCAGGCAAAAGGATCGCAGCATAGGCAGCATTTTCGTGCTCTACGCTGATCCACAGCCCTTGCTTCTGATCGTCTGGAAGGTCGCTCTGGTCGCCGTGTGGGATTCCAAGATCTTCTTCAAAGACTTCCTCGCCTAAAAGAGAGCTCGCACGAAACCACTCAATCCGTACCCCTTTTAAAGATCCGACCTGTCCTACAGCTGTGTCTATAGCTTCCAATCTGAGCTGAATGCCACGAACCACATCACCAACAAGGGTGTCGCGGAGACGGCTGGCGATAATCTGAAGCCGTTGCTTGGTGAGTCTTGTTTTTCCAACATGTAAAGGCGACACACGATGGGTTGAGAACGTCGTGTTGAAAAAGGGAGGCACTGAATCCTCGTTCGTGTTGTCAGACGTGGTATTGAGTGATTGTGCTGGTGGTTGTTGAGCTTCGGCAGCACCAGGGCCCTGCGCACTTAGGCGAGCCATTCTAGATGTATATTATTCTGATGGCAACCGTCCGACCTGAAATACGCAAGTAGAGTGTTTTATGTTGGCGTCGCGTATTAGAAAGGTCCTCGCACGATCGTGATTGATTGCTCATGGAGGTAGCGCGTCTCTATTAACGCGTCTGCACGTGACGAGGTAGACCCAATATCCAATAAGCAACCATAATATCTGGAAGATGCCTTCGTGGGTAAATAAAGCATAATCGGAAGATCTGGCAGAAGTGGTCGATGTTACAAAGTAGATACGATCTGGTAGTCTTTGGCAGGCACAGTCACAAGGTGATTTTCTGGACTCATGGATGATGACTAAGCTTCTCAGGGCGACGAAGAATCTGGAGATTGCATCTAGGACCTCTCAGGCGTGTAAGAAGAAGCCCGTGAAATTCAATATTTTCTCCTCAACCTCATATTAATCCTCACTATGGATACTGTATCATGTCTCCGAGAGTCAATCTACCATTCACTTACGTCAATGGACCACACATGACAGACAAGTCATCACGTCTTTGTTCGCTTGCCATTCAGCTTGTCGGGATTCTAGCTACGAGCTACCTGCCTTCTCCAGTACCTGAATAATCCCAAGTGGCGATTGCTATTGTAGATATCACTACTGCTTCGTGAAAGGCGTGTGGCCCAATGCCGGAAGCAGAAAGGTCATAGACCAAGGCTTGAATCCTTTCACTCACAATCGGGCGATGGCACTAATCGAAGGTCCTCCCTTCATACATTATCATGCATTCTCATCCTGGAACAAAGAACATTCGAGACGAGTCCGACGTTTTCCACTTCAATGGTTGACCACCGACAGTATGTCAAGGAGACAAAGAACTGAAAGCTGATGCACAGAACCTTGTTAGGTGATTTGACCATGAAAGGAGATCCGAACTGAGACTCGAAACTATTATTGGCATCGGGTAGACTATCAGATTGGAGCTCCAAGTCTTTGTCTGCCTCTTAGCCCACAGTTATTAAAGGCAAGGTAACAATGAACACTCCGAATATATATCATGAACATCGGCCTTCGCTTTCATATAATCTTAGAAATTCTAGCATACTTTCGTTTCTTCAATCTTGCTCTATTTGTCACTTGGAGACTCGTATACTCTATTCACTGACGCTCGTATTCCGGTTCCTGGTACAACGTATCCCACACAGAATACGATGGCCCTACATAACAATTCCCACACGCTAAGGCTTGGTAAATGGCAAAATTACTTCTTTATGTCACATGGAGGAATAGCGACACTCAAGGAAGCCAGCGAAAAGGACCAACAGCTCGCAGACGAAAATGGCGGTGTTGATCCTATGCCAAGCAACCGCCGTATATGTGCTTTTTATGGTATAGGACGAGATGCCCCTTGGCCACCCTTCGACCCCGGCAGGCCTCGAAAAGATTTCGAATATGAGATAACACGCCATAGTAAAATCGTCGGGCAACGGTGGATCAAACTGAACCAACTGGTACTGGGAAGTGAGAAAGTGATCCAGGACACCATCGTCAGACTTGCACAAGGAGATATCAAAGACAAGGATGGGAAGACCCTCAGCGTCGAAGACTACCTGAGGCTCAGTTGGGAAGCAACCAGAGATACATACAACAAAGACCAGGCGACAGATCCTGGCAACTTGACAACCGGATTCAGGCTCGACCCTAAAGGCAGCATTACAGCAAACCGTTCCACCAATCTCGACATATTTGCGTTGGTCTTTCTCACAACCCAGACAATGAGAGAATCCATCAAAGAACGTGGAATAGTGAGAAATCTTGATCGTTATTACCCGCTTTATCGAAATGGAGCGAACTATATGGATGACAGAAAAACCTTGGGAGAGGATCTGGTGGATGAAGAAAAGTTTCAGAATCTTCGCAAACCAGGCCCAATCAAGGAAGGCAAGACTCAGTTCAACATCAACATTGAAGGATTTCTCGAAAAGCACAGAGCCAGCTTTCTGGTTCCACATATAAACTTGCTGGACCTGACCAACACGGTTAACCTACTTCTGTTTATCCACCATCGAGCTCGATTTCTCCCCCGAGAGTTTTCCTATGTAGATCGTGATGGCATGTATATGGGAGAGCGTACGCGGATGTTATTCGGCGCCCACGATCCGACATGCATAGTCGTCTTCAAAGACTTCAAAGACAAAGACGAATCTGGATTTCCGGTGAAGCCTCTGTTTCATTATGTGCACAAGGAATGGGATACAAAACGCCTTGGGGACCACGGGATCCATAGAAGGAGGAATCTGGGATTTACCGGCTCGGCAGCATGGCTTACGTTGCAATCACAAGCTATCACATACACGTTTCTGGGCAATTTCTGCCAACAAATGCTTGATCTGGCAAAGGAGAAGCCGGTCTACGACCCCCTCCAGAGTCTTACTCATCGGCAAATGATGGTTATCGAAAATGAAGCAGCACAAAAGATCGAAGAGGTTAGAGGAGACAAGCATGGCGAAAATTTGGATGAAATACAAGCTTTGCGACAATACGAACCGACCAAGGAGGGCCTCGATTACGACAGGTACCACAAATTGCTTGCCGAACAAAGAGATGAGGCAGAGCAGCGTATCTGGTTTCTATTCAACGACCCGGACTACTTCGCCAGGAAGATTATTGAAGAAAAAGAGCACCACTGGGACAATCTGCGTGTTGGATATGATGAAGCCAATCCAGGCTCTTATATCCGTCGCTACTATGACGATATAAAGAAGCGCCACGACATGTATCTCGACTGTATGAGAAATGTTGTTCGAAAGGCTCTCTTTGATTTCTTCATCTGGCATGCGATATTAGATGCTCTCGCTGCGATTAAAGCCGTCAAGGAGAGGTACGATCGCTTTGAAAGGAATCAGATCAAATACGTCAGGGGCGGCAAAGCATTTCGTGTTCTGAACGATGAATCCTGGCAATGTAAAGACGCAGACAGACTTATGACAAACTACAAAAGCGTTCAGCGATTGGTTCGAATTGCTGCCTCTTATATTATTTTTGAATTCCGCAAAAAAGCAATTCATGCAGCCTCACCACACATGCGCGATGTTTATTGCATCCCCGACGCGAATAAGAAACCAGCCGACCTATTAGCCCCTGGGTACTACAATGCACCAGACATTGAGCTCAACTTTCGGCATCAGGCATCACCTGACGAACGGCGAGAGGTACCTCGCATGGTGCTTGAGCTTATTGAGAACTTCATTTCGAAGCCAACATCGGCCATGTTTGTCGGTGTGCGGAACGTAACAGCCCGAATACAGAGACATTTCGACGAGTGTCAAGATGATGAACAGACAAGATCAAAGTTCTCTGACCTGATTCGAGACAATGTCAAAGGGTTGCATATACTCTCGGAACTTGTAGATTACATGGATCAACATATGTCTGTTGGTAGTTTTGAGCAACACATGTTCGAGACACCCAACGAAGACGTAACTGGTGGCAAATCTTGGGAGATGCTTAAACATTTCGGTTCCTATGACATTTTGTCCCTAGACGGCTGTACATTTGGCGAGGAACATGTGCCGCCAAAGCGACAGGAACGCATCTTCAAATTTCTCGACGAGATACAGGGCCTCAGAACTGGTGGTGAGAGTTCTTATGGCGCTGCAAGAGGCGATATCAGGCGCTTTGGCTCATCACTACTGAAAGGCCTCATCTACCCTTTCGGGAGAAAAGACAGCAACCTTAAGTATATGTACAATCACGAGTCTTCGTTCAAGGTCAAACCAGAGACTCTAGACCGTCTGTCGCAACGTATGGGAATTGACGAAGATCAGTGGCCTTTTGACAAGGATGAGAAGCCATGGAATGCCCTGGAAGATGAATCTCAAGACGTACAAAAGCACTACCAGGGTATCTGGAAAGAACTTAAGGAAGAGATGAAGCAGCTGACCAAAAGGAACGAGAAAAATCTGAAGAAGCCATACGCCAAGAATGGCAAAAAAGGATCGAATATGTTCGACTTTGTGACTAACGAGGTCGAACTGGCTCAAGCTATGATGGAAACCTCGAAACGTCAGATGGAGAACGGCGTTAAAAAGAGGAGGGCTAAAAAGAAGACAATTGAAAGGAGGCGCCAGGAGCAAGACCAGGCCAGGCGTCGAGATCTGGAGGCCCAAGATGCAGAGATGCGAGATGCCCCGAGTCAAGACACCACCCCAGCTACATTCTTCTCGAGTGAGCACAAAGACGAAACTGCTGAGGAGCCGACCCAGGAGATGATGTCGACCTAGTGGTTAAAGCAGAAACTGACCCTGAGCCTCCGGTGGCTCAAACGCGCCCCAAGATCCCACTCAACAATAACTGCTGGCAAGCATGGGACGCAATCTTTCCAGCCAATGTCGTCGATGCACCGAAGATCACATTCGCCCAGCTTGATAATGCTCTTAAGAAGATCGGCTTCGAGTTGAAGTCGGCTAGGGGGTCACACTATAACTATGGCTATGTAGATGGAGCTGAACCTTTCGAAGAGGTTACTGGACTCCAGTTGGTTAGACCGCACGGGAATGGAGGAGAGCACACAAAAGTTCCAGCTAGTGTAGTGGCCAAATGGAGGTATTATATAGAAGCACGACAATTGACACTCGAGAAGTTGGAAGAAAGGTACAGTAGACGTTGAAGAATGATGAGTTGGATATTATGGTATCGGTTTTGGCGTTATGAGATGGAAGGCGTCTGAGAAAGTGTGGCTTATTAGACATGTTTTGTAATTTGAGACTACAGATACGTCAGCAACTATTGATTGTTTGAGTTTATATATTCTGTTTCTTCGGTGTGAGCATCGGACATGACCGTTTTATAAAAGACCTCGTAAAGGAGTTTCCCAGGCATAGTTTTGGTTATGTACCTGGCCTTTGGACTTATAGTCAGGCCAATAACAGCTTCAATCATATTCTGTAAGATCTTGATAATATGTGTTACACATTTGTCAGGAAAGGTCTGTCTTTTATTCTCACCAATCGGCTCATGGATGAGGCTTATAAATGATGGGATCGGGAACTGCATTGCTCGTGGTTACACGGCAGTAACGTCATGCACGATTAAGGCACAGTACAGTAACAATTTCCAGAAACGAGTTGACGACATCACATCAGGTTGCACCTCCAATTAGTATTTACCCCATGAAAAAAAGAACGAATATCATGGCTTCCATCTCCATTTATCCCCTCTTACCCCTCATGACCTTTTTCTCCAGAGGTTCAACCTTTACTAGAAAATCTCTAAAAAAAATATTAGCCGTGCCAATAGCATTGGAGAATTGGGTAACAAAAGTGACATTTCTTAATGACTCGGGGTAACTAGGCCGAGCCTAAACTTGCTCTATCCCCCACGGGCAAAGAGACAGGGGAGGAAAAAAAAAATGAAAGCGCTGATATCATTCTCATGCGAATGGCAACAGCACTTGAAGAAAATGCGGGCTTCTTAGCTCCTGAACGGGGCGAATGATCTCATTCAGGACATGGGATTTTGGGTGAACGTGGGGCATTGAGTTGCCCCGCGTGTTGCTACTTGTTGCTCGTGTTTGGTATGGACACTGGACTCGACTTGGTGTTGTACTATGGTAGAAGCTTCTCGATAGATGGCTTCAGTCTTCGGAGCTGCCTCTTCTGGTATCATGAGTACCTGGTTACTAGTAGTTAGTTCAGTTACCACAGTACTGTACTGTACAAGTACGAGCACAACGTAGCACAGGTCCATTGTAAATGAGCTGTCGTGGTGGGGGGCACTCCGTCACCACCAGGGTTCTCAATGTGCAACACAGCATAACACAGTGAGAAGCTATTGTGGATATGATAACAGCCAAATGGGTCCTTCCTCAGCTGGTGTCATAGGTGATGGTGATGGATTGTTACGTTTCCCAGACACGCAATTCTCCTTATAAACCCCTCGTTCCTTCCTCTCCTCTTCTCTCTCTCTATTATCAACACCAAACATCAAACCACTCCCATTACATACAACAAAAAAGAACAACCGCAATCATGTCTTTCGGTCGAACTGTCACTCTCAACTCCGGATTCAAGATCCCCCAAATCGGATACGGTACTTGGCAAGCCGCCCCTGGTGAAGTCGGCAACGGCGTCTACGAGGCCCTCAAGGCCGGCTACCGTCACCTCGATCTTGCCAAGATCTACCAGAACCAGCGCGAGGTTGGTGACGGTATCAAGAAGGCCCTCAACGATGTTCCCGGCCTGAAGCGTGAGGACATCTTCATCACCGGAAAGCTCTGGAACAACAAGCACCGCCCTGAGGAGGTTGCCGGGGCTCTCGATGACTCTCTTGAGGAGCTTGGTCTTGAATACCTCGACGTAAGTTCAAGGTGTAACATAATGCGTCATGACACACGACTAACCATCAACAGCTTTGGTTGATCCACTGGCCTGTCGCTTTCAAGAATGGTAGCGAGCTCTTCCCCTTGAAGGAGGGTGACGACAGCAAGACTGCTCTTGACCAGGGCGTCACCCTTTCTCAGACCTGGGAGGCCGTCACCAAGCTGCCCAAGGAGAAGGTCCGCTCCATTGGTGTCTCCAACTTCAACAAGGAGATGGTAAGCTTTGTACTTCCAATTCTTCTGCGAGCGCATTGTTGACCATTCACCAGCTTGAGCAAATCATCAAAGATACCGGCGTCACCCCCGCCATGAACCAGATCGAGCGTCACCCCCGTCTCCCTCAGCCCGAGCTTGTCAAGTACATGCAGGAGAAGGGCATCATCCTGACTGCCTACTCCGCCTTCGGCAACAACAGCTGGGGCGAGCCTCTCCTCATCAACACCCCCGAGGTCAAGGCTGTCGCTGAGCGCCTCAGCAAGTCCAAGGGTAAGGAGGTCACCCCCGCCCAGGTTATCCTCGCCTGGTCTACTCTCGACAACCACGTTGTTATCCCCAAGTCTGTTACTCCCGCTCGCATTCGCTCCAACTTCGAGGAGGTCGAGCTCGACGAGGAGGCTATCAAGGAGCTCAGCAAGTTCGGCGAGAAGCCTCAGCGATTCAACATTCCCAAGACCTGTAAGTCCAAATCCACTGCCTGGCTCGGGCCCCAAGACCTATACTAATCCCCTCCTAGACAAGCCTGATTGGGATATTGATGTCTTCGGTGACGAGAAGGAGAAGAGCGCTTCCCACAAGGTCGTTCTTAAGCTGTAAAAAGTTTATTTATGATACCATATTATGAGGCATGATGATATAGAATAGACAGGCAGGACACATCAAGTCCGCGTGCACCAATAAAAGTTAATGGACCACCAAGTTAATTGCAGTGCCTGGCAACAACTGCCGGAGTGATATGTGCCTCATGTTTCATTTTAACACTTGGCATCAATCGCCAGACGGGGTGTTTAAGAATTGATGGCTTCGCCCTGGTCAAGGATGAAGCTTGTGTTTTTGGTCTCAAGGCTAAGGCTCGCTAATGTTTACATACAAATACATTTGAGGACGGCGGACGGATATATTTATTTCAAAGTTTTTAAACCAGCAATTTGGAATGATAGTATGCTTTCCCCAAACTTTCCTACAATCAACGAACTACCATGAAATCTCCGCTCCCATGCAAAAGTGCTTCCAAAGTTATCTCTCACGCATTGAAGACGTGGGCCTGACAAATCCAATTCGTATATACAACCCGCACCAAAACAAACCAGTGTCTAAATCGTACAGTATTCCCTAATACGTCTCTGTCATTCAGCGTTCTAGATATTTCTACCTATGCTTTGCCAACTCTATGCGCCGACGCTGAAGCCAAATGACCCATCGAAGACATCGAGCTTCTTAACATCGGTGCCTCCGCGGAGAGCTAGTAGGACGTCCATCGCGGGAACTTTGTTGGCAGGGTAAAATAAGAGAAGGTTGTCCATGTCTTCGTCTGTAAGGCCACACATCTCGTCCCACTTGTAGGTATCGCTAACTTTAGACATCCTGCTATCGTATTAGCATGATTCACGCGCAAAAATGATAGAAGGAAACCGACCAGAGCATGCGCTTAGGCCCATCTTCAGGCTTGGGAGCCATCTTTCTTAATCTGAGCCGTAGCTCACCAATCGTCTCGATGGCGTTACCAGCATTTTTCGGCAGTTGCTTGGCAATGAATTGCCGAATAGCAGCCGCCAACCTTGGTCCCTTGCCGTTGGTGCTAACCATAATCTGTAGAGGGCCATCGCGATGGATGCTGCCAAAGTAGAAATCGCATTCGGGAGGCACGTCGGCAATGTTAGCAGGGACCTTTCGCTCCTTGCAAAGCTTCCAGATAACAGTCGAGGCGGCGGGGTCATCGATGGCGACTAGGACCATACTGGCTCCATCTAAATCTTCGGGCTCGAATACTCGGTCGACGTGGGCGACCTGACCTTCGCTAACTCGAAAGGCGACTTCGGGATTGAGACCAGACTTGGGGCACACGACAGTAACATTGGCGTCGGCGTTGAGACAGTTGAGGATCCGACCAGCGGCGACCTTGAAAACATTGTCAGAAATGATGAACAATTGATTGCGCCGTGCAACATTTGGTTGACGAGCGCTTCACAAACCAAGAACTCCGAGTCTCGGCATGTAATGATTCAGACGTACCTCACCACCGCCGACAACAAGCACCTTCTTGTGCTTGATTTGCCATGCTAGGATTAAACTGCCTCCAGGCTGTACAGGAGGGAATGTCTTTGCCATTGCTGCTGGAGCGGGAGTGGTAGTAGCAGAGGCAGAGGCAGAAGCAGTAGAGTCAGAAGACGGAGTGGAAGAGGCGGGAGGAGATGCCGGAGATTCCAGCGCCGGCTGGGCTGATGTCGGCTTCTGAATGGGGGTCATTTTTCCCCATCGACTAAGGTAAGGTAAGGTAAAGTAAAGGTGACAAAGGTAGATTCTTATCAGAGCTGCAAGGATGCGATAAGGCCGCTAACGGGGAACGGGAGGAAGCGAATTAGAGCTAACTTTTTGGGGGTTGGTATGACGCATGCTATGACGGTACTTCGTTCACCGCCTTTGCAACATGAAGAGTAAGGTACCTCTTTATCTAACATGAGCACCAAGCCACTGGTTAGCCAGCCCAGTCCATGTTGTCTCCCCTCAATCCACCAATCTCACTATCTACATACTTGCTACGGCGGTGCAGCTCGTGGCTGAGCTCGACCAACTACGGTCGCACTCTTTCTCTCTTTTGATAAAGGCCTCGCCTTCAGAAATACTCCAGCATGTCGGGCCGCAAACTGGGCGGCGGCCGTGTTCTAGGGAGCGGCAAGGGCCTTGCACCCCCGACACCTCCGGCTGCGAATGCGCCTCGAGTTGCGAGCCCATTAGCAGCTTCAGAAAGCAGCATCTCGATAGCTTCTTCGTCAATATCACCACCCATAAGTGGAATATCGCCAGATCTTCCAGGCCAGGACATCGGTAATAGCATCAGCGTTGGCGCTCAAGGGAAAGGTGGACCTGCAGATGGCGCCCTCGTCTGTCCAATATGTAATGAAGAAATGGTGGGAGAATTGAAAGCTGGCCGGCCAAGTTGTGTGCTGACTAGCATTCCATTAGATGACTCTTCTACAACTAAATCGACACATTGACGATACCCATCAAGAATTACCAGAGGAGGAACAGGATGAAGTGAAGACCTGGTTCGACAAGCAGGTGCTGAAGGCCAAACGATTCCAGCCCCTGTCCCTCATCAACCAGAAGCTACGAGGTCTCGATGTGTTCGAGTCGAACGAATCTGTTCCCGTCGCTCCCCCACCCTCCACTGCTGCTGGAAAGACCCCCCTCGAAGGTCCTATAGATCCCGACGAACTCATCACGCGACAGCACTGGCAGCGCTCGACAAGCTACGATTTGTGTACCGACCCGACTTGCGGAAAGAGCCTAGGGCCATTAAACGGGAGCATCAACTGTCGACACTGTGGATTACTGTTCTGCGAGGAGCACACCATGTACCAGATGAAGTTGAGTCGGAGCGCGAAACATGAACCAGTTCGCGGTTATTGGGCACGAGTATGCGAGACATGCTTTAAATCAAGAGAAGGATACAACGACCACCAGGGAGTCTTGACGGATCACACCAATGCATTCGTTGAAATAAGAAGAAAGAAGGTCGAACGGCAGAACTTGGAGATTTCACGGCTCGAAAAACGATTAACAAAACTCACGAAACTATTAGCGAACCCCCCTGAAAAGCTCACGCAATCTAACGGATCCTTGCTTGGTCCGGTAACTTCATTAGCAGGACAGAAGAACCCTCGCAAGCTCATCGAACAATCGGTCGTTACCTGGGAAGAAGATGCAACAGTCGCAAAATGCCCCTTTTGTCAGCAGGAGTTTGGATCGTGGACGTTCAGGAGACACCACTGTCGTATATGTGGTCGTGTTGTCTGTGGCGACCCTCAGACAGGTTGCTCTTCAGAAGTTGGATTAAATGTATCAAGTGACACGAATGGAGCGACGAGATCACCTTCAGGAACTGAGAAACCATCTTCAACAGTCAACGGCGGGCAAGTTGGTATAGACATTCGAATGTGTCGCGATTGCAAACACACCATATTCTCTGCACGCGACTTCGCAGCCTCACTACAACACAAACCCGCGGATCAGCGAGCATACGAGACTTTACGGCAGTTCGAGCGCGGCATCCAACAGCTTCTGCCTTCTTTCCATCGCGTACTGTTGAATCTACAGCCAGAAAAGAAAGAAAGTGGAGAAATAGATCTTAACAAACCCCCACCAACACACGCTCAAATCCAAGAAGCAGCCAAAATTCGAAAGCGTTTGGTCGACAGTTTTGCCAAATATGGCACGGCGGCGAAACGACTCCGCGATCTGCCCACGGAAAGCCCTACGCAACACCGTCTCCAAGCGGCCATATATACATATGCTAGCGGCTTTCTCCATACGAATATGTTGCCCCTCAAAAGCTTACCGCAGATGCTCCGCTCGCGCTCGTCTGCATCATCCTCTACAGCGGTTTCCACACAGCGGCTCTTGGCTTCGCATCACCATTCTGGTTCCAGTTTACGTCACTCAGAGCTTGCGGACACTGAAACGTCGTCACAAGCACCTAGTGAGGGAAGTACAGTTGTCAGCCAGCTTGAGACTGAAGAAAAGGAGCTTCGAGAGCGACTGGTCGTCTTGGAAGAACAGAAATTCATGGTTGAATCCATGATCAAAACCGCACAAGGCTCAAGGCGGTTTGAGGAAGTCAGTGCCTTGTCTCGGAATGTGGATGAGTTAGATGCCGAGATTAAGGTCTTGAAAAACAAGGTGGGCGGCGTTGAAGACCGATGGGAGGGTGTGTATCGCAATGGTGTTGTATAAATTCATGGTCAGCCCATGAATGATCGGCTTCGGACTTTGATTGCCTGGGACAAGACAGGCCTTTGGAACAGTTGTATATATCTCATGGCATTGCACGGTGTTTGGGGTTTTGATATATGGGACAGATGGGAGTTCTTCACACCGGAGCGACTAGGATCTCCGCACATTGAAGTCACAGACAAATACACTTTTATAGTATGAATGACAGTTGAATACAGTCAATAGAGCTGATGCTTTCGTGTCATGAATTAATATACACCTTTCGTAAAGCCCCTTGCGCCAACTGTTTACTGTGCCCTGTCCTTCCTCTCTCTTTATACTTCTGATTCCTGCTGGCCAGCCAAATAAAGGTATAATAATATTCGTCCAACCTGATTCTCGTAGCCAAATGGCATCCTGACAAAAATCTCGAACCAAGGGTAGTAACAAAAACACAGATAAAAAAAGGTACGGCAGCCGTGGCTGATAAATAAACGCCCGTCATTCTAATCCACCACGAGCATGGGTGCTTCTCGGGCTCAGTGGGTATCAAAAGCACCTTGCACAAACAAACCAGAATCGTACACGAATTGTAGTCATTAAAGGATGCAGGGGACGCAGAACGCCCTGCTGCGAGGAGAGTAAGGCAGAGAGAAGGTTGTGCTGAGATCAGTGCACGCCTTCTACTCCCCCAAGAAAGCGCCTGACACGGTTAATCTCAAGCTCCTCTTGTTCGCTCTCCACAGCCTTGAGTAGGCCGTCGATGACAGCATCAACCTCGTCCTCTTGAACACCAGTGCAGAGTGCCACCACACGACGGTATTTGACTTCGGTATCACGGCTTCGTCCTTTGAGAGCTGACACCATCTTTCGGGTTGACTCGCAGCGCTTCTTTACGGCACGAATGCGAGCTTCCAAGATGGCTGCCGAAGGAAGGAGACCTTCGCCGCCAAACTCCCCATCTGAGGTATCGTCAGCAGCCTCGAGCATAGCCGACAACTCGGTTTCCCATGATGACGAAGGGTTAGGCTGTGAGGCTCTGGATTGCTCCTGCATCAGGCGTACTTGCTCGGCTTCACGAGCGTATGACAAGTTGGAGACCTTTTGCCGGGCTAACTGCTGCTTCTTAAGAGTAGCGCTCAGGTGCTCGAGACTTCGCCTGGCCTCGCCGAGTTGTGTGGATGTAGTGCGTAGAGTGCTGTGAAGGGTATCAAGAGACGCTTGCTTGGCCTTCATCTCAGCCTGGAACGTTGAGCCAGTTTCTGATAGAAGGTGAGATATGGCTATAAAGGTTAGCAACAATTTCTTAAATGATGGAGGCTAAAGTCAACTCACAAGCAACTATTTCATCACTGCTCTCTCGGCTACGCTGGTTTGCACCCGCAGCACCGTTCTTCTCAATATTGGCTTCACCGTTGGTCTTATCCTCTGCATTCTCGCTCCCGATACCAAAGTCAAGAGGTCGTAAGCCAACACGGTTTGCGATATTGGGATCCGCGCCAACCTCCAGCAACTGAGAAATGATACTTCTGTTACCAATCCGGGAGGCGATGTTCAGTGCTGTGTCCCCTACGCTGTCTTGGGCGTTAACTATTTCGCTCATGAAGCGCGCAATGCCCATTTTGGGGTTGACTGCTTGCGAATTGCTGGGAGCATTTCCGTTCGTTTGAGTATTCTGGCTGTTAGGTGCGCTGCCTTGCCTGACCACCCATTCCAACAGACTTTCAAGGTAATATCGGCTTGCTGCATGGCGTCCCTTTACTGCACTGGTAACAGCGATATGGTGAAGAACTGTTCGTCCTTTGTGATCGCGCGCCTCTATCGTGGCACCAAGAACTTCCAGAAGATCAGGAAACGAGTTGTGATCTTGAGAGTTCGTGACTAAGCAGGCTCGCATCAACGCCGTTTCGCCAGATGCATTTACGCGAGATGGGGATGCGCCAGCTGCAATGAGAGCACGCAAAAGAGGCATCCTAGCAAGGGTTGCGGCCCAGTGGAGCGCTGTGTGGCTCTGTAAGTCAATCGGCATGTCCAATTCCAACGGTGTAAACTCCCGAAGCATATCGTGATTTGTGGGGTCAGTGCCCGGAGTTTCCAGAAATAAACCCATCAACATGTTACGTTTGATCTCGATATCTGGAGACATCTCGTAAGGGAGGGGTGGAAGGGGTCCATTGCCCTCCTCCACCGGCGATCGATCATGGATGGCACTCTGAGTGTACATGAACGACTCATTGGGTTCGGTGGGCGATCCGGGGTACGTCGCAGCATACATATCCATATTTTGCCCATACCCATTGAAGCTTTCGGCCGGCGTCATCGTCACCCGTTGGCGTTTTCGAGGAGGCTCTGGCTCTGTCATCTGAACTGAGTTATTAACTTGTTGTGTCGAGTACGCGGAGTCAACCTGCTGCCCGTAATCGGAGGCGAAACTTTGCTGGGAGTTGGCAGGGAAATCGTCCCCATTTTGCATTGACGCTTGGCGGCTGAAGGACGCTGTTCGTGAAGGACCATTGCGACTCCTGGGGCCGGGCGAATCGAAGCGAGCTTTGCTGATTGCTGCAACGGCATGAGAGGCGGTCGTAGAAATGTTCTTGAAGAATGTCCCCGAGATACCATTGGGCCGACCATCTGCACTCTGGTTATATAATCGTTTCCTTTGCGCAGCCATTGCTTGTTCTTTTGTTGGTGTATTAAAATCACCTCGGCCGGCAACACCTCCGTCTTGACCCATGTCGTAAGTCAGGAGTGGTCGTAGAAGCTCCTCAACACCGTATTGGCGGCAGACCTGCAGACCACGATCGAACTTTATCCAAGTACCCTGATATTTTCCATATCCGCCCTGAACCTTCTCGTGCTCGCCAGTCTGGATTTCTTTCTCGAGAATCTTAGTGCGCTTTCCTTTGTCAACCCCGGCGACTTTAAGGATCTGGGTGGCATTAAGCCATGAGTCGTTGCGACGGCGCATTACGGCGACATTGTTGACTTCCATCTCGTAAACATCCACACCCGAATATGATGCCTGTGTTAGAATAGTTAGCAATAACCTAGAAATACAAGTTTGCAGATGTTCTGTACCGAATAGATCGTAGCACCTTCTGGTTCACCATTGTAGCCCCCTCGGAACGAGTTCCCTAGCCCGGTTTGCGATTGTTGACTCATATTGAAAGACTGTTGAGATGATTGCGATGCCGATGGCATGTTGTGTCAAGGAAGAATTAACCCCTGGCGCGGTATGGCGTTGTAGTGAGGTCCTCCTCAAGAAGGAGTTTCGAAGAGAATATGTCAAGGGCGTGATAGCATGAGAGCGCTAACAATAGGAAGATATCGAAATTGGGTGTGGATTCGGTAGGGAGACGCGCCGAAGTGGAATTAAGAAGTAAAAGACAATGGCCCAGTATGATATAATATGGTATAAAAGAATCGCAGCTTGGGCCTGAAAGAAGTTACCCGGGATTGTCCATGCGCCTCGTCGTCGAGTTTCAGTGATTTTGTGCGCTTAAAAGCTGGGTGGTTGCAAAGTGAAGATGGAGATGGGGATGGAGTAAAGGCCGGCGAAATGAGTACTTGGAGATAGTGGGCGGGCCAGGGCGAAGTCGTGCAGGAAAGGTGAGATGCAGGCGGACCAGGGTCTCAGGTACCTCCAAGGTGCCCCAGAGACGAGCGGGGAGAGCGCTGAGGACCAATGCTTTTAGCGAATTCTGCGTAATGAGCCGCCTATAGCTTAGTTGGCCCGGTGAGGAATAAGGGTTTGAGCCTCCACTATCGATCGATGGATGTTTTCGATTGAATTCGTATGTGCAAGAGATGAAGACGAAGATTAAAGCAGGAGGAGATGAACCATATGCAAGGTGACAGATGAAAGAAACGCCAATGCAGGTTGTTTCTGCACCTGATGAAGGTGGGATAAATTGAGGTAATTGCAGGTACTCTGCTCTACAAATACTGTACGTTACTCTACAACTCAGTGGAGGCTAAGCTTATGCACGTCAAAGTGACTTGTTCGGTTGTGTTCACTTGCAGCAAGCTCCCGCTCCCTCGGCTGGTGAACGTGAACGAGACGAGACGAGACGAGTACCTTTGGTACGAGAAAAAAAAAAAAAGA